AATGTTGATATCCAAATTTCTCGTGCGTCAAGCCACCATATTCTTCCCTAAACAAAAACTGAATTGATAAACGGCTAATTTCACTAGAAAAATGCTTAGTTCTAAACACAAAATCTGTTCTAGGTACTTTTTGGGTGAAACTCTTCAACGAACCCCTGCTTTTACTGTGATTTGAATAAATTAAGCAAACGATTACATCATTAAGCTACCAAGTAAAACACATAAACTAATAAAAAAGACTCACGTGTATTCTCGAAGGATCTTTCCTGATGTCGAAGGTTCTTGAAAGCTGGCGACAATGGCGTAGATGGTAAGCCGCGTCTTTCGCAGCTCCGCCTCGAGCGCTTCATTCATTAGATGAGAAAACCTTAAAATCTTTATAAATGAATGCAACAAGAAGACAATAAAATAGGTAGGTAAAAGTTGCATAAACGATTAAAGCAATTTAACAATTTAAACGATTAAATTGTCAAGTTTACGAAGTTAGGATTTATTCTGTAATGGCAGAAATAATTTTCAATCATATAAGAAAAGGAAAAAATTCACGCAACACAAGCATTTTGCAGCAAACCAAACAAAACACATCAACTGATAAAAAACTCTTCTATACCGAAATAGCTAAAAGATACATACATAACCAAAATATATTGCCTCACTACGTTTTATAGTCTAGCTTACATTTTGGGTAAAAACTCTTGCTTTTCGACTTTTTTTCGATTCCACATTGCGAACACGACGATCTTAGGGTGTTGATGCTGCCACAGCTTTCGCAGATCCACGTTTGACGAACATTTTCAAGAGCACCCTGTAAAATACAAGTATTTAACCAACCATATTTCCGCTATTAACAAATTTATAAAAAATCGGATTTTTTTGCGCTAAACGATGAAAATTTAAAGTATGATAAACTTAGATAAAGCTTCTAAATTCGTTAAATCTAGCCCAAATTACACAAAACCAAGAAACAAACCTTTGTTATAGTGGCCGGGCTTGTGACGATATTGCGAAATAACGATGAAGCGTTCTTCTTGACAAAATTCGCCTCGTCGAACGGTTATCTTGTGTGATTGTTGTCATTTTCCTTCATTTGCGTCGTATTCAGCTCTTCATTGTTGTTTGTGCTTGTTTCCTTCTGTTCGACGGGCATCAACCAGACGTACGGTCAACTCGTTGAATCGGCCATATCTGAAATGAAAAAGGATTGTTTTAGGTGAAAAGGAAACTGTAAAACACGAATTAAAATGAAACAAGAGTAACTTTGTAAATTCTTCACCAAAAGCGCTAAAACTAGCTACCGTAAATACTTTAATTGGACCCCACCCTTCTAATAATACCTCCTCTAATAGTACCACCTCTAATACCACCTAGAGGGGAAGGGAAAGATCATACCCCCAAACCTCTAATAATACCCCACCCAACGCGTAATTACAAACAACACTTTTATAGCGGAAAATTTGGGGTAGGCCAGTTTCCGCAACTTTTTTTGCGCAACAGGGTCATTTGCGCAACTCGTTATAACTTTCTTTTAAGTGGGTCAATCTTTATTTTCGGTGCGGTGGCCAATTTCGGTGTCATTTTGTAGATCTCAATAAGTACAACAAAATGAAAACAAAATCGTAAAGATTGGCCCATTTAGAAAAAAGTTATGGCGAGTTGCGCAAACGACCTGTTGCGCAAATAACCCTGTTGCGCAAAAAAAGTTGCGGAAACTAGCCTACCCCGAAAATTTTCATGCATTTTCGGAAATCGTTTATATTTTTAATTTTAGCCCATAAATTCGTTGCTTTTAAATTTTTTTCGTTTCCTCACTAATTTTATTTTTTCAGATATGGATTTCGATGGGAAATCGCTCGATGGATTTGAGGAATATCGGGCTTGTCGCGAATATGAAGAACACATGGAATGAACGTGATGAACGAGCCGAACAAGATGCCAATGGGAACTCGGTCAACGCTAAAGTTGAAGGATCTTCGAGTGAATCGAATGAATCATCTATGTACATTTGGAGTGCCCATATCGGCGCGAAATAAAGCAAAAAAGTGTTTTCTGACAAAAAATTATGGAGGATTTAAAAATCGTATTTATTTGAATTTTGTCTGGCTCAATTTTGAGCAAAATGCGTTTTAGTCAAATTTTCTATGTTGAATTTTCTTCCCAAGACTCCAAAATGGCTATATCGGAACAAATAAAAAACCCCGGCGGTTTTGGGTCAAGCTTGTCGCGATGAACATTTTAGTAAAAAAAGATAAAACTCGGATAACTCAGCGCAGAGTTATTAAATTTTGCAAGAAAACTGTCAAAAGCTACCGTAATCTTCACATTTCCGCTTTCTAAAAGGCATCCTTTTCTAGAGTCGTACGCAAATTTCATAATTGTGCAACTTTTTGTTGTCGGCAACAATAGCTTTTATGTTTTCCGTTTTTATGTTTACCCACTTTCTCAAGCTCCCGTTTTAGATGAGTCGTCCAAAAAAATCGAAAATTGCGGCTCAAAAGGCAAGAAAGGCTCAGTTGGATAGCAAAAAGGATGTTAGAGAAGCTTTGGAAATAGCAAATCAGAATCGAGAAAAATTGCGACCTCAAAGAAGCAAGCGAATGAAAATTCTCAGACAAATGAAAAGGGATAAGAAGAAACGAAAGTTATTTTTCGCTCAACGAGCTCGACGAATCCGCGCAAAATACAAGAGGAACAAATTACCCATTTCTTCTCCTATTTCACCTCATCAAACTTTAGCTGTATTTTCAAAAGCAGGAATTTCTCGTTTTTCACTTCGACTTCGACGGGAAGTCTGCTCATTTTGCAAGTGAGTATAAGATGAGACAGGTAATATCCGAAGTGAATCAAAAAGTCGAATATGCTATTTCAAACGGGATTATTCAATTGAAGGATATAAAAGAAGCGCTTCGTTTTCGTTTTAAACGTGTGCCCACCAAAGCGGCACAGAGAATTTTGCTGATGGCAGACAAGGATTTTGAAACGACAAATTGACCGTCATGTTTCATGATAAGAGCAACAAAGCTCAGTCTAGATACAATCACTTAATACTGGCAGTTTGGAAAGGGAGAGACGACAAAAAAAGTCTACAAAAATTTAAGGAAATCTATAGAGAGCTCGTTGATATGAAATTCACCGTCTTCATTGGAGGCGATCTGTGTTTTTTGGCTTCTCTTTATGGACTATCAAATGCAGCAACTTATCCTTGCGTTTAGTGTTTTTTCAAGGCTAACAAACAACGCAAAATAGACGAGTGTCCAGAGAAATTGGATTGGAGTGTTTATCCAGAAAGATCTATAAAAACGTTTGACGAACTACTTAAGAAAGATTCCAACAATTCGGAGTTGCGCAAAGGTGTTTTTCAAAAATACGTTTGTCGGGCTGAACCGACGCATTTCGTGCCTCCATCACTCCATATAAAGCTCGGCATCGGAAACCGCATCTATAAAGAGTTGGAACAAGAAGCCCGACAAGCTTTACCATCTGAATGAGATGCTTTTGCATTATTAGCACAAATATTGGGATTCACACGATCGTTCAAATCGGAAGATCTCAATGGACCGAAGCTCAAAAGATTATGTGAAAATCGAGAGGAATTTAAGGTTCTAGTCAACTCACAAAAATATAAGAATCTATCCGACTGCCTAGAAAAATTTTCGACATTTTCTAATGCTATTGGCTTCACTGAACAAACATGAAAGACGACGATATAAAAAATCCTGACTCCTATTAAGCCATTGCTCGCAAAATTTGAAGAATTGAAAATTGAATCTCGCTCAACAAAGATCCATGTATTGCTAGCACATGTGCCAGAATTTCTTCAATGCCATCGTTGCTTAGGTGCAATGTCTGAAGAAGGATTAGAAGGCTTACATTCAATTTTTGAGCAAATTCGGAAAAAATCAAACATTCGGGCGAAATGGAAAACTGAATGCTCTTCTCCTGAATGCTTCTGAATGCTAAATTTCAGCTTTATTTTAGGTGAAGTGCTTAAGCACAGAAGCGTCCTTCACTTCGGGCATGAGTTTGACTATTCGAGCAACACGTCGTTCAAGGTATTATCGAAAAAGTTTCTCATTTTTTCTCTTTTCAGAAAATGTGAGCCAATTCCAAAAGAAATTGATGATTTGTTCAAAGCCGTGCCACGATATGGAGTTACGATTGTCTGATGCCTGATCGATTGCCTGATCTGATAAGCCTGATCAGTATGAAAGCTTATGAGCATTTGGCTAACTTTTTGCAAAGCTACCTTTCTATGTTTAGCTGGGGATATAGATGATAAAATAAGCTTTCATTTGAATATTTTTAATTTCCAGATAACAACATCTACGAGCCGGGCCAAGGCATTCCCCCTCACTACGACACTCATTCGGCTTTTGAGGATCCGGTGATTTCACTCAGTCTGCTCAGCGATGTTGTGATGGAATTTAAAGGTAACATTCAGTAAACTTAAACTTTAAGTGATGGTAAAAAGGTAAAAAGTGATGACTGATAAAAAATGATTTCGGAATTTTCGTGTTGTTTGATTTTGCTTTTGGAGTATGTTCATTGTTGTAATGTTCATCTTGATTAGGCTAGCTTCTACTTGATTAGGCTTCCACTTGATTAGGCTTCTACCCCTTGATTAGGCTAGCTTCTACTCCTTGATTAGGCTAGCTTCTAATCTCAAAAGACAAATAATCTTTTCATTGATTTCTCTAGACTTTCTCTTTCTACGCCTATTGCGTCGTCGTGACTCGTCGTCGTGGCTCATCGTCGTGGCTCATCGTCGTGGCTCACCGTCGTGGCTCGTCGTCGTGACTCGTCGTCGTGACTCGTCGTCGTGACTCGTCGTCGTGGCTCGTCGTCGTGACAAAACGAGATAAAGAGGAGGACTTAAGATCAGCGCTATCAACCATCGTTTACCTATCGTCACTGGATAGGTTGTCACTGACTTTCTGTAAGTATTCTATTTTTTTTACAAACTTACAAAAAGTTTATTTAAATGCAATAAATTCTGGTGTTTATTTGCGAAGGAATTTCGGGTGATGGGTTGGATAGGTGCCGGTCGGGTCATTAGGATTCGAGCATTGTCCAAGGTCGTAGCAAACAGCTTGTGGATGTTTTCCTATAAAAACTTATTTGATAATAGTATAGCATAAAAACAAGCATTACTACTTAGGTAAACAATGCTTAAAACACGACAAAAAACTAGGTATAACAAAAGTTTGAGCGGGCAAAAGAAAAAGCGCAAAGTTTTGAAGCGAGTAGGCATTCTACCATTTATTTATAATCAGACATTCTACCATAATTATAGTAAAATCTATCTAGATATCTAGTTTATATGATCCAAAGATGAAATTGAACTTTTTCGTTCACTCACCAGCTTTCAAATCGTTGTAGATGGTGTCAATGTTGGCGTTAACACCGTCAATGCAGTTTTGCACAACGTCAGGGCCATAGGCACGTTGAAGCGATTGACAGTCCTAAGATTAATGGTTTTAAAATCGAAATTCATGTCTGCATTGGTTTATAAGGTTGAATTTAAGCTGATAAATCGAGTTTAAGGTGATAAATCGAGTTTAAGCTGATAAATCAACTTTCTCCACTCGTTTATACGATAAAAAGTAAAAGTGGCTGAATGGTTGGTTCGTTAAACTCTCTTCAATTGTGGCTATGGTCTTTTTAAATGTGCTAAGCGTAAATGAGCTATAGGAGACTGATTCCTAATCGAATTCTCACCGAAACAAGCTCCTTCTGGAGTTGATCCTCGGTGAAACCGCGATTGATGTGGTGAAGAGCTTGGTTGATGATGTAGTCACAGAGTTGACATGGGTCCACTGGACGATAGGTTTGCTGAAAGATGAGAATGATCAAGCTTGTAGCCTTGTTTGTTTGTTTCAGCTTTAAGCTGGAAAGTCAGCTGGAAAGCTGGAAAAGCTTAAGAAAGTCAGCTTTTTCATGTTTTCATGGAAAAGAGATGCTTAAACTTGCTTAGTTAAACTGGTTAAACTCACAGCAAACACAACAGCCAATGTGGCAACGGCAGCGACGAGGAGCTTCATCTTATGAGACTGACAAACGACAGCTTATCAAATCCGGATTAGAGTCGACCTTTTATACGGGCTTTCGTAGTTGGAATGTACCAGGATTTAGTCTCTTTTCTTTTTGCTTCTATCTTTGCTGTGATTTGCACCCGTTTGCGTCTCCCGGATTGAGGGGATTAGCGTTTCTTTTTTGGCTTCTTCTTACAGACGCCTGCTTCTCACAGATACGAATACACCCTCACTTTTTGGTGTTGAACTTGAACCTTTCAGAAAAAAAGTTATCAATTAATCGAAAAAGAAAATAGACGAAGTGAAAGAGCAACAAAACGGACTGGGATTTCTTATCTGAGAAACTTTCATCCGGAACTAGCTGCTTTTTTTAAATTGGCTTTATTTACTTTAAAGCTTATGGTTCAATATATTCAATATCTGTCAAAAAATTATAGATGCACCCTGTTTTTTGCTAGTTTAGAGCCGAACATAAGTGCTAGTCCAGTCAAAAGTATTTTTTTTAGTTTCTTTAATGTAAAAAAAAACAACCCATGCAAAATTTGAAGTCATTTCGGGGGTGGGACAAATGCTACCTTTTTTTGCGCATCTGGGCATTTGCGCACCTTTTTTTTTGCTGGAAAAGGCCTTAGGAAAGGTCGTAGAGCTTCAAAAATGTATTCATAGAAGGGAAACGTATGCGTAGATTCCGAATTTCGGCAAATCAGACCTCGCTGACATGTCAAATTTGGGCTAAAAGGCAAAAACTGCGGAAAAGCGTTAAGTTGCGTAGTTTTTGCCTTTTAGCCCAAATTTGACATGTCAGCGAGGTCTGATTTGCCGAAATTCGGAATCTACGCATACGTTTCCCTTCTATGAATACATTTTTGAAGCTCTACGACCTTTCCTAAGGCCTTTTCCAGCAAAAAAGGTGCCTAAATGTCCAGGTGCGCAAAAAAAGGTCGCATTTGTCCCACCCCCCCGTCATTTCATTCATCCAAAGTACTTTATCATCCAAAAAACGTTTTAACAGCTGTCAAAAAAATTATAGACGTAATTTAAATTTAACGATTTATTCTATCGATAATTGTTAGTTTTTTCTCATTTTTTTTGCTTATTATTTATGTTTATAAATGTTTTTTTCATTTTCAGATATGCCACTTGGAAAACAACTGGATATGGTGGAAAAAAAACGCGTATCGATGTGCTCCACACGCTTGGCCACTCAAACAGGGACATTGCTCGTCGCATCGGACGTTCTGAGAAGTGTATTCGCACGTATCTCAAGACCAAAGTGACTCCTAAGAAGAAAGAAACACGGGACCGGAGAAAAAGTTGTCCGATCAAGACGAACGCGCAATTACGAGACGTCTTTCCAACACGACGACATCACTCGAAGAGGTTCGCAAGGAGATGAAGCTTTCGATCACTCGCCAAATTGTGCACGACGTTATCAAACGATCTTCAATACTCCCAATACAAACTCATGAAGCAAGCTCCACGACTTACAAAGGACCATAAAGCCGCCCGTATCGATTTCGCTCAAAAGAACCAGAAGACCAAGTGGGAAGGAGTTGGTTTACTAGTATTTCTTATATATTTTTTGTTTAGATCATTTGGAGTGACGAAAAGAAGTTCAACCTTGATGGTGCTGATGGTTTTCGAGGATATTGGATGGATTTACGAAAGCCGGACATGGCTTTCAGCACGAGGAACTTTGGAGGTGGATCATGTATGGTATGGGGAGCCTTTCGAGACGGTGAGCTGGTCGGCTTAGAGTTTATTTTGACCCGGATGACATCGCTTGACTGCAAGTGTTGGACAAACATCTAGCCGTCTATCTGAACAACAATCCGGGCAATAACTTTACTTTTATGCACGATAACGCGAGTATTCATGCAAGTTGCTTCACAAGAGATTGGTTGACAAAATCGAAAATCGACACTCTCACTTGGCGCGCTTGCAGCCCCGATTTGAATGTGGGGGACAGCTGTTTGAAAATGTGTGGGGACAGTTGTTCGAGATGTCTACAACGAAAACAAGCAATATTTGAGCGTAACTGAACTCAAGAAAGCCATTCAAGTAGCCTGGAACCGGCTTCAGCCAACAGCGCTCCATGACCTTGTCTCTTCGATCTCTTATCTAATAGAAATCTAAAAGCTGGCAAAGTCACCGTGATCGGTTTCTTGTTATAAATAAACCCATTTCCGAGTTAAACGAGTTTAATTTAATCAATCTATTCTTTTTCGTTGTATTTGAATAACAGTTTTACTGTGAGTCTATAAAACGTTTTATTAAACTTTATTAAACAATAAAAGAATAAATTCCTTTACGTAGCTATCATGTCTTTCCTTTTCTTCTCGTCCCTTTCGATTTCGTCACTGAGCTCTTTCAACTTTTGCCCAAATGACCTCAAATTCTGAAGGTATTCCGTGGAGATTTTCTCGAAACTTTCCCCGAATCGTTCACATTGCTCGTCTCCTCTCCGCCAATCGTCTCCTCGAAAATTCTTCAACTCGTCCACTTTTTCCATCATTTTAAACGCGATATCCCTGAGTTTAGCTTGAATTTCTTTGTTCAGTTCGGGGAAATGATTCTCGTACTTTAGAATCTGTTTTTCTATATTCTTTCGTCGTTCCTCTGTGGCCAACTCGAGTTTTCTCGTTTCCAAAACGTCTTTTTGTTGTCTGAGCAAAGTAGAGACTTCTTTGGCAAATTTTGAAACCAATAAATCACCTCGATACGAGATTAGCACCACTTTCTTTGAGCATAATGGACAATCGACAAATTCGTTTGTTGCCTCGATGTTTTCCAGGGTTCCCCTCATTTTGCAACACTTTGAACAAACCGTGTGCTTACAAGGGATCAGAATTGGAATGTGATCATCCGAATAGTCCTCTTTACAGATTGGACACTTTGGAACAGAAATCGGATCGGTTAACAGATCTTTGGCTTGATAGCCATCGGGAGACAGCTCGAGCGATTCGCTTTTTAGAATTTCCAATGAGGTCAACGAGTATTGGAATTTCGTCGGATGCAACCAGCAGCCCATGCAACGCATTCGTGAGCCGATGTAGGCTGAAAAGTTGATTTTGAGAAGTTTCTTTGATTTTATTTAGCTATTTTTCAGTCAAGTTTGCTTAAAAATGAGTGAAATGAAATGTTAGATTGAGGAAAAAATAATGCGCGTTTTGATTTTCGGGCACAAACATGGGATTTGCTTTGGCGATGTCATCAAGGAGCTTTTGTTGAACGTTTGTTGTTTGTTGCTTGTTTGTTTATTGTTTGTTTGTTGTTGATCAGAAGGCAATCGACAACCATTTGCATCAACTCGGGGGAAAAATTCGCTGTGGAAAATGGATCCCGAATTGAATTGAAATGAGCTTCTCAAGACAAAACAACTCGCGTCAACGTCAGTTCTTTTTCTCTATAAATTCTGGTGTCTTTTGGGATTAGATTTTGCCTTTGATGATGATTTTGATGAAACTTGGATCAATTACGAGAATTTCAAAAGGAAAAACCAATGAAATCTATCAAAATCATAAACATATGGTGGAATTGAATTGGTGCATTGTGAAGAGGTAAAATCGAGACAAACAGTCGACGTAGACGTTTACTCGAAACTCGAAAATAGTGAGAGTTAACGAGAGTTAACGGTTTTTCTTTAAAAAAAGATTGGAAGAAGTCGTTGATAAAAATGGAGAATACTTTTACTGATTGATCGTTTCGATTTCTTGTAGAATCCAATGAATTGGTTACACCCAAAAAAAAACGCACATTATTTTTTCCTCGGCTAATCTTTTTATTGCTTTAGAGACGCTAATGCTTTTTTAGTGGAAGCCACACGTTTCAGCTAATTATTCATTTATAAATGTAAAATTTCGGAAAACGGACAAGAATTTCCGATTAAACTAATAGCTTTGGTTTAGAGAGATAGGGAACCAAATTTAGAGAGATAGGGGGCCAAATTTAGAGAGATAAGGAACCAAATTAAGAGGGATAAGGAACCAAATTTAGAGAGATAAGGAGGGAACCAAATTAAGAGGGATAAGGAACCAAATTTAGAGGGATAGGGAACCAAATTTAGAGAGGAACCAAATTTAGAGATCAGGCATGAAATTTAAACTAATAGCTTTGGTTTTAGCTTTTTAGCTTTTTTCTGAGATTTTAACCTGGAAAATTCGCTGAGCTCTGCTCGGGAGAAAAGGGTGCATCACAGGTAGGGCATCGTAGTGAAGAGAACTCGAAATTGGACATTTCGAAATCGAATTGAAATCGAATTGAAATCGAATTGAAGTCGAATTGAAATGTATAAGACGATCGAATAGTAAATGTGTAAAAGCAAGGCGTTCCAAACGTCGAATTCTTCCAGAGCCCATATTTGCAGAGAGTTTCTCGCGGAATCGATATGAGATAAGCATGGTTTCAATAAAAGGGTTCTCTCTCGTCTTCTCTCCTTCCTGGCTGAGTCATCGGGTTGAGCTGATTGATTGTCTTTGAGCACTTTTAAAAGTCGCATACTTTCTTTAAGTCGACTACTTCCTTTAAGTTGACTGCTTCCTTTAAGTTGACTGCTTACTTTAAATCGTATACTTCCTTTAAATCAACTACTTCCTTTAAGTCAAATGCTTTGAAAGTAAAAGGCATCTAACTTTTAATCTGCCAAACTTCGATCTGCCAAATCTTCGATCTGTCAAACTCAATTTCATTCGATTCTTGCCATTTCTAAAATCATATAAACCCAATTCTAGACGTAGAGATATTAAAAACAATAAATGTCAAAGCAGCTCAAAAATTCGTTACCTCTTTAAGCAGATGATTCTAGAAATAAAGTCGACTCTTCATATAACGATCTGCTCGATATAAAGACTCATACTTACAGTCCCGACCAAGTGCTTAACAAAATACGAGAGCTAGTCAAAGCGCGGGGAGCGCCAGGAGCGCCAAGAGCGACGGGAGCAACCTTTAGTGATTTACAGATTTTCCCCGCCACTTTTCACTCTCGACTAGAACTCCAGCAAGTGGCTACTTTGATGGATAGTCGCAGTGTAGATCACGATGAGCTTCCCACAATATTATGCGACGAAGATGCATTTATCTGATACGAATTCTGTTGAGTTTTCATTTCTTTGCCTTCTTTTATATTTTCTTTTTAAAAATGTTTTGGTGCAAAAAAAAATTTGGCTAATATTTTGCCTCCAATTAAACCCTTATTTTGTTGTTTATTAAAGTTGAATAAATGAACATTGAAAGCTGAAAATCTCGTGAATTATGCCAAAAAATTTGCAGATTGGATTGTTTAAAAAATTTTTAGGAAAAAAAGTAGTAGCACGCCTAATAATAATAATAATAGCGCCACCTAGTTGTGGAATTCTCTCCTCAATGAAATTCGAAAGCTTTCATCTCTAGGCACGTTTAAACGCGCTATTTCTTAGCTAAAAGATACTTTAACCCGAAAAAGAAAAGATGAGGATTTGTGCCATTTGGCACCAATACTCATACCACTCATCTCCAACTCTTTCATTGGCCTTTGCTATGGGCAAAAAGTGACGAGCTGCCCCAGCAATGCTCAAGGATTCGATCTCTATGATACGTAATTGAATCAAAATAATTTAACAATAGTACCGTAATTCTTCTAAACAAACCTAGCTACTTATCCTCCAGGATCTTTCGTTCTTACGGTTACGCAACGCAACCCAACCTAGCAATAACTTGAGTGAGGTTTTCTTGAAACTTCCCAACCTAAAAATGCTTTCTTTATTCAAATGTTGACAAACAAAGAAAATAATAATGTAATGTTCAAAAAAAAACAAAGTAAAACGCTAAACAAAACTCAGTACTACGGGTAACTTTTCTCGGTGACTTTGCTAAGCAGCATTGGGCGTCGTGTTCGCTGTGGAAGTACAGACGCTGCGATCGACGCGTGCGTGCGGATCTAAAAAACAAGTGTACAAGTATGAATGCATTCCACCTGATAACAAAAATCCAAACAACATACCGTGCCTTCATGCTTCATTTCGGCCATAAGCGCCATTTTCTCCACGCACCGTCTCTTCACATCGTCGACGGGATCGAATTTGACGGTTGCTCCTTTCCTTTCCTTTGGTTTTGCCGGCACCGTTGGCCTCGTTGCACTCAGTGCCTGGGTGGGAGTGACGGCAAGCCTGGCGAAGCAGCTTGCCATATTGCTCAACTCTTGATCCACTACCTAAAAGAGGGAAAACTTACATAATACAGAAAAATGCATACCATTTGAACCGGCTTCTTCGTTTGATTCTTTTCCGCCTTTTTTGGCGTCTCTTTCGACTTCGATTCGGTCTTCTTTTGTGGCTGAGGTGACGTGTTCTTGGTACTTCCGATTCTTGTAAAATATCGTGGATTTAAGACTTTGGCGGCAACTGTGGGCATGACGGGCGTCTCCGGTCGTTGATTTTCTGGCTCCTTCTTAATTTGATTCGGCTTCTTAATCCTGTCGATCATTCTCTGAAAAAAAGGATAGTTTGAAAATAAGAGTTTGTGCAAACCAATCGAAACGGAGGGTCTTGCGCGTTGGCCTTTGGTGGCTCTGGAGTCTCCGGCATCTTGGCTTTTGGTGGTTCTTGTGCTTTGGCTTTTGCTGGTTCTGGAATCTCCAACATACTCGCTTTAGGTCCCGCCACTTCCACAGTGATCTTCTGCTTATGTTGACCGCGTTCCATGCATTTGAACTTGAGAAAGGCGTTGACCGTGCCTAAAAAATCTGAAGTTCTACCTCAATAGGAAAACTGTACTTGATCTTTGAGTTTGAAGAACTAGTGTTGGCTTCGGTTCTGGTGGAAGAGGAATCGCACTTATCAAGTCCATCGGAGCCGGTTCGAGAGGTATACTGGTTAACGATACACCCGTTTCAGCAATCATCTCATCACATTTATCCTCTTCTTCTTCTTCTGATTCATCACCGGATTCGAGGCTTGATTCATTAAGATCGTTTATCATTGCAAGCTAAATTTCAACAATATTCCTCAATATTTTTAAAAGTTACCTGTAAATTACCAGCTTTCGCGTGGCTTTGGTCAACGTGCTTTGGCTTGATATTGTGCTTTTTCACGTAGGCCTCGCGTAAATGAATGGACTAAAACAGAAAAGATTTTACAACTTCAACTCAACTTGCTTACTCCATCTTTAACCATCGTTCTCGATGAGAAAGTCGTGGCGAATAGATCCGACCAATGTTTCGCGTAGAGTCTTTCTGGATTCACTTCAGCACCATAATGCCTTGAGTAGAAGATACCGACATCCGACAACTAAAATTGATGATAAAACAGAATAAATTAAATGCTCAAACTCACTGGAATTGGATTCGGATACATGTTGACAAGCTGCATAGTGAAATGCTCCATAAGTTCCGTCAAACGTGGCGCCATTGTAGCTCGAGGAGAGTCGACTTCAACTTTGTCCTTTTCTTGTGCACGGTCATTTCGAGTACGCTCGACAAAAGCTTTCGTCTTGATCAAGATCTCATCGGAACCGAGCACCTCGAAAACGATCTAAAATAGTTTATACGAGGAAATAATAAATTAAACTAACGTCATCTTTCATTGCTGCACGGACCGAACTCAGTTTGCCGGTGCCAAAATATTTCTCGAGTTCCTTTACATCAAAGTCGAATCCATGCCGTTCACGGTATCGTTGAGCAAATTTGGACAATCGGCCAGCGCCTCCCATTGCGTTCAAGACCTCCATAATCTTTCTGGCACCCTCCGTTGCCGATCTTTCTACTACCACTGTTGTTTTCATTAGCGGAGGTTGGAGCGGAGGTTGGAGCAGAGATTGAAATAGAGATGGTGGGCAGTTCTAAAAGATGAGCAATTAAATCGTTTCAAATGTTACAACCCAACTGATACTATTGTCTTACAAAGAGTAATTTAACAATTAAATAAACGAACAAAGTATCCAGCGTTGAAGGGCATTTGTGGTTTGAGCCAGTGTGCGAGAGGAGCAAGTGGTGCGGCTCTAAGTGTCGGGGGTTGGGTGTTGCGGCCCCGTTGGTTCGTTTTTGGTGATCCGCGTGTGATTCCTCGTCCTCGTAGGCAACTCTGTTGTCGCTCTTCGACCATCAAGCGTTCAAAAGTGAGTCGATTTTTAGGGAACCATTTGTGAAGATGCTAGCCCCTCGTCCTCCTCCATGCGCCGCTCTAAAACAAAAGTTTAACACAACCTACCCCGAACTTTAGCCAACCTATTGTATCCACCGCGTCGATTACTCTTTTTCTTCTTCTTCTTTTGCCGCTGAATTTGAAATTGAAGAGCTTGCGATGCAGCGTTGTCGGACACTCTTGAAATCGAATAAATTTAAACTCGAAATCGATCGTACTTGGCTTTGTACGCTCGTCTTCCTTGCGAATCAATTGCTGGAAAGAGTTGGGGGTGGTCGTCGAGCAGCTTTTCCAAATGTTGATATCCAAATTTCTCGTGCGTCAAGCCACCATATTCTTCCCTAAACAAAAACTGAATTGATAAACGGCTAATTTCACTAGAAAAATGCTTAGTTCTAAACACAAAATCTGTTCTAGGTACTTTTTGGGTGAAACTCTTCAACGAACCCCTGCTTTTACTGTGATTTGAATAAATTAAGCAAACGATTACATCATTAAGCTACCAAGTAAAACACATCAACTAATAAAAAAGACTCACCTGTATTCTCGAAGGATCTTTCCTGATGTCGACGGTTCTTGAAAGCTGGCGACAATGGCGTAGATGGTAAGCCGCGTCTTTCGCAGCTCCGCCTCGAGCGCTTCATTCATTAGATGAGAAAACCTTAAAATCTTTATAAATGAATGCAACAAGAAGACAATAACATAGGTAGGTAAAAGTTGCATAAACGATTAAAGCAATTTAACAATTTAAACGATTAAATTGTCAAGTTTACGAAGTTAGGATTTATGCAACTCATTTAACAAGTCCTTGAATGAGCACTAGTCGATCCCTATCCGGCGCGCTGCCATTTTTGAAGGATTAAAAGGCAAAAACTGCGAAAAGCGTTAAGTTGCATCATTTTTGCTTTATAGCCCAAATTTGACGTGTCAGCAAGATCTAATTAGTCGAAATTCGGAAGCTACGCATACGATTCCCTTATATGAAAACATTTTTGAAGCTCTGCGGCCTTTCCTAAGGCCTTTTCCAGCTTTTCCAGCGCATTTGTCCCACCGTCATTTTATGTAGAAAATCTTCAAAAATGGCAGCGCACCGAATTAGTGCTCATTCAAGAACTTGTTAAATGAGTTGCATAAATCCGATTGGGAAGTTTTTAGTAAATAAATTTAGCCAAGATTAAGCTCTACAATTCTCTACCTACAATTAAGCTCTACAATGCTCTACAATTCTCTACTTGGAACTTTGAAATTAAGCATACGACAACTACTTTGCCAAAAAGTTGTCCGGATAATTTTCAGATACCCTGGGCTAATTTCCGCCATTTTATTTAAGAAACAAGGTCATTTGCGCAACAGGATCTTTTGCGCAATTCGCCATAACTTTCTTCTAAGTGATCCAATCTTTATGATTTTGGTGTTATTTTGTTGCACGTCTTGAGATCTACAAAATCACACCAAAATCATAAAGATTGGATCACTTAGAAGAAAGCTATGGCGAGTTGCGCAAATAAAATGGCGGAAGTTAGCCTATCCCAAAATGAGCCGTCTAAAAACGCTTTATATATGCGCAATAAAAAGGGATACGGTAGCACGACAGACAGAAACGTCTAGAACGTCTAAACAACGTCTAGAACGTCTAAACAACGTCTAGAACGTCTAAACAACGTCTAGAACGTCTAAACAACGTCTAGAACGTCTAAACAACGTCTAGAACGTCTAAACAACGTCTAGAACGTCTAAACAACGTCTAGAACGTCTAAACAACGTCTAGAACGTCTAAACAACGTCTAGAACGTCTAAACAACGTCTAGAACGTCTAAACAACGTCTAGAACGTCTAAACAACGTCTAGAACGTCTAAACAACGTCTAGAACGTCTAAACAACGTCTAGAACGTCTAAACAACGTCTAGAACGTCTAAACAACGTCTAGAACGTCTAAACAACGTCTAGAACGTCTAAACAACGTCTAGAACGTCTAAACAACGTCTAGAACGTCTAAACAACGTCTAGAACGTCTAAACAACGTCTAGAACGTCTAAACAACGTCTAGAACGTCTAAACAACGTCTAGAACGTCTAAACAACGTCTAGAACGTCTAAACAACGTCTAGAACGTCTAAACAACGTCTAGAACGTCTAAACAACGTCTAGAACGTCTAAACAACGTCTAGAACGTCTAAACGTCTCTAAAAACGTGTTTCGGAAAAGAATGACGCTAAAATACTCAACGTGTTCGATGGCTTCGTTAAAAACTTCTAAAACTGTTACCTTTAGCTTTGTCAGGCTAAGTTACCCCAAAGACCCCATCAATCTGGCCCCTTAGATCTATCATCGCCACTATTTTTTCTCTTACATGTTTCGTTTTGCAAAACTATCTCCTAATTGTTTACTTTAGATAATGGGTCGCGGAAAGGGCAGCTCGGTGCTTCCGATCACGACGAACGTCCGTGCTGACATCGAGATGCTGAAGAAAATGTTCGAACGGACGAAGAGAACGCGATTCGACGACTTTTTCGCCGAATTCGAGGCGCTCGAGTTCCACAAGGTCTACGCAAATCACGCGAAACCGGAGGTGCTCATCGAGTTCACCGAAAATTTGTACCAAATTGCACTTAGCTACACGAATCTGGATTACACCCACCTGAATGCCCAAAAGCGAAGGGAGCCGATGGAGCGGCCGGTTGGTGATCGAATCTTCGGATGCTATTTGTTGTTCGCACTGTTCCACGCGCAGCCTCCCAAGTGCAAGGTGCCAATTCATGTCACAAATCAGCGACTAAAGCAAATGAGAACTCTTGGCGAGGCGTGTCTACAGAAAGGAAACCCGGACGTGCAGTATTCGATTGAGGAACTAAAGAAGATTGATGCTTTCAAGTTGATTCCATACGATAAGATCAAATGGGATCCGGAAACAGTGACCGATTTCGAGCACGAATATGAACGATTGGACGACCCGGATCATTACGCAGTGAACCCTTTCGAAAATTTGGCGCAAATCGTGGAAGGAGAAAGCTACAAAGAGGTGATCAAGATGTTAGAAGATTCGAGTTTGGGCGAACGATTCAGGTATCTTTTGAGTAAATTCAATTATTAAGCTTTTGAGGAAGGTCTAACACAAGGTTGTGGCTGGCTTAGACTTTGCATTAACTTCAAAGTTCAAGCAACGCATCATTGCACAAAGTTTAAATTAACGGTTGAAAAGTTGAAGGAAATGCTAGACTCTCTCACTCATTCAACTCACAAACGTCTAGATTGTCAGCTTTCGTCAAGTTAGTTTAGAAACTTTGTGAAAACCTGAGCTTATCTTTGCCAATGATCTGAATGATCACTGAATAACGTTTTCTTTTTCAGAAACTATCTCCTCGCGATGAAATTTTTGGCCGAGACGACACTTTTTAGCACAGACGCTACATCAAATGCTTTTGACGACACGCTTCTCATCAAGAAATGTGTAGCCAAACGGGCAAGCAAGAAGCGACAGCGGCAAAAATAATGATCACCTTGTAAGATTAAAGATTACTTTTGTCTGTTTAGTCAATTCTTTTGTTTTTATTGTTTAAAATTCTAAGAACTCTTGTTAACTACTAAATTTCAAGATAACCTTCCCTTTCTTGTTCGATGTAAAGAGTAATTGTCTTAAGTTTATCATGTTTTTGTTGTTGTTAGGTAATAAATTGTTGAATTCAGATCGACTTCCTCAAAAGCGATTGTCGATGATCAGCTAATCTTGTTTAAACACAAAAAATTTAAATACTATACCAAAAAATTGCATGGACAAATTTAATTACTTTAAATTTACATCTTATCATTCCTGCTGTTGAAAAAAAACCAAATTTTTGATCATTTTCTTATCCGCAGCTCTTGAATTGGTGAGAAAAGGTGCGTTTCCTTTGTTTAGCTCTTGTTCAACTACCCAAGCCTGGATTTTCCCTTCAAACTTTATGTTTTTTTTCAGATCATGGGCGATTCGTCGAGTCTACCGGGAAATGAACTACTTCAAGCGTAAGGTTTTTGTGTTAAATCAGTAAAATTTTGTTTCTTTTAGTGAAAAAGATGAAAAAGACGATGGCCCTTTCGAGAATCGACGAGTCAACTCTTCGGAAATCGCACCAAATGCGGAGGTAGAGCTTTTACTGGACAAAGATTTTGTCAAACTTGATAATTTGGTGAAAAACGAGCTGGGAATTAGTCTAAACTGACAAGCTGAAAGCTTTGTGAGAAAGCTTCCCAACTACCTTTGAGCCAAACTTTCAATATGTGTTGACTAAGCTTTTATTAGGGTGGTAGGAATGAAACTAGTGCTCACAGATCTTTTCAAAAATAAAAAAGATTGCAAGCCGCAGTGAATAAGTGTTGTATACTATTAGAAAGCCTTGAATCTCCTCTACAAAATAGTGGAAAAAGATTTTTGAATTGATTATTTGGGATTTGAGTGACTTTTAAGTTGAAAGCTCAAAAATGACACATTTTCTGGAAAATGTGTTTCTAGTAATAGCCATGCCCGGATTTTCTGTTAGAAAATACTGCCAATTAAAGTTATTTGAAAATAAAATAAAAGAGAAGAACTCGTTTTGTTCGTTTTCTAGAGCTAAATCTTTGTTTTTTGGAATGATTGGGCTAAAAACGGCTACTTTTGACTTTGGATTCTCATATCTCGATAGAATCTAAGCTGGTCTTTTGAGTTTTGATATAAATATTAAGTAGTGTATATCTTTAATATACTGGAAAAATTTCAAGTGAAAAGATCCGTGGAAGTGTTAGTTGCCAGCAGGCGCAGGTACCTAGGTTGAGACTCGACCTGCGGTTACCGTCGCTTTAACACCCAAGTCCCCAATAATTAATCCAATTCAACATTTTTTTTGCACTATTTTCTAGAGGAGATTTAGGGCTTTCTAATAGTATACAACACTTATTGGCTGAGGCTTACCATTTTTTTATTTTTGGAAATTTTATGGAAATGGAAAGATATGTGAGCACTAGTTTTATTCCTACCACCCTAATATCTTCAGGGTCCATTTGGGGTGCGCCTTAGCGACGATATGCTCAACGTGTTCTGCGATCGTGTGCAACTCGCCGCCCCGGACCGTATTAACGGCTTTTTTGCGATTCAATCGATTTTGGTAAGTGGCAGCACTGTTTGGGGATATTGAAGTATACGTTAATTGAATGACTTTTCAATTTGTGAAAATTTTGAAGCAAATTGATTGTCACAAAGTCGTTTACTACAGTTTATTACTAATTAAAAGCTATTCAGCAACTTCAGAGCACTTTAGTGCGACCCGGCCTCGCTTCGATCGCAAATTCAGCCGCGTCAAGAAGTCATCCAAATTTTCTTCGACCAGGAACAGGAGCACTACATTACGGTAAGAATGCCTTTTTCTTCTCACGCTCAGGCTCAACTCCTTTTAGGCTCATCTCTTTTACGTGAATAAGGTGCCCACTCTACGAATTTACGACCCATTACTGCATGCGAAAAATGTTAAAAATCGGGATTTGAAAGATATGGTATTTTTTTGAGTATGATTTACAGCTATTTCCTTTTAGATGAGCCCATCGATGATTCGACAAATTTTGGACATCTTCGGACATATCGTTTTCCGTGTTGCTCAGCCAGGCGCGGTCCCTGTTGAATATGTGCACGACATTGACCCTCAGGTTGATTTTGGCAGTCACTCGGTTTTAACCAGGGATTCAAGCTGTTAAGGTAAATAAAATTTAAAATTTTCAGACAGATGGATGGAGTTGTGGATATCGAGCAATCGGCGTTGTGATGGATTTGTTGAGAGAAAGACCTCCCATGGAGTAAGTACGATTTTTTCTGCTCATTGCTCATTTGTTTAGCTCAAAATACGATGTTCGCTCACTCTATGACTTGTACATTTGGGCGAATCGCGATGGATCGCACCCGTGGCACGAATTTATGAAGTTCCCGTATCGTAGGTTGGGTTTTGGTATATTGGATAAGGATTTAACGGGGCTGAGCTTTTCAAATAGCATCCCCTAAGTCTAAATGTTTCATTTTCCAGCTATCGCCTCCGGAATTATGTTAGAAACGGCATTGTTGTGTTCACCGAGGAATTCTACAAGGAGAAAGTCGACAAAGCGGTCGCCGATGAGGTGAGATAGCAAAATCAGCCTAATAAGCAAGTTTCCCATTTTCGAAAGCCACCGAATCGCTTGTCGCTCAATCTGAAGAACCAACGGCTCAACCGGCCTGCAAAGAGGAGCCTCCTGCGGCTCACAAAGAAAATCCTGTGGTATTGTTTGGCGGGTTTTAAACACGAATAGGCTTGTTTGATGGTAAACAAAGTGATTCGTTATACAAAAAGCCAGCCGGGAGGCTACGAATGAACAAAATGCGCCATTCGAACGTTATAACTAATTGCAGTTTTTTAGATCGACGCTGTTCCTTCAAAGTCTGGTGATTTAACAAACGGAGTTCGGGAAATGCGACAAAGTTGTTGTGATTAGTGGGTAGATTGATAGTTTCTGGAAGTTTATCTTGCCTTTAGTCATCTACAATCAAACGCTTCAAAAAATGACAAGAGCAAAGACGCAAAGAGCACCACCCACCATCGAGCAATGGTATATTTGTTCAATTTGCTTTTAAATTTGCTCGACTTTAGGCTGAAAGCAGCGGGATTGAGACTCCGAGGGTGCCTGATTCGTTTTTAAAAGTACGTTTTTGACTATGATTTTATAAAAGTTTGTCTTTTAGGAAACCAGTCCCTCTACTCCCAAGATTGGCCGTCCATTCTTCATCGTCGCAACCCGAGCTCTTGCAACCGCTTAATCGATGGTCTTACGTGCGCACGTGGAGTGAACGACAAAGTGATGAGGAAAAAAAGAGAAGTGGAAGTGCCGGAGAATGCCCAACCAATTCTCGACTGTCAGCCATTGAAACGACGCGTTCAATCACCCGTTGGACAAACGATGTCTTCAGCTCGGAGCCCATTGAATGCAATGTGGGTTTTCTTGCAATTCAGTATTTGGATCAGCTTTAACTAGAAATATCAACTGTTAAACTCCATACGAATTAATTCGTTTAGGTGCCCGCCTCATTTGACTCTCTTCCTTCGATGCCCGTGCCGAATCTTCACGCTTGCCGCTCCTCCACGCGCCACGAGGGCTCCTCATTTCACACCGACTCGAATCATTCTCTTCATGGCGTCGAAAAGAGCCAACAACAAAAGCCATCCGCAAACAAGCTTCATCAAGTCACGTTTCGACCCCATCTGGGATACGGAGCCGATGAGCAACACTCGAGCTTTGAGGCCGATGTCAGCAGCTTTGGAAGTTCCAACAAGGTGGGGGGATTTAGTCATGGAATAAATGTTGCCGGTAAAATTGTCGCTAAAGAGAAGCTCAACGTCAGAAGGTAGACCCACTTAAAGTCTTGCGTAGTCCTTAACTGATAATTTAAACCGGGCTAACGTTTAAGTTGCAAAGAATGTCATGTCTAATAATTTTCTACCTTCAGAGCGTAAAATTCGATGTGCAATGGGAGTCGGAGCCTGCTGCCATAATCGTTCCTTCCTTCATCCCGGTCGAGATCAAAAAGCCAATCAATTGCACAACTAAGTCCAAGGACGTTCGTCTGGAAATGGGCTCCGTGGTGGCCACGCAAATCACCCACAAGAACAATAACAACAACAATTCGCCGCTTTCATCACCCTCATCATCAATGCTGGTTAGTGCTTTGGGAGTTTGTACTTAAAAACGAAGTTCTTCCAGAAACCTTCTTAAAAAGTGTAAATTAAGAACTCGGAACCTCGGTGCTGTTGTTGAAATGTGGTCGCTCACAAGAGAAATGCTTCCTCCGAACGTGTTCACCTCTTCACAACACGTCCAGCAAGATTTCCCGATGAGAAATATGTATTAACATTGATCTCTTTATCTGCTGTTTTGATTTGTTTGAGTTTACCCTTTGCACCACTGCTCTTTTTTTTAAAACTATATTCCTCTTTACACATGCACTGTTTTATTGTGATTTATGGTTTTCATTGGGAGTCTATTATTGTGTGTATTGCGGCTATGCTCGCTTTTTCGGAGGGTTGTTTGTTGATAAAGTTATAAAATAATCATACGATTTAACGAGAAAACAATGAGAACAAGATTTACATGAGGCAGAACAGACCCGTAGTTCATAGCATATCCAAAATTGTGTTTAGAGGGTAAGATCAGTAGGCGGTGTGGCTAGGGCCAATTTGTGCAGTAACGTGGAGCGGCGATTTCTAGAAATCTCAATAGACTGTCATTATGACAGGTGAGCTCACCTAGGGTTGGCCGCATAAACGGTATGAAAATCTCGCATGTTAACACGAATGGCACGCGAGCGAAGCGTTTGATGTGCTGCTGCGCCGGCGCCGGCCGCGTCCCATCTAAAACAACAATATTTAGATTGTTACAAAACCATATTTTAAGGCTATTTTAAAGGCTATTGATTCAAGCTCTAGTTATAAAGTTGAACAAACGATGCAAATTTAAGCTTATGCAGAATAGGAACTACTTGATATCGTATCACCCTAGAAGTTTACCGGTTAGTCTTTGCTTTTGATCCGCTTAAAGCCGCAATGGCTGCCGCGTTGGCCTCGCGAGTTCGTTTCGCCTCAGCGTCGGCTCGTTGCATCTCCTTTGCACGTTCAATCGAGTCCTTCGTTGAACTACCTTAATTCAAAAGTGTTTGGGGACCAAAATAATGCTCAATACCTTTCCCTTTGCCCATCCGAAGCGCTTCCTCTTTCTCGCGGTTCAAGCGCTGTTCTTCAAGTTGTCTAAAAGTGATTATTATTTCTCTCAAAAAGGTTTTTTAACCTATCCATAGCCTCCAGCCATTTAATTTGCGATTTCGCATCGTCGAGCACAAAATAGTCGGGATTAGCTCTAAAATTGATGTGTACATGATTAACGAGTAAAATACTTACTTTGGATTAGGATCTAGACGATGCTGAGCCATCACACCAAGTTCGCCAATGAGCTCTCGTATTCGGTACTCGGTTGCATCCGAAATCAGCGTCACCAATTCTTCATCAACGTAGCAAGCCTAAATAAAGTACAATATCAAAGTAATGAAAGCCCCCAAAACGCACCATATTCATCCTCTGTGTGATTTTCGTCATAATTTGTGCCGGCTGGATGAGTGTATTCGCAAATGGACTCTCCTTGTACTGGCGAACGGTTTCCTGGAGTTGAGTTGGGTAAATGAACCGCTGCCAAAACAAACCTCTTCGCTTGGCGGTGCTTGTACTATTTGCTGTACATTTGGCTCTTCCTAAAGAGAATCATTTTTGGGGCAAATTCGCTAAAAGTTACCTTATGTGTGACTTGTTGAATTTCTCTTCGCAGCTCGCTTACATTTGGCAAATCATCCATCTCCATAATTTCGTTTTTCTGAAAATGCAAAAGTAAATTTTGAACTAGATTTGTTTGAGTTAATTTTATGGCTAAAATACCTACCAAACCCATCAAAGGCCCACTTGCTCCTGAGCGAATCGATACAGGAGTCTAAAAAAAATTAATATCATTAAAAACCCGGTATTCCTAACCTGATTTTGCTGCATTTGTTGCTGATTTCCCATCGGTAAGCGATTTTGTGGTTGTTGTTGTGATGTTGCCGGGGTTCCCATCATTTGTTGTATCGTAAAATTCTTCGCGAAATCGATCACCGCTTGATCGCCGTTTTGTTCAACTTGATAAATGATCTAAAGAAATTTGGATTGCTAAATTTGCAAACTATAAGCTAAGGAGCAAAATGGACTTATTACGCAACTAAATTTTTAATGAAGTAGGACTAAACGCACTCTAATCCACAAAAATTTTGATGGTTTCTCTCAATTTGTATTCACCTCTTTGTTTTCGATAGCTTTTCGTAAAACGGGCAGCGTCTCGTGAAGAAATGCCAATAAATGCGATTGAGCCTTTGAGCCGAGCACTTCTTCCAAGCGATTAGTGAATTCCTCGGGTTCGATCGTGCCATGGATCACATCCTAAAAGATGTTGATAAACAAAAGTTGTGTTTAATGCATAAATTTTGCACCACTTACCGTTACATAGCCAATCAATCTCGGCCGCACGTTATCGGGCTTGTTGCGCAAAAGTGTTTGAAACAACTTGACACTCTTCGTCACTGGGTCAACTAGAGTGATTTTAAAGGGCCAATAGAAATATCAAATACCATGTTGCTGTGGTGGTTGTTGAGGTGCGCCCATCGGTTGTCCTTGCTGATGTGGTGGTTGTTGAGGAACCCCCATCGGTTGTCCTTGATGCTGTGGTGATTGTTGAGGAACACCCATCGGTTGTCCTTGATGCTGTGGTTGTTGGGGTGCACCAATTGGTCGTGCTTGTTGATGAAATTGTTGAGGCGGCTGGTGCATGTTTGGCTGAGATCCGATTTGCATTTGCTGAGGTCCAGCGCCATTGTCCTGCCTGATCATCGGCGAACTCACGCCCTAAAATGAACAATTGGTCAAAAAAATTTAGTGAAAAACACAGATCTAGGTAGCTTAACTATAGCTTCAAGCATTTAGATGATTCACCGAGCCTACAAGTCAGCCTTGACTTTGAAAGCTTTAAGCAACAAGCACTTTAACGTGCTAGCTCACTTTAGCTCCATTATTAGCTTCAGCTTCATGTTGTTTTGGTTCATTTTAAAGCTTTGAAAAGCCACGAACAAGTATTGCCAAGGTTTTTAATCATACAGCGCTTCGGAGATCTTACTATCTATGCGCAAATATTGTATTTATAAGAGCAATTAACACAATTCCAAGGGTATCAACCTTGTAGCGCCTCAAAAAGCCTTACATGCATTGGTGGTTGATGTTGTGGATGTGGTTCCCTGAGTGGCGGTGGTTGAATGGACGCATAGTCGATATTTTGCGGAGTTGTCGAGGCCATGGCGTGTTGGATGGCCGACGGCATGGACGTCGGGGGGCGCATCTCGCCGAGTCCCCTTCCTGCTGGAACGACGCGAAAGCGAGGTGGACCCGAGGCGGGTGGGTCGCTCATCTAAAGTTGGATATTGGTAAATTTTTAAAGTCAAAGAGAGTTCAACAAGTTAAAAGACCCAATAAAAGCCCATGGAACGAAGAGAAACCACATGATAAACTTTATACTCAAAAAAATCAGCCTCTCTGTTAAAAGATACAGGGTTGAGCAAAATTATCCTGATAACTTTTTGGAAAAGTAGTTGTCGGACGTTTAATTTATTTTAAAGTGTCAAGTGTTATATAGAGAATTGTAGAGCTTAATCTTGGTAAGTTTATCTACTAAAAACTTCCCAATCGGATTTATGCAACTCATTTAACAAGTCCTTGAATGAGCACTAATTCGGTGCGCTGCCATTTTTGAAGATTTTCTACATAAAATGGGGGTGGGACAAATGCGACCTTTTTTTCGCTGGAAAAGGCTTTAGGAAAGGCCGCAGAGCTTCAAAAATGTTTTCATATAAGGGAATCGTATGCGTAGCTTCCGAATTTCCACTAATTAGATCTTGGTGACACGTCAAATTTGGGCTATAAAGCAAAAATGATGCAACTTAACGCTTTTCGCAGTTTTTGCCTTTTAACCCTTCAAAAATGGCAGCGCGCCGGATACTTTTCCAAAAAGTTCTTCGGGTAATTTCGCTCAACCCTGTAACAGCCTAGTGCTCATTCAAGGACTTGTTAAATGAGTTGCATAAATCCTATTGGGAAGTTTTTAGTAAATAAATTTAGCCAAGATTAAGCTCTACAATTCTCTATATAAGATTTGACACTTTGAAATAAATTAAGCGTACGACAACTACTTATCCAAAAAGTTGTCCGGATAATTTTGAGACACCCTGGGCTAATTTCCACCATTTTATTTGCGCAACTGGATCTTTTGCACAACTCGCCATAACTTTCTTCTAAGTGGGTCAATCTTTATGATTTTGGTGTCATTTTGCTGCACTTATTGAGGATCTACAGGGTCATTTGCGCAACTCGCCATAACTTTCTTCTAAGTGGGGCAATCTTTATGATTTTGGTGTCATTTTGTTGCACTTATTGAGGATCTACAGGGTCATTTGCGCAACTCGCCATAACTTTCTTCTAAGTGGGTCAATCTTTATGATTTTAGTGTCATTTTGTAGATCTCAATAAGTGCAACAAAATAACACCAAAATCATAAAGATTTGATCACTTAGAAGAAAGTTATGGCAAGTTGCGCAAATAAAATGGCGGAAGTTAGCCTAACTCCAACGCTGTATTCAAGAAAGTTTACCAACGACTTTATACTCAAAAAAATTTTTGAGCTTCGCTGATAAAAGATATTCAGGCAAGTTTATCAAATGGAGAACAAACGAGCAAAGACTTTTATATTGAAAAAATTTTCAGTCCCACTGAAAAAAAGATATTCAGTTAATAAATGAAATTTTGAAATAGCGGAAATAAAAGTAGAGCCAATAAACGCGAAAATTCATTTTTCTTCAAGCGCTCGAGCAAAGCTTTTCAATTTTTTTTCAAGTTTTCAACTTTTGCAGGGAGTGGGACAAATGCGACCTTTTTTGCGCAAACCCGGACATTTGCCGACCTTGCCCATTAGCGCACCTTTTTCGCGCCTTAAAAAAGCTCTAAAAAGCTAAAAAGCTAATATTAACCAATTTCTATTCCAAAAGTTATTTTTCTAGGTAATTTTAGGGCGTAGAATCGAAATTTTGGCATATCAGAGCGTGTGGAACCAATTTGAAAGACAAAACGGCTAGATCAAATTACAGAAAATTGTTGATTTTTCTCTTTGTATAACTCCGTCCATTCGCTTCCACAAGCTCTGATATGTCAAAATTTGAATTCGACACCCTCAAATTACCTAGAAAAACAACTTTTAGAATAGAAATTGGTTAATATTAACTTTTGGAGCTTTTTTAAAACGCGAAAAAAGGTTCACTAATGGGCAAGGTGCGGAAAAAAAGGTGCGCAAATGTCCGGGTGCGCAAAAAAAAGGTCGCATTTGTCCCACTCCCCTTTTGCACGCTTTGCTAAATCTCATTCAAAAAGCAATTCCATGACGTTTTCAGTCTTTTCCTTTCCAATATAAACCTTTCGTAAAGCTAAAAGAACGGCCGTTCGAACGGATAGAGTACGGGGCGTGCCTATAGTAATCCTTTTCGCTCCTGGCGGGACCATTTCCTCTCCGTCGAATCAATAACTTGTTATTTTCTCAAATCTGCCCCATTGTGTGCTTACGAAAGAAAAATTTACCCATTACTGATGGGAACGTTTCCTTTTTTTTTCGAGAACCCTCCATTTTTCATCGATTTTTTTGAGAGCATTTGAAAATTTCGATACTTTTTTCAGTTTTAAATTTACAATTTGTTTTAACTTATGAAATTTGCCACGATTTTTTTCAAAGTTCTCAGTTCTCACTTGGCACCTCGATATTTGTTTAGCGTTTAGTCTACTTAACTCTGCTGAATGTTTTGCAACCTTTTATGCAAAAGAAAGATATTAAATTCAAAAATTAAGCAGACTTAGCGCTAACCTGATTTTAGTAGTCCTGAACTTTGATTTTTAATGGAGACCTTTTTTTTTGGTTTTTTACTTTTTCAGCTAGATTTTATTTTTTTCTTTTTAGCAGTTATGGGCGTTAAAGAAGTTGATCGAAAGCAACGTTCTGTTCCAACATCTGATCAGATTCGATTGGCGAAACTCACATTGACCGATGGCGGTGCTATGGATGAGGATCAAGAAGTGATGAAGAGACTCATCAAAAAGGTTTAGCTATTCTTTGCTCGATTTGATTGTATTTTGTGATTTAGGTGATTGAAACGACTTTGTGTACGAAGGCTCAGGCGGAGATTGCACTTTTCGACAACGATAATGATGCCGATGCTGCGGTGCTTCAAATCCTTGAAAACCCTGATCTCAATTGGACCGAACAGAAGAACAAAAAAGACAAGAAAAAAGAAGGTAAAGAATTTTTTGCCTTGGGTTACTTTGGGTGTTATTGTACAAGAAGATGATTAACCTACGCTAATTAATTGCCTGACACCTAAAGAAGTTATGTATTACAAGTTCAGTAACCACCAAATGATACCTACAATTGATTTAATTTTACTGAATTTGCTATTATAAATTCTGATTCTAAATCGAAATAGGACAAGTACAAATTGTTTATTTCAGATGAGAACGTGAAGCCAGTGCGTGGTCAGTCGTCTACGCGCGGTCGTAGCGGACAGACGCGGGAGTGGACAGACAGAGCAAATGGAAATCGAGGAAAGTCGTATCAAGGAGGCGGCAATGCATCTTCTACGACAACTCGAGGTCCTGATTCGCGGGGAGCAGCCCGGGGAGAGAATGGACGCGGTGGTGGTCGAGGGAACAATGCAGTACGTCAGCAGCGGGAAAACAAGGACGCCAAAGTGACGCCTACGGAAAATGGTGGACATGAGGAGAATCACGACTGGGTAAGTATTTATCTGGTCTAAGATTACTGAATTTAATTGCAAGCTTTATTCATTTTTAGAAGAGCGGTCCTCTGGTGTTCAAGCGCACTGAAGAGAGCACGGCGACAGCCACTGAATCGACTACTTCGGTGCCATCTATTCCAGTGACCAATGGCTCTACATCAACCGGACCAATTTCGTTTGCTGCGGCGGCTGCGGCTGGAGTCAACAAGGAAAGGCATCGACAACAGCAGCAACAGAGGTTGATTGCCCATGTGGAAGAGAGCAAGCCTTCAGTCAGCGTCGAAGAGGTGGCGAGAATTCCTCCACCTGTTGAGTAAGTTTTTTTGTTGATTTAACACTTAAAAAGTATCAATTAAATCTAATTTGTAATAGTAATTTAGGGTCGAGGCTGAGTCATCTTTGAATACGTGCATCTCGCTGGAGGAGGAACCTCTGGACATCAATCAACCAACGTCAACGACGACTGATTGGGCGAGCAAGCTAAAAGCTGATCTCGGAATTGGTGTGCCAGCAGTAGAAAGCTTTGGACCACCTGAAGTTGCAAATGTAAGCATTTTTTGGGGGTTTTAGCAACTTTGTAATTCAGCCAGTCGAATTCATGTCTGATGCGGCGACTTCATTCTCTGGCCTTCAAGAATATCAATTTGGTTTCAACTCGGAGCCCGTGGAGTCGATTTTGCCGTCATCGCCAGCAAATCAATCGATTCCCGCCGTACAGATGCCAGAAGCGCCTCTTTTCACCCGATCTCCAATTGTTCCATCGTCTAGTCAAACGATTCCTCCAAAAACAGAGGTAACCGCTGTAACAGAATTCTTTTCAAATTTTTTTCTTCAGACTCTGCCACCTCAAAATGGTGAATTCTCGAATTTAAAGTCATCTCCACCAAGTTCGGTTCCGGTCTCATCGTACGCTCAGCATATGCAACAGCAACAGCAGCCGAGGACGTTATCATACGACTCTTCCAGCGTCTCCTATGCCCCACCTGATGGACGAGCGGCTCTTTCAAAGCCTCCAACCACTCAACCAATCCATGTGCAGAACCCGCCGCCTACTCATCAAATGCCTTATGCCGCACCGCAAATGCAATATCCAAACTATCCGTATCTCCAAAATGTCAATATGTACAGTCCAGCGGTAAGAAAAATTCGAAAGCATTTCTTATGTTCATTTTTAGCTACGAAATGATGATGCCAATTTTGCGGCAGCGGCGTTGATGCAGTATCCGTTCGGTATAAGTGGTGGACAAATTGATCTCAGCCAATTACTTCCTCAAGGGTTTGTTATTGTATTAACTTCCGTTGATGAACGATATATTTAGAGCTTTATCTGCCGGCCAATCACAGCAAGTGCCGCAACAACAGCACCGCAACGATAACCCTCAGATGATGGATCTCAATAAGTATGCTGATTCTTTTTGTTTGTTTAACTTTAACTACCTTTAGATTTCAAGGTGGAGTCAACAGTGGACGTGATTCGGCTGTCGGTCCACCACCTGGTTTTGCCAATCCTTCAGCTGCTTACATGGCACCTCATGCTCAGCAAAATTTGCAAAATCTCTTCATGCAACAGCAGGTTCGTAGTTTATTTTACTTGGAATCTAGTCAAGAAGGGATGATATTTTAAGCTTTATCATTTTTTTAGCAATATGGACCGAGTGGACCATTCCCCTACATTATGCAACCAACCGTCAATCAGGCTCGACAAATGTACGGCGGCGCGGGAGATGAAGAGCGCAAAAACTTTGAACGAAACGCGGGCAAACAGGGTGGAGCACAGCAAACTCCGCCTCCTCATTACCAGCAGCATAATGGATATATGCAAGGCCTTGGGAAACCGAAGCCACAACAGTACGGGCACACGAACAGCGGATGGAATTAGTTGATTCCTCTCCAAACGCTTTGAAATCTCATGTTTTGAATTTTTGTTAATAAATATTTTGATACATTTCCATTTTTTATAAATAAATGCATTATAAAGTTGCTGCTAAAATGTTTACTTTTGGAATTTGAGATGTTGTTTCGACAGGATTTAAGTTTTAACTTTAGACTGTTAAAGAGATGTCGGCCAGTGACGAGTTAGCGAATTTTAAACTTCAATTAGAGCAGGTAATATTTGTATTTGTAAAGTGTACTGGCAATGTTTGTGAAGTGTAGTATAGTCAATTGATGTTAGAATTACCACAAACGGACTATACGTCGAATTTTAGGTAGAAGCCGCCTTGCTAAAGGATTCAAACAACGAGGAGCTGCTCAAGTTGAAAGGAGATCTACAAGAAGTGATCGCTCTGCAGAAGGAAATCGTTGCCGCCGAACAAACCGAGCGAAAAGCTGAAGCCGATCCCTCGTCTTCGGGTCGCGAATGGAGGATGGGCGAACGGGTGTTGGCCAAGGGAACAAACGGGCAATACTACGCTGCGATCATTGACGGTATTTCTGGATCGACGGCTTCAGTGACTTTCCTCGGAAACAAGCAACAAGTTTTGGTGGAATTAACATCTCTTCGACCGGCTCCACACCAGGAAAAGAGCGTATTCGATAATCGACGAGGTGGCCAAGCACCAGCGGGAGCGAATCAAAAGGAATGGCAGGCGGAAAGAGAGCGCAAGCGACTGAAGTCATTGAAGAAGGACATGAAACGAAAAGAATTGGATCAAGCCAAAGAAACCGAGAAGTCAAGTTGGCATAAATTTAACACCAAAGCCTCCTCGAAGGGGATGAAAGGCGTGAAGAAAGTGGTGGGTAGCGCCGCGGCGGCCGATGGACCCTCGGGAGTACGATCAAAAGATATCAGCAGTCGAATGGACCCTTACCTCTTCAAGCAAACAAGCCGCGGAAATATGGATTCACTTTTCTAATTGTCAATTATGTATTTATTGATCTCTATTTTGACAATTGAAATTGTAAATTCAATAAATGTTTCATAAGGAAAAGATTTTAATAAAAGCACACCTAAAGGAGACGGTTAAAATGTTTATGGTTTGGAAAGAAATTTTATCAGCTACCTTAATTGTTGACTTAAGCACTACAAATCCAGTTTGATGAGTGGAAATTCGTTTTCTTACTCTAAATAACTTTGAAACTAAACTTCTGGACAACAATTTCATTTTTCGGTAATGACTCAGTGCGCGCTAGTGACTGGAGCAGTGAGTCCGCTTGGGAGAGCAATTGTTGAGCGGCTTGGCTTTCTTGGATACAGGTATTTCTTACTCTTTGATGTTGGCTTCTTCTTGGTACGTTAACGCACGAACAGCAAAATATTCATGACATGAATCTGTGTAAAGCTCTTAGCTGCTAATTTCTTCTATGTCAGTTTTAGTCACTAGGATTATTAAACGGAAAGTATAAATCTTTTTCCTTTCAGAGTCGCAGCGGCTGACAGCAAAAGTCTACTGGATGGTGTTGAGAATCGATTTCGAAAGGTACACAAATTTTGAAGAGAAATTTTTTTCTGATACACCTTCACCTTGAGCTTTATATACTTTGAGATACTTTAAAAGCCACCTTAAATGTAGCTTTAGCCAGGCCGAGAGGTGATTCCCGTGGAAGTTGACCTAAATCGACCCGATCATCGGCAGAAATTATTCGAAAAGGTTTGTGCTTGAATTCTCGTAATTGCTTAGCTTACATTTATGTTATAGGAAAAGCAACTTGGTACTTTTTTTTAGTTTTTTTTTTCCTTGCTTTAGGTCGCCTCATCAATCGGACAAATTGACAGCCTAATCGTTGTGCCGGGACAAAATCAGTTTCATGGTGCTGGGACGATTGTCGAGACGTGCGCCGGAGCGCTTGATAAAGTGATTTCGAAAGAGTTTTTTTATCCATTTATCAACTTTTTAGACTTTCACTCAATTCGTCACCACACCTTTCCGGATAGTGCAACAGGGATTGCCGTATTTGGCGAAATCGAAGTAAGTTAACGTTTGAAAAGATCAGTTATCAGCTTACAGGGATTAACGACTATTCTTGTAATTGAATTTAGTCTTTTAGAAACGGAAGCATCGTGTTTTTCGGCTCAATTGCGGGTTTCCAGCCGATGCTCGACATTGGAGTGTACAGTGTCGCCTCGTCAGCCGTCTTGGCGCTAACTAAAGTGGATAAATGACTTTTGTTCAGCTGGTTTTTAAAATATCGTTGAAATAATCAAAATATGCCATTTATTTAGGCAGTTGCTGAGAGTGGAGCGCAAAGTGGTGTTCGTGTGAATGCGGTGATCTCGGGAATGATTGATGGTGAGGGTTGCTGCAAGCTGATTACTGATTCAAATGCCTAGGTGACGGATCGTCGGCTGTTTGGGACTCGAATCGACGAGATCTCGGCGAGGATGAGCAAAGAAAAGCTGAGGCAAGTGAAGTTTCATAGAGTTAAGCTAGGCAAATCAAGTTAAAGTGGTTTTAAAAGCTCTTTGTGGACTCGAAAAGCTCTTTACGGACTCTCAGTGACTCTAAAAATTTGTTTCAAACGGCTTACTTCTTTATTGTTCAATATTTTATTCACTTTTGGGCAAAAAGCTAGGAAAATTGATAATATAATCGAGCTTGGGATACTTAAAATTTTAAAAACCTGTTCATTTTCATGTAAACTTTCATGTTAACTTATAATTTCAGGCGCACGAGTCGATATCGCAAATGATCCCGCTCGGGCGACCGGGAAAACCGAAAGACGTGGCAAACGCGGTCGAATTTCTGATATCCCCGCGAGCCAAGTACATCACCGCCGAGAATTTAGTGCTCAGCGGCGGAGTACAAGTTAGATTTTGAGTGTAACGTTGTTACCTAGAAAAATTTGTATCATATTATTATTATTGTTATTATTATCTTTTTGCTCTGTTGTACATTCTTCGGTACTTTTGAATTCGAATCTTTCTTCGGTACTTTTATAAAGATTGCTCAATCCTTGGTTTTTAACGTTTTAGACTTTGAAAAAGTCATCAGTTTCTGGAAAATATTGCTTTTAGACTTTATTGTTTATTGTTTTTTTTAGAAACTTTATGTTGATACGAAGATTCTCGTCAACAGCGTGCCGATTGTTGACTGAAAGGAAGGTGTGGGCGAATCAACCGCAGAAAATCCCCGATCAGGAATTTGCGACGAGAAGAGAGCGGCTCATCGAGAAGATTCGACGAGATCATCCACAGGCAAAAGAAAAAGAAGTGCTCATCGTTTTGAAAGGTACGAATTTTGAAGTAAAAATGAAAGAACTGAATACTCGTTTGGTTTTTAAAAGTTTGTTCGTTTGTTCAGTTGTAAAGTTATCGGATAGACTTTTGCTGAAAGATTGTTGATGATATGGCAAACGAGTTTCTAAACAGATAAACAAATAGGTAAATAGATAAATAGACAAATGGACAAATAGTTTTCAAGGAAAGGGCATCAAGTATTGGCTAATCGCGGTTTTTGTGAAAGCTACGCTGAAAGTTACTCCAAATGATTACTAGTAGTCATCTCTAACTCAATGAACGCCTCATGAATTACCGGTTTCAAAAAAGCTAGATCTTACCTTGATGTCATGCCAAAATTGAGTGTTTTTACGAGTCACTAGACCGGATATTTGTATTGGACTAACCTGGCTCTGCCAGACCAATCGATATTTGTCTACTAAATTGTAAAATTGACCTTACATAATCTGATATCATGATCAATGATCGATGATCAATACATGATCAATGACCAGACCTGGTGATAGGAACTTGACCTGAAAATCAAGACAAAACGACATTGACGAAAATCAAGATATCGACTACGCTGAACACGATGGTAAAATCTTTTTGCGAATGAGTAATAGTTTTTTTTTTTTTGCAAACACATTTAAAATTTTAAGCCATTCTTCGATTTTTACGATATTGTCAGTGTCAAAAAAAAGTGTCGTCGTGGCCGAGTGGGTAAAAAATAGGATTCAATTTTTGTGTAACCCTTTTTCAAACTGAGTCACTGAGCCAAAATTGAGCCAATTCTTTTCTCGATTTAGGCGCTCGCAAGTACTACACGGGACCTGATGTAGCGGGCACGTATCGACAGTGAGTTTTCCGCATTCATAGCTAGATAGTCGTATTGCTTTTAAGATTTTCATGACTTTCAAACGAACTCATTGACTTCAGGTGCTCGAATTTTCGCTACTTATCCGGGGTGACAAGTCCGGATGCTTTTTACACTATTCACGCTTCAAAGGAGAATAAAATCGACTCGTTGTTGTTTCTGCGAAAACGCACTGCTCACGAGGAGCTCTGGGATGTGAGTGGATTTGCTTTTTACTTTAATTTACTTTAATTTAACTTAGTTTTAAGGATTTCGTGACGTTTTAAGGATTTCATAACTAAATTCGACTTTAGGGCCCTTCGCTGAGCGATGATGAGCTGGGGAAAACGAGTGGATGCGAAGAAATTGTCTCCGTTGAACAATTCCCGAAACGACTTGAGAAGATGGTTAGTGGGTGAGTTTTAAAAGGAATATCAATGCTAGAATGATTCTCCTCTTTAGAGCTTTTCTTTGCTACGATCTTGAGTCGGATTGGTCGTCGGATGTCAAGGTGAAGGAGTCTTTTTTTTTCTTCACTTTTAAATGAGACAATGTTGAAGAATCGCCTAACCACCGAAAGATTGTGGATTTTTAGGCTCTGTTCACCGGTGGTGCTTCGATGACACCATTGCGAAGAGAATTACACAAATTAAGGTGTGCTTTTTGTGTTTTAAATCTTATTGTTTAAGTTTTTAAGATTTTAAGCCCTTTTAAGGCATTCATTGAGCAGGATTGGTTATTAATGTTAAAATGCTATTGTTGGTTATTAATGTTTACCCGTTTAGAGTCGTCAAATCATCGACTGAGCTCGCTTGCATGAGTCATGTGTGCACGCTGGGTGCACAAATGATGACGGCGATGATCGCTGAGTCGAGGGAAGTCACAAATGAAAATGAGATCCGTGGACGTTTGGAGTTTGAGGCGCGCAAAAGAGGAGCTGAGGTTTGTGAGGATTTTTTTTCTTTGACTTACAAACTTTCTCAAACTTTGAACAAGTTTATCAGTTTACAGCACAAATCGACGTTTCTACAGGGTTCGCCAGAATTACGGTTATACCTTTTTCAGCATATTGCATACCAAAAGCTTCAATCAATTCAAAAACCCGAAATATTATGAAGAGAAATGAAGCCTGAATTCTTACCTATATTTCTGTAACAAAAGATTTTTGATTGAAGTTTTGCAGCCGATTTTGCAGCCGATTTTTCAGAGCAACAAATTTACAGCTGCGCCGAGACTGGTCGGATTGGACTCGTTTGAGAGACGGCAAAAATCGACTGCAAAACTCTAATCGGCGATCTTTTGGTACAGAAATGTAGGCAAGAATTGAGGCTTCAATTCCTCTATATAAAATTTAGGGTTTTTTTTAAAATTGTTTCCGACTTTTGGCATGCAATATGCTGAAAAAGGTGTAGCCGTAATTCTGGTGAACCCTGTACAGAGTAAACCTATAAGACAACCCTCAACTCTCTACAAAGACAAAACTGATAGCCGTAAAGCCGAGCCAACTAAGCTACGGTAGTTGGCTCATGTTATAGGGGGTTACTGTAAAATACCAGTTTATACGAGGTGGCGGTAGCTGCCTTAAACCCTTAGGTCTACAGGAGTCGGGGCACACTCTAAAGCGGTCACTTAACTAGGGATCGTTGTTTATTTAACACCGAGTTTTGAAGCCTATTTTGTAGCAAAATTTTTCGTTGCCCTTTCCGAATATCTAGATTGTTTTTGTGTAAACGGGAAAATTTTCGATTTAAATCCTTTTGAAGTTGTTTTTGTGTGGAAAAAAAAAGCAGTTTTTGCGTTTTACGCTATTTATCTGATCGCACAAGTATCAAGCGATCGTCCGTCAACGATATGTAATCGTGGTCAAGTGGTAAATGCGCTAGGCCCTGGTTCGAGGCTTTTTTTGGCCCTGCTTCGAGCCTGAACTTTGGTATTCGGATATTCGATATTAGATATTCGAAAACAGCGAAAAATTTGCTATGTCTAGGTGGTAAATAAATGGTGTTACTTTTGAAATTCGGTGATAAATAAACAACGATCCATAGTAAGTAAGTAGTTAGTGTTTGGAAAACTTTACAGATTTTACAGATTTTTCCTTTTACTGTACATTGTTGCAGATCTTTCTATGAAACACGATGGATTATTTGTTAAATGCATCGGATTGTCCCTCATGAAGTCGTTAAGTAATGTACTCATTAAGTAATGTACTCATGAAGTAATGTACTCATTAAGTGTACTCATGAAATAATGTACTCATTAAGTGTACTCATGAAATAATGTACTCATTAAGTGTACTCATTAAGTCACAAGTACTAGTGGAAATCGCAATGTTAAATCAGAAAAAGGAGAATTAACAAATTTGACAGTTAAACTGTTGAAAGTTAACCTTTTGATAGCTGTTTATTAGAAAAATAATATATTTTCTTTTTTCTTAGAATCTTGCCTACATGCCGGTGATCGCTGGCGGTGCTCGAGCGAACGTGATTCACTATATGGATAACAACGCGTCGTTGCACAATGGAGATACGGTACTCGTCGACGCTGGATGTGATGCGGAGGGATACGTTTCTGATATTACACGGTAATTTTTGAAGTACTCTTGCTAAGGCGGATTTGAAGACTGTTTCCATTGGGTTGTGAAAGTCGTTATCTCATAAATTCAGGTGTTTCCCGGTCTCTGGTGAATGGTCGGATTCGCAACGCGTGCTTTATGAGGCGCTCAATTTAGTGCAAACGAATCTATTGGTTTATGCGAATTCAGTTGAACAAGTGAGTGATTTGAGAATTTTTGAAGAAATCAATGATTTTAGATAACTCTCATTTTTAGATATCTCTTTCGAATCTTTTCCAAAAAATGATCGAGTTCTTGGCGGCGGCAATGACCGATGCTGGCGTTTTACCGGATGGATTGAGTGGTCAAGAGTTGGCAAAGGTTCGCGTTTTTGTTGTTTTGTTTGTTTTGTGAAATACATGATTCTCAAAGATCGGTGACTATTTGAAATGAATATCGTTGAAAATCTACTTGACATTAAAGACATTGACGTTAAAGAGATTGACATTAAAGACATTGACATTAAAGACATTGACGTTATCAACATTGACGTTATCAACGTTAAAGCTTTTTCAGGAAGCTCAACTCCTTTGCCCGCATCATGTTTCGCATTATCTCGGAATGGATGTACACGATTGTGAAACGATGGAGAAGCACATTCCAGTGCAACCGGGAACCGTTTTCACAATTGAGCCAGGTAAGCCGGGCTTTTTGTCATAAATGATATGTGGTGATTGATGGCGAACAATTGAAATGAAACAATTGAAATGAAACAATTGAAATGAAACAATTGAAATGAAACAATTGAAATGAAACAATTGAAAATTGGTTATCGAGAAGTTATTGATACCGATAAACCCTTGAAAAGTATCTTGGAAAGAAAAGTATAAGTAAAAAGTCTAAGCGAGACTGCAGTTAGTTCGACGGGCGCGCTAGTTTTAGAGAAATTTTCGGTACTACGATAGTTGAGCGGGGAGGGGGGCAATTGTTTTTCTTCAAAAGTGCTTCCCTAGTGTTTTTTTTACGATTACGATTAGATTACGAATTTCATAGTTCATAGTCAATCACAGAAGCTTGGGAAAATGTGTTTTAGACTTTCGAGGACCCAAAGTCCCCTGCCTCTACAGTGTACTTCGCTGCTGGCTTCTGTAAGGAGAACCCGTCTAAGGCCTCGAAAGATTTGATGTTTTTTTTAAACATGCAAAAACCGCTTTCTTAGGGTTATTTAAACATGAAAATAACAAAAATAGATTTTAAAAAGTAAAAATTTCGAAATTTTTTATGATTTTTCACCAATTTGTAGGTGAAAATTTCGCAAAAATTTTTTTTTAGAAATTTTTATTTGAAAATTTTCTACTCGAATTTTGGTAATTGCAATTAATTGCACGTAGGACTTGAAATTAACTCGGACAAAAAGTCTTTTTGAACAGGAAAAGGCTCATTAAACTTTTTTTTTTTGGAACCCTTTCTTATATGTAGAGGAACATTACAGTGAAGGAACACTTATAGAGACGGCGCCTCTAAAAGTCGCTCTGAAAGCCTCTAAACCGCATTTTCCCAAGCTTCCAACTATGAAATTCGTAATCTGCGCAAAAAAAACCGGCCTAGAAAAAGCACTTTTAAAGGGAAAAAAAATTGAGCCCCTCCCTGAAAAACTGTCGTAGTACCAAATTTTCTTTGTTTTTTGTTTTTTTTTGTTGTTTCAGTTGAATGTTCTTGAATAAATCGCTTCCTTCAGGTGTCTACGTGCAAGCGACGAACCGGGTTGTGCCGAAAGAGTTCCGCGGAATCGGTTACCGAATCGAGGACGACGTGGTGAAAACCGAGAGTGGAATCTGGTGGATTTTAATGAGATTCAGCCATTCTAGGAGCCGCTCTGAAAGCCAAAAAGCATAACAACAACAGCCCTTTCAGCCTGCCCAAAACGGGAAATTTTATACGAAACTTTTGGGTTGTTAAATAGATAGTGGTAGGATAGATTTTAAGAATCGCTTAAAGCTTTTAAAAATAGAATTTGGTGTTTTGGCTTCAATCGATCAAATCGCTTGCTTAATCGGTTCAAATTCAACAAAATTTTCCAGTGTTCTCACCGAATCCTGTCAACGCGACACCGCCAGCATCGTGGCGTTGATGGGGAAATGATTTTCTCGTTTCTATACGATTTCTACAACTTTGTATGTAAAATAGTGTCTTTAGCTTAGTCTTGATTGTTCTTGATTGTTTTTTATTGTTTTTCTCTCTTTATGCCTTGTCAATTTTTGCACGGGTGCCGAATAAGCTTTCGAATAAATCGATTTATTTTGAGACTTTTAGTCCATTGAAAAACCTATTTTCCTATGCAGAATTGCGCGAAGAGGCGATCGAGGATAGCCTCGGTGACGGTGGCGCCGCTCAGCTCGCCGACAATGTTGAGCGCGTTTTGGAGATGATGGGCGCAGAGGGCGGCGTCAACCTGGAATTCGGGGAAATTGCTAACTGCTATGATTGTTTTAAGGTCTAAAACTACTGTGAAATGTCTCAAAATTGTCAACTAATAGCACCGGTTTGCCGCACTCTGGCTTAATTTAGGCACAACTTAAAAAATGACGGCTAAAGCTCAAAGTCAGAACTCAGCTTAACGTAGCATAACGGAAACTTAGAACCCTTCTATTGTGTCATCCGGATCGCTTAAAACCCAAAAAATCACCGTCTCCATGGATTGTTCCACTTCGGTAAGCGCTTCCGACAACAGCTCAAACTCAGTCAGCGATGGAGATGACTCGTCTGGGCACAAATCCTCGACCACTCTAAAGAAAACTGTGGAATAGGTTAAAAAAAAAAGTCTTTAATCGTTGAAAACTAAGCAAGGAACATTGAAAAATGGATTAATGCGCTTTCGAGTCAATTTCTCAAACTTTAAACCCCTTTATATAGCTTATGAAGTTAAATTAGTTTTAGTAACTTGCAAGAAATATGAAAAAGTTGGGATTTCAAGAGTTTCTCAAAGCAAACCTCTCCAATTTCGCTCGCAACGCGTCGATTCCATCGGTGGTGATGGCCGAGGTGGGCACGGGCACGTTTTGTACGGTTTGGGCGGAGGATGAGGGCTAAAATGATAGATATTAGACATACTAAGGGTACTGGCTCAACTTTTTATCACTTGTAATTGCAAACAAACCGTTTTCCCCTCCAGCAGATCGCACTTGTTGGCCACAGGGACGATGCACAACGTTTTATCGACGCTCTCGATCTCGGCGATGATCTCGGCGAGCTGGAAGAAAAGGAATTACACGTTGGCCTTAAAAATTCGGTTATTAGAGCTATCCAACTCTTGGTTTACACTTTCAAAAAGCCTGCGTAAAGCTTGGAAATCTACTGCCAGACCGGTAAGAAAATCAGCAAGAACTGATCTTCAGCAATGACAAAGCAAGCAAAAAAATCGATCTAAAGTCAAAAATTTCTGCAAAAACAGCTCTTCAAAGTTTTGTATTTTCTTTTTGAGCATTTTAAACGGAGCCAAAACGATTTGCGGCCTGGTTTACACTGGAAATCTGTGCTAGAAACAGCCCAGCTCGCAACCTTTTCTAATTACGATGAAGCTGGGGAAAACGAACCGCATTAGCCAAAGTATTATACTTCAGTTTCCCAGCTTCATTGAGCACCAGATAAACTAGCAAAATCTTACTTCTTCTGGTCTCCTCGCATCGAAAATGGCCAGCGCAATGTCGGCTTCTTCAATTCTAAAAAAGAAAGCAATTCCCATTGGTTTAAGCGCAATAAAGCAGCTATAAATGATACTTGATAAAACTTAAACCCTAGTTCAACTTTTTAGGTAGTTATGTGCGCTGCTTAACAAGTGATGAAATTTGTATTGCTATTGTAAAAATATTCTAATAGAACGCCTCGTAGAGTAGGGTAGAGTTCTTTTTCCAAAATCATTTTTTCTCAGCCTCTAGATTTTCCCCAACTACACTTTTGGTACCAAAAAAATACTAGATTACAAGAGCTATCCTTCAACACCCAAGCGCACACTGTAGCATAAAGCAGCGCGGAGAACAGGATGTTCAAAGTTAGACTAGACTAGTCATTACGGGTATGGCGCTCTATTTACGGCAGTAGAAGATTTGGAAATTTTAAAGGAAACTTTATCAAGTCAGTCACCTCTTTTTCGCTCTTGCAACCCCTTCTCTTTCGACAGTGCAATCCGTTTCGCGAAGGCCTGCCGTGTCGGTCAGTGTGGTCGGGATCCCGTTGAGCACGAGGCGAACCTGGAAATGGGAAAGTTAAGAGACTGATCGCCTAACACATTTAAAAACCATTGTTGCACAAAAAACCCTCACCTCAATGCTATCCCTTGTTGTACCAGCTGTTTCCGAAACGATCGCCACATCTCGTTGCACTAAAAAACAAAGAAGTTGAAGTTTTAACTAAAATTCGAATATAAAATCGTTAAGTTAACATTTTAAACGGTAAAATATCGCTACATTTACGTAAATGGATATTTTTTAGTAACCCAATAACTTCAAATTGTACGTTAAAGTTAAATAAAACCTAAATGGATTTCTACAATGATTTCTAGTGAGCTCGGCATGATTATATCAAGGTTCAACTGTTTGACTGATTTTCACGATAAAAGACAACATCTTAACGAGCTAGAGCTTCTCTGATGGGCCATAATGGGCTGTAAAAGAGTAAAAGTGCAGTGAATAATCGAGGCTTGAAAAGTGGCAAAAATCAGCTTTTTTGAGCGAGATATGAGCGTTTGTTTGGGGAGTAAACTTAGACTACCCGACGCTCCTACAGAGGGCTCTTCCATTAGAATATTTACGGTACTTCTTTAGTGCTTTGCAGCTTAAAATCGTACCCAATCGATTCATCAAACTGCTCTTCCCGGTGTTCGGCCGGCCAACCAACACGATGCGCAAGCCACGGTGCACGATTTCGGCGCTTCTCGACGAAGAGACCATTTTGCGGAGTTTCTCGAGAATGGCAAGGGATTGGACTCTAAAAAGATCAAGATAAGAGCTCTAATACCAATCAAGTTTTCTCATTAACATCAAGATTGGCTAATCGAAAATTTCCAGGACAAACCAGGTCAGGAAACCAGAAAAGCATCGCAGAATCGGCCAAAAGAGTAGACTACTAGCTTTAAGGACTAAATTTGCTAAAATGGACTAAAATGGAAAATTTTGTTTATCAGAAGTGGGTTTTAGGTAGCTTGCTGGGTAAAGAAAGCGCGTAGTACAGCTAGAAATTTTTTTTTCGAGAGAATTCTTTTGACAATACTGGCCTCGCTTTTAAACAACCCAAAATGCCTCAAACCAAAATTTCTTTGGAAGATCACAATAAACTCACTAGTCCCTAGAAACTAATGCAGTTCATAGAAACAAGCCGAACATATATATTGTTCACCTAATCAAACTAACTTACTTCACTTCGTCGAGCGTGCAATCGACGTGCTCTCCGAAATCGATTAACAATGTGGCCCGGCCAACCGCTTCCACCAAATCCTCGCGTAGTTGACGAACCGCTGGCCCGGCGTCCATCTGCTTTTGAGCGACTCTAAAACATAATTTATCAAATGTAGATCTTATTTAACAAATAATCTTATCGAAATGACTAATAAGCCAATGTTAACTTTGCTCTTTAAGCTAGGGTAGGCCATTTACTAATTCAAGCTCAAGAATAGGCTGAGTAGTGCCTCCAGAGCACTGCTATCCATCAGGGTATCATCAAAATCGATGATTAGCTTAGGAATTCTACATTTTGCATAGGCTTCTCATTATTTAGCTCAAAGGTACCTCCGTTGTCGATCAGTTTCGGCGTGAATGAGATCGCGAAGCCCCCGCGCGGCCGCCAGATCCATTTTCCCGTTGTAGAAGGCTCTAAATTTGTGGATTAATATCAAAAAGACATTTGGCAATCAAGAAATCCCCAAAATTGAGCAGATTTTTGTCTAGATATTGGATTATCGTATACAGTACAGGCCTAGTACTAGCTCTAGACCATACTGTACTGTAAAGCCAAGCCTGGATTTATAAGCTGGACAACTATAAGCTTCATATACCGGTCTCTGAAGAGCCTTGGGTGCTTAGAATTCACTATTACTCAGGAATAAACCTAGATATCGATAATGGGCTTTGTTAAGATAAGTATTCAGGTGTCTGACTATGAGTGTTGTAAAGTACTATTGGGTTGAGTACTATGTATTAATATGGCTTACTCTTTGCTAACACCATACCTTTTCGAGAATTCGCCCCTTTTTGCGTGTCGAACCCCATCAAATTGGGAAAGTGAGCGGGCGAGGGTGTTGACAACGGCGCGGCTTCCGTGCACGAATAATTCGGCCGTGTCTTCACCGGTGAACGTTGAGGGGCCTAAAAAGAAAAGATTATCGCACCTATAAATTTATACATATCTCTAAATTTTAGGATTTATTTAACCAGGAAGCTTTCCAATGCTATCTACGCAGGATTGAGCCTTTTGAACGCTAGGAAATTGGCTTAAAAATCTGGCAAAACCAGATGGTGATGGTTACTTTACGCCAAATTTTTTGCGCAACTCGTCATAACTTTCTTGTCATTAAGCCAATCTTTATGATTCTGGTGTTATTTTGTTGCACTTATTGAGATCTACAAAATGAAACCGAAAACATAAAGATTGGCTTAATGACAAGAAAGTTATGGTGAGTTGCGGAAATTAGCCCAGGGTGTCTCAAAATTATCCGGATAACTTTTAGCCAAGATTAAGCTCGACAATTCTCTATCTAACACTTGACACTTTGAAATTAAGCATACGACAACTACTTTTCCAAAAAGTTGTCTGGATAATTTTGAGACACCCTGGAGGTAGGCTAATTTCCGCCATTTTATTTGCGCAACAAGGTCATTTGCGCAACTCGCCATAACTTTCTTCTAAGTGGGGCAATCTTTATGATTTTGGTGTCATTTTGTTGCACTTATTGAGGATCTACAGGGTCATTTGCGCAACTCGCCATAACTTTCTTCTAAGTGGGGCAATCTTTATGATTTTGGTGTCATTTTGTAGATCTCAAGACGTGCAACAAAATAACACCAAAATCATAAAGACTAGACCACTTAGAAGAAAGTTATGGTGAGTTGCGCAAAAGATCCAGTTGCAGTGCTCAAATTTTTGCATACTTGATCCAAAAAGGTCCTAAAAAGCCTGTTCTTCTAAGCATAAGTTAAAGCAAAAGGCTAAAGCCTGTTCTTCTAAGCATAAGTTAAAGCAAAAGGCTAAAGCCTGTTCTTCTAAGCAAAAAGCATAAGCTAAAGGTTAATACGATACACTTTACGGGTTACTCAAATCAAAAAAACAGCTCTCAAACGAACCGGGCAAATAAACGGCCATCGCTGTGTCGATGAGCGTTTCGTCGTGATCGTGGAGTCGCGTGTAGAACATTTTCCGCGGATCGAGCACTCCGTTTCGCCGTCTTGACATCACGCGCAACACCTCGCCACTCTTCGGACCTAAACTTGAAGGTTTACAAAAGGAAACTATGAACATCACAGTACTTTTTAAGAAAAAAAAATTTAAGAACTTTTTCAGATACGTAAAGTAAACTATTTACAACTTTATGTATCAGAAAAACTCAAAATTACTATAGGAAAAGGGTTTCTTTAGCGTTGCAAAGCGCCAAATTCTGTTATTGCCTCATTTTTCTTGCTTTAAAACGAAAAAACGTTCAAATTACAGGTGAAAGTACGATTTACAGCTTAAAGTACGCAAGCACTGCTAAATTTTTCGTACTATAGCCTCTTTTAGTGCAACTTTTATGATAGGAAAGTGGCTTTTTAGTGATTCTCTTTGTGGAAAATTTCGTTCTTGACTTGATTCTGAACTTTTAAAAGCAAGGAAAACTTGTTTTTACGTTTTTTAAGCTAAAAAGCGTTTTCTTTAAGCTAAAAAGCTTTTGTTTAAAGCTAAAACGCGTTTTTAAGTCAAAAAAGCTTTCTCTTTAAGCAAAAGAGTGTTTTTTAAAAGCTAAAAGCTTTCTTTTTAAGCTAAACAGCGTTTTCTTTAAGCTAAAAGCTTTCTCTTTAAGCTAAAAAGCGTTTTTCTAGCTAAAAAGCTTTCTTTTGAAGCTAAATTGCGTTTTTAAGCTTTTGTTTAAAGCTGAAAAGCGTTTTCTTTAAGCTAAAAGCTTTCTTTTTAACCTAAAATGCGTTTCTAAGCCAAAAAAGCTTTTGTTTGAAGCTAAAATGCGTTTTCTTTAAGCTAAAAGCGTTCTCTTTAAGCTAAAAGCTTTCTTTTTAAGCTAAACAGCGTTCTCTTTAAGCTAAAAGCTTTCTCTTTAAGCTAAAAAGCGCTCTCTTTAAGCTAAAAGCTTTCTTTTTAAGCTAAACAGCGTTCTCTTTAAGCTAAAAGCTTTCTCTTTAAGCTAAAAAGCGCTCTCTTTAAGCTAAAAGCTTTCTTTTTAAGCTAAACAGCGTTCTCTTTAAGCTAAAAGCTTTCTCTTTAAGCTAAAAAGCGCTCTCTTTAAGCTAACAGCGTTCTCTTTAAGCTAACAGCGTTCTCTTTAAGCTAAAATGCGTTTCTAAGCCAAAAAAGCTTTTGTTTAAAGCTAAAAAGCTTTCTCTTTAAGCTAAAAGCGTTCTCTTTAAGTTAAACAGCGTTTTCTTTAAGCTAAAAGCTTTCTCTTTAAGCTAAAAGCTTTCTCTTTAAGCTAAACTTTTGCTTAAAACCGTTCAGCCATAGCTTTTTTTAGGTTAATCTAAGGAAATCTAGCGATAAAATACCTTTGAAACATTTCTAAAGCTAATCGAAAGCTTTCTAAAGCTATTTCGATTGTAAAGCTAATCGCAAAAATTCCCTACCAGAAAGTCGAACAATAGCTATGGCTGACGGAAGCGCGCCGGAGCTCAACGCGAAAATCGTTGACATTGCTGAAAAGTGGGAAATTTCGAGGAAAATCGCGTAATTGAACGGGGAAAAATGAGAAAATGAGAGAAAACGACGAGAAAAAGGGAAAGAATTTCGAAAATTCACAATCAAATCTTTGATTTCGTTTTCAAAATAAATTTCAACATTTTTATATATCTTTTTCTTGTTTTGCAAGCGTCATTTTAAGGGAAAATATTTATTTTTTTGCATAATTTTTCATTTTTGGCATAATTTTTCAATTTTTCTCACAGAATTGAAGAAAATTTTTGGTTTTGATATGACAAGGAGACAAGGAAAGACGTTTTTGGCAGAAAAAAAAAGAAATTCGACGTTTGAATGCAATTTTGGCAGAACAAAATGAAATTTTGGCATTTCTATTAAACAATTAGACAATTTTGGCACGCACAACACGAAAAGCGAAAGCGAAAATAGTAGTTTTGAGAAAAAGTTTTGAGTTTTGTGGTTTAAGGAACAGATTCGAAGAAAAGGATTGGAGAAAAAAACGGTTTGGAAGGCTATCGCGTATTGCAACTATGAAATGGGCAATGAAATCGGCACCACGCTGCAAGCTGGAGCTCACTATGCAAAAAGACGCACGTCTACAATGGTTGCAGTGCACTTTTTTCTTTTTTTCTCTTTTCGCATGCGGTAGCCGTTTAGGAAATTCTGTTAACGAATCAGCCGTTAACGAATCAGCCGTTAACGAATCAGCCGTTAACGAATCAGCCGTTAACGAATCAGCCGTTAACGAATCAGCCGTTAACGAATCAGCCGTTAACGAATCAGCCGTTAACGAATCAGCCGTTAACGAATCAGCCGTTAACGAATCAGCCGTTAACGAATCAGCCGTTAACGAATCAGCCGTTAACGAATCAGCCGTTAACGAATCAGCCGTTAACGAATCAGCCGTTAACGAATCAGCCGTTAACGAATCAGCCGTTAACGAATCAGCCGTTAACGAATCAGCCGTTAACGAATCAGCCGTTAACGAATCAGCCGTTAACGAATCAGCCGTTAACGAATCAGCCGTTAACGAATCAGCCGTTAACGAATCAGCCGTTAACGAATCAGCCGTTAACGAATCAGCCGTTAACGAATCAGCCGTTAACGAATCAGCCGTTAACGAATCAGCCGTTAACGAATCAGCCGTTAACGAATCAGCCGTTAACGAATCAGCCGTTAACGAATCAGCCGTTAACGAATCAGCCGTTAGCTATTAACGGCTAGCTATTAACGGCTAGCTATTAACGGCTAGCTATTAACGGCTAGCTATTAACGGCTAGCTATTAACAGCTAGCCATTAACAGCTAGCCATTAACAGCTAGCCATAACACGTTTATAACAAACAAACTTTTGTTTGTTATAAACATTATTATATTATAAACAACATGTTCTACATGTTAAATGTTATAAATTTTATTTCACTTGTCGTGATTAGTTTGCTGATTAGTTTGCTGATTTGCGTTTTGCACAAATATTGGGTTGGCGAATTGAAAACTGCAGGCTATTGTCAGATGTGACAGTTTGAGCACTTTCTTCAAAAGAAACCCATTTTGGTGTCAATGGGAAAGTTGTAAGTTGTAGAGAATCAAAAATGAAGCTTATAGCCAAATTTTCAGTGCGATTGAAAAACTGGTTTTCAAGAAATGCGAAATTTACGAATTTTCACAAAATTTCACAAAACTTGCATTTCACAACAAATTTTAAGCGAATCTACTAAGTGTATCTTTTTGGAAATTTCGCTATAAGCCTAATTTTTGATTCTCTACAACTTTTCTATTGACACCAAAATGGGTTTCTTTTGAAGAAAATGCTCAAATGCTCAAATGCTCAAACTGGGACCTCTCCAGTCCTTCATTTTTGAGTCTCCAGTTTTCAATTCACCAACCCAATAGTTTGAAATTAAAAATTCATTTGAAACGAGCCATGTTCGCAGAAGGCGATTAAAAATTGTACAGGGCTAGCGAAAAAAATTTCATTCGTAATCGGCTAGTCGTTCGGATCTTTAATCGATCGGCTAGTCGTTAACGAATGATTCGTTAACGGGCTGAATTTCGTAAACGGCTCGATATGCATATTAAAGATCGATTAAAGATTGATTAAAGATTGATTAAAGATTGATTAAAGATCGATTTCAGCTCGATATCTCTTTTTGATTTGCTCGACGCAATACTCGATTGGTGGAGCCAAGAAACGCGGCTCAAGTAGGTAGTCGAGAATTCGCGGTGGCACATGCCGAGCTCTCGATAATGAGACGACGTCGTGGGTGAGACGGAGCTGGAAATGAGGTTGGAATTGGAGTTGCACAGTACTGTAGAGTACGATACTGTACACTGTACTGTACACTGTACTGTACACTGTACTGTACACTGTACTGTACACTGTACTGTACACTGTACTGTACACTGTACTGTACACTGTACTGTACACTGTACTGTACACTGTACTGTACACTGTACTGTACACTGTACTGTACACTGTACTGTACACTGTACTGTACACTGTACTGTACACTGTACTGTACACTGTACTGTACACTGTACTGTACAGACTGTGCTGTACTGTACAAACTGTAGACTTGTAACGAAAATATCTATCGATTAGCTTTCGCCGTCGGCAGCTTAAGGTTTTTCTTATTTTTGCGCCAGCGCCAACGCTTCTATTTTGACTAGTTTGACTATCATTTGATGCAGAATTGAATTGCGCATCGAATGAGACCAAAATCAACTTAAAACCCTAACATCTACGCAAAGTTATGAGGCAAAAGGTTAAGCTCTGCCCATTATAAGCGGGGCTTAACCTTTTGCCTCATAACTTTGCGTAGATATTAGATTTTGAGTTGATTTTGGTGTCATTCGATGCGCAATTCAATTCTGCATCAAATAATAGTCAAACTAGTCAAAATAGAAGCGTTGCTGCTGAGAGAAACACGAAAAACAAATTGCCAACAGCAAAAAGGACCTATATTTTCGTGATAAGTCTATTCAGCATTGTGCAAAGATACGATGCTGTACTATGTGCAAAGTATAGCTGCTTTGGGTCTGCTTTGCTTTAGATCTTTAGGTCTAAGTTTTACCTCCAATCGACACAAATAGGAGAGCGATTGTGGGAAAAGATCGAAACGGGACAACGGCATTGTGATTCTGAAAGGTGATTGTGATCATGGCTCTCCTATTCATCTTGCTCATTGAACGGCTTAGCTATGGCATTCTCCAGAGATCTACCCGGAGCACTAGTTAGAGAGTAATCCAGCTACAATAGCCCAGTAACCAGCTACAGTAACCAGCTACTAACCAGCTACTAGCCAGCTACTAGCCAGCTACTAGCCAGCTACTAGCCAGCTACTAGCCAGCTACTAGCCAGCTACTAGCCAGCTACTAGCCAGCTACTAGCCAGCTACTAGCCAGCTACTAGCCAGCTACTAGCCAGCTACTAGCCAGCTACTAGCCAGCTACTAGCCAGCTACTAGCCAGCTACTAACCAGTTACAGTAACCAGCTACTAGCCAGCTACAGTAACCAGCTACTAGCCAGTTACAGTAACCAGCTACTAACCAGCTACTAGCCAGCTACAGTCACCAGCTACTAACCAGCTACCGACACTTCCAGACTCACGTGCACAGCTCGGCCTGGTCAGCCTCTCCTCTACGGTGCATCAAAAGATTCGCCTCGCCGCTTTGTGATTCCTAAAGTGGAGAAAATAGTTATCTAGCTACAGTAATCTAGCTACAGTACCCAGCTACAGCAGCTCTAGCTAACAAATATCCAACCCGAATCGCTTTCTCCAAAATCTTTGTGATGTCCGGTCCGCTTTTTGCGTTCCAATAAAGCAAACTGCGGCTGTGCAACACTTTTTCTAAAAGCTTTTTTGAATAATTTTGGCTTGAGCAGTTGATTAGAGGTAGATCTAGAGAACTAGAGAATTTTTTTGATATCTGACAAACCTCGACTCCTCCAGGAAACGGTGAAAATGTGGGAATCGTTTCTCGAGTCTCGCAACAGATATGTTCCCTCTGGACACGGGAGAAGCAACGACTCAGCTTCTGACCACGTGATATCGCCCCAATACCTGGAAGGAGTACGGTAGCGTTGGAGCTGTTGTAGCTGGCTCTAGGCCCTGGCTTCAGGCCCGGCTCTAGGCCCTGACTCCAAGCCCGGCTCTAGGCCCTGGCTCTAGGCCCTGGCTCTAGGCCCTGGCTCTAGGCCCTGGCTCTAACTCCAGCTCTAACTCCAGCTCTAACTCCAGCTCTAACTCCAGCTCTAACTCCAGCTCTAACTCCAGCTCTAACTCCAGCTCTAACCCTACCCTAATCTCTAAAATTTCAAACTAAGCTTTTGATCTCTATTCTTTCAAATTATTGTAGTGTGACATCCAGATAAACAAGCTCTTTCGTAAAATTGGCAAAATCCAAACGAAATCCGGAAAAATTGACCTCTTCTCGGAAATTTTCGAGAGCAGTCGAATTTTCCTTTAAAAACAAACCGATTTTTAGAATTTAAAGTAATTTTTGGCTAAGCTGGATGTCACAAGATTTAATTTTTCCGTTTTTAAAAGTCAGAGATGGTTTTTGAGAGTTTGCACCTATGGTGCAGTGGGTAGCGCGCTCGGCTCTGGATCTAGAGGTGGCCGGTTTGAGTCCGGCCCGGCCCCACGGAACGTTAGAGTGCTAAAATTTGTTCAGATTTGAAAAGAAGCAAAAAAAGGTGGAAGTCGTTGGCGGAGGTGGGAGTCGAACCAGCGACCTCTGAGCGGCAGAGCGCGACCACTACCACTGCGCCATTTCGGTTCTTAAGCTTTTCAGCTTTAGTTTATCAAAATTAGCATAGTGTGACATCCAGAAAGCTCAATTCTAGCAAAATCTTTGGTAAAAACTCTTCAAATTCGGAAGAAATCGCGCTGATCTCGTTTAAACTTTTCAAAGTGAGATTTTGATCTTTATTCTTTCAAATTCTTATAGTGTGACATCCAGCTAAACAGCTGATATTCTAAAGTTTTCGAAATGCGAAAGAAATCGAGAAAAATCGAGTTGAACTTGTTGGGGAGCTAATTGGCTTGGTTTAGCTTTGTCGCGGAGTTGATTCCTTGCTCTTTTTGCTCTTGCTGGGTCTCAAGCTTACCATGGGCATCTCTTGAGTATCTTGATATGTTCAGAGAAGCAATCAGTGCCTCGTGGAGTGCCTTGGTCAGTCTCATGGAAGTGAGGGTTTTCCTGAACGAAGGTTTGTTAGGTTGGATGTACTAAGTACAGCTGTGGGATAGTACACTTAGTATAGTACTGTAGCTATAGCTGTAGCTGTAGCTATAGCTGTAGCTGTAGCTATAGCTGTAGCTGTAGCTGTAGCATCGTACAGCATCGTACAGTATTGTACAGCATTGTACAGCATTGTACAGTCCCGTACAGTCCCGTACAGTCCCGTACAGCCTCGTACAGCCTGGTACAGCCTCGTACAGCCTCGTACAGCCTCGTACAGTCTCGTACAGTCCCGTACAGTCCCGTACAGCCTCGTACAGCATTGTACAGCATTGTACAGCCCCGTACAGCATTGTACAGCATTGTACATCATTGTACAACACCGTAAAGCCTCGTAAAGCCTCGTACAGCCTCGTACTCCTTCTTTAAACTCACCATATAACGATTTCCATTTGTCGGCAAGTTACGAAATGTTTTCGGCGACTCATTTGATGTGGACGGTTGTTGATCGTCCATTTTATCGAAGCCAGGGTACTGTAGTCGTACTAGAGACTTCTAGAGACTTCTAGAGGCTTCTAGAGACTTTAGAGACTTCTAGAGGCTTCTAGAGGCTTGTATAGGCTTCTAGAGGCTTCTAGAGGCTTCTAGAGGCTTCTAGAGACTTCTAGAGGCTTCTAGAGACTTCTAGAGGCTTCTAGAGACTTCTAGAGGCTTCTAGAGGCTTGTATTACTGTAGCCAAGGATACTGTAGCCTTGTAGCTTTACAGTAAGGCTACAGCAAGGCTACAGTCTCCTTTGAAAGTACTGTAATAGACAAAAAGTAAGTAAAAAAGGTGGAAACCCGAAAAATTCGAAAACTCAATGAAACAGCTGAACAATTTATTCAAAAATAGCAAATCAAAACTGTCTATTTAAAAAGAGATCAACAGCAAAACAACCGCAAAAAGGATTCTTTCATTCTTTCCGTTTCTCACATCGATCCCAACCCTGACGATCCACCTTGTTGATTCGTGACATCCACGGAAATCTTTGGCACCAATCCTCTGCCCATCGAAGCGCTCAAAGTATCCTTTTCGTCAATGTTCTCCTCATCCTAGAATTGCAAATTATCGAACAATAGTTTACTGGAAGAATTGTTGATCAATCTAGAGCTCCAGGAAGAATTGCCGATCAATCTAGAGCTAGAGGAAGGATTGCTGATCAATCTAGAGCTAGAGGAAGGATTCTTGATCAATCTAGAGCTCTAAGAACCATTCCTGATCAATCTAGAGCTCCAAGAACTCTTCCTGATCAATCTAGAGCTCTAAGAACCATTCCTGATCAATCTAGAGCTCCAAGAACTCTTCCTGATCAATCTAGAGCTCCAAGAACCATTCCTGATCAATCTAGAGCTCCAAGAACTCTTCCTGATCAATCTAGAGCTCCAAGAACCATTCCTGATCAATCTAGAGCTCCAAGAACAACTCTCTTACCTCGTTTGTCGTCTTCACAATGTACTTTAGCTTTTCCCTCATCGCTGGATGCATTTTCGTAAACGTTTCCTCGAAGCCAGCTCTAGAAATTTCATCATTTTCAATAGAAGCCAATAAATAGCCAATAGCCAATAGCTCAACAGAAGCCAATACTCTTTCCAGTCCAAACACATTAAACGACTCTTTACTACTCATTAAACTCCTCTTCCATTCACTAAAAAGCTTTCGAAGCAGCTAAAGGGTTGTTTTGTGCAAGAGTGCCCGTGCTTTAAAGTATTGCCTTGTCTCGCGTTTGCGAAGCGTTCTGCAGAAAAAACGAAAAGCGGTTTCGAGATCCCGACGGTCGACTTTATAAAATGAATTTGTGATCTCGAATCAGAAAGGTCAGCTCGACTTGCGTGCCTTTCCCTTGCGTAATTCTGAATCCTCAGCTCGTACTAGTATCAAATTGAAAGAGTACTCGTGCTCTAGTGTTAAAATTCTCTTCAATTCCCTCCAACTCCCTCCAACTCCCTCCAATTCCCTCCAATTCCCTTAAAACTTACTCAGTTTTGACAAAATCTCCGACGTATAAATATTTGAAATGATAGAAGAGATCACAAATCGTGTCCTCGTATTCGAATTGTGCTTTCACATTTGCTGACACCTCGCCAACGAGTCGATAGATGAACGAGATCGTGTTTAGGCACTGGAAACACATGGGAAATCGATTTCGAGGAAAGTACTTTAAAAGAAGCAGTACTAGCAGTACAGTACAGTACAGCAGTACAGTACAGCAGTAGAGCAGTACAGCAATACAGTACAGTACAGTACAGCACAGCACAGTACAGCAGTACATCAGTACAGCAGTACAGCAGAGAGCAGTACAGCAGTAGAGCAGTACAGCACAGCAGTACAGCAGTGCAGTACAGTACGCTACCATACAGTACAGTAGGCTACAGTACGCTACAGTACAGTAGGCTACAGTATGCTACAGTACGCTACCATACAGTACAGCACGCTACCATATAGTACAGTATGCTACAGTACGCTACCATACAGTACAGTACACTACAAAACGCTACAGTACTCCTTTCAGTAAAGTTTTTTTAAAAGTTCAAAAATAAAAAGCTGATTTCTGTAAAATCTTGTGTGCATTCCAGCTAAGCGATTCGCGAAAAAAAGAAGAAATTCTAGAAAAAGGAGAACGAGAAATCGGCTCGTAAAGATTTTTTGAGAGACTACGCGCTAAAATCTCCGTAAAATCTCCGTAAATCATCGAATTTCTGCACTCTACCTCTTTCGGGCAATGCGCATGGCATCGTTGCAGCGTTGGCACCAACAAGCGCAGCATTAGAATCAACTCTGAAGGGGGGGGGTTTAGATGAAAGTCAATCAATTTCCCCTCAAATTCACCTCTTTCATACATTTTCCCGACTCGTCCATTCTCGAAAAGCTCCTTCTCCAAAAGCGATAACATTTTCAGGAATGTTACCTAGAATTTTGAATTGAATTGAATTGAATAGAATTTTGGATTTGGGTTGAGCCTATTGAGCTTGATTGATGATTGAGCGCTTTCTCGTTGCTTCTCGTTGCTTTTAAGCGCTTTAAGTGCTTTAATTAACGCTTTAAGCGCTTTAATTAACGCTTTAAGCCCCAGTTTAAGCCCCAAATCAACCCGTTAACTGACCAAATTCGATTGAAACCAATAGGCGTGCGATAAAGCGACAACAGCCGTCGCTCGGGTACATTTGATGAAAAGACAATCCTCCTCGAAATAGCTGAAGCCGACTTGTTGCGGTGAGAGATCTGGAAAGTGGCTCGGTTGGGTTAGATTCCGGAAGTGACTCAGAAAAAGAACAGGATCTGAGTTGGAGATCAGGGGATCTCATAGGCCTATTAGGGACAGGTTTGGACAGCCCTACAGTCTTAGGGCTTAGGGCTGTCCTGATATTGGCTTTAGGGCTCTAGAAGCTCTACAAGCTCAGGCTCAGGCTTCAGGCTCAGGCTACAAGCTCAGGCTCAGGCTCTGGCTCTACAAGATCCAGAGGCTCTACAGACTCTAGAGGCCCTAGAGGCTCTACAAGCTCGGGCTAAGGCTCAGGCTCAGGCCCTACAGGGTCTAGAGGCCCTAAAGGCTCTACAAGCTCGGGCTAAGGCCCAGGCTCAGGCCCTAGAGGCCCTAGAGGCTCTAGAGACTCTACAAGCTCGGGCTAAGGCTCAGGCTCAGGCCCTAGAGGCCCTAGAGGCTCTAGAGACTCTACAAGCTCGGGCTAAGGCTCAGGCTCAGGCCCTAGAGGCCCTAGAGGCTCTAGAGACTCTACAAGCTCGGGCTAAGGCTCAGGCTCAGGCCCTAGAGGCCCTAGAGGCTCTAGAGACTCTACAAGCTCGGGCTAAGGCCCAGGCTCAGGCCCTAGAGGCCCTAGAGGCTCTAGAGACTCTACAAGCTCGGGCTAAGGCTCAGGCTCAGGCCCTACAGGGTCTAGAGGCCCTAGAGGCTCTACAAGCTCGGGCTCAGGCTCAGGCCCTACAGGCTCTACAGGCTCTAGAAGCTCTACAAGCTTAGGCTCAGGCTCTACAGGCCCTAGAGGCCCTACAGGCCGTAGATCATTGGATGAACTGTCTAATTCCCTTTCAAGCCAACCTTTGACTTTCTCTAACAACTATAAACTATAAACAAACCCTCTAAATGACCATCATCGAATAACGCGAGCACTTCGTTCGCCAGCCTTTGCCCATAAATTGGTGGCAACGAGTTGAGAATCAACGAGAGAGCGTTCAGAATCTGATGTGGACGTTTCAATTTCATCGTGCACAGCACGGAGATCATTGCTTGAATCCATTTCTAAATTTGGAAGATTTTTTGGAAGTCGGGCAACGATCGTAACAATGGGTAACGATGCTTTATTTCAAGCAGCTAAAAGTTCGAGAAAACTAGGCCTCTAGAGGCTTCTATAGGCCTCTATAGGCCTCTATGAGCCTCTATAGACCTCTATAGGCCTCTATAGGCTTCTATAAGCCTCTATAGGCTTCTATAGGCCTCCATAGGCCTCTATAAGCCTCCGTAGGCTTCTATAGGCCTCTATAGGCCTCTATAGACCTCTATAGGCCTCTATAAGCCTCTATACGGATCTATAAGCTTCTATAGACCTCTATAGGCCTCCATAAGCCTCTATAGACCTCTATACGGATCTATAAGCTTCTATAGACCTCTATAGGCCTCCATAAGCCTCTATAGACCTCTATACGGATCTATAAGCTTCTATAGACCTCTATAGGCCTCCATAAGCCTCTATAGACCTCTATAAGCCTCTATAGGCTTCTATAGACTTCTATAGGCCTCTGTAGGCCTCTATAGGCCTCTATAGACTAATAAATCTTACGTCAGGTAAATGTGGAGAAGCCATCAGCTCGATACAAGCTAAAGAAAGCGCGTGCACTCCGGGCGACAACTCAGCGAAGCGCCAATCTTTCGCCACGAAATCAGGAGGTCTGAAATTTTGTTCCCTGATTACTGTAGCTACAGATTACTGTGGCTACAGTAATCCTTTAGGAAACTAGAGCTCTACTGTAGCTCCTATAGTCTAATCACTTCTCCAAACCTTAGCACGAATTCAGTGGCATCGGCAAAGCGTTGAGCCAACTCGAGGACGATTGCCTAAACATTTTCAGCTTTAAGCCTAAGCTTTCTAAATGTTTATTTCTACCGTAATCTTTTCTCTATTTCTGTCTAGCTATCGGCTACTGTAGGCTAGAGGTTTAAAAGGATTTTGGAAAAGTCTCAATGGTGGAGAGCTTGTGGAGAGCTTGTCCCTAGCTTGTCCATGTCTCTAGCTTGTCCTTGGCTGGCTGGCTGGCTTGGCTGGCTTGGCTGGCTGGTGGCTGGCTGGTGGCTGGTGGCTGGCTGGCTGGTGGCTGGCTGGCTGGCTGGTGGCTGGCTGGCTGGTGGCTGGCTGGCTGGTGGCTGGCTGGCTGGCTGGCTTGGCTGGCTTGGCTGGCTGGTGGCTGGTTGGCTGGTTGGCTTGGCTGGCTGGCTTGGCTGGCTGGCTGGCTGGCTGGCTGGCTTGGCTTTCAAGTGTAGCTGATCTCGAACCTTCTTGATATTAGCTTTGGTGACATCTTGTCGCCTTACCACCACGTCCTCCCAATTGAGCTAGACTGATTAGAGCCGATCTGATAGGTCCGACCAATCTATAGGCTGGCTGGATAGCTGGCCGATCCAATCCAATCCAATCCAATAGGTCCCACCAATCGTCCAGCACGATCAGAATTTCTTCCTAACTCTTGAAAGCGTTTGATCGCGTTGTAAAGAAATTGTTTGCCTCTCATCAATCACACAGATCTCCATCGTCAAAAAAAGGAGATTTGTAGAGCGATCTAGTGCCCGTAAAACTCGCCAACTCTATATCCATCTACAGTAATCTAGCTACAGTAGCCAGCTACAGTAATCTATCTACAGTAAACCGGATTACTTTGATACGGTCTTTTAGCCGATAATTTTGAAATTTTCAAACCATTTTACTTGACTTACCTGCAACGGTGCATTTTGGTGATTCGATTGTGTAAACGAGGCGGTGAACGGTTGATGGGGTTCGTGCTCTAGAAGGTGAATGGTTTCTAAAATGTGCTCCAGCTATAGTATCAGACTTTTCAGACTAGAGTTTGCCCGTTGCTTGCTTGCTAGCTAGCCTCTAAAGCTTGTTAGCTCAAGAGCCAGAAGCCAGGAGTCGAACCCGGATTGTGTTTGTTTTGTAGCTGGCTGTTGGCGCCGTAGCTGGCTGTTGGCGCCGTAGCTGGCTGTTGGCGCCCTAGCTCGCTGTTGGCGCCGTAGCTCGCTGTTGGCGCCGTAGCTCGCTGTTGGCGCCGTAGCTCGCTGTTGGCGCCCTAGCTCGCTGTTGGCGCGCTTCCAACTGCGCCAAATCGACAAAAATCGTTTCCCAGTAAAGCAAAGCAAAAACAAAGCAAAAACAAGACAAAGAAAGCGATCTTCAGCCAAAAAACCCGATTAAACAGGTTTTTTCGGCTATTTTAATATAAAAAGTACAAGAAAATAAACCTCTGAAAATCGCTGTGACCAAATCTTTTGCCCTCGGCGGTGGCACGATCTCGTGCAGACAAAAGAGCGTATTGTAGACGAAAGTGATCGGGTAAGCTGAAAGATTTTCATTTGATCCATTTGATTTTACTCTTTGAAGACAGCGCAACAAATTTAAAGCCTAAAGAGTGCGCTAAAATTCGCCTCAACAAAGTCTGACGCGCTTTCAACGACAATAACTCGTTGATTTAAGCTTTATTTATCATTTTTTATCATTTTTTCATCTTTTTACCATATTTGGAATATAATTTGAAACTTTTTATGGAAAATGTCTTTTCTAGAATCGCTGGAAAATCTTTCCCATCGAAAATCGATCATCGAATTGCACAAGCGAGGCGCCCGAGGATTCACGGGCGTCTTAAAGTCGACAGAAGTGTCATTTTGGGCACTATTCAACGCTACGAAGCTACGGAAAGAATTGCTGATCAATCAAGAGCTACAGGAGCTATTCGATCAAGAGATCGATCAAGAGCTACAGGAATTCGCCTGAATCGGTACCAACAGGCCCGAACAGGCCTGAATCGATCCGGACAGGTCCGACCAGGTCCGAACCGGCTCGAACAGGTCTGAATCGGTCCGAACAGGTCCAAATCGGCCCGAAAAGGCTCGAACAGGCCCAAATCGGCCCGAACAGGTCCGAACCGGCTCGAACAGGTCCGAACCGGCTCGAACAGGTCCGAATTGACCCGAATTGACCCGAATCAGCCCGAGAAGGCCCGAATCAGCCCGAATAGGCTTGAACAGGCCCAAATCAACCCGAATCGACCCAGACCGGCCCCAACAGGTCCGAACAGGCCCAAATCGACCCGAATTGACCTGAATCGACCCGAACTGGCCCGAATCAGCCCGAACAGGCCCATAATCGACCTGTATACATTTCGGACTTGTATTCCGTGTTGTAAAAGCTTTCTTGTAAATAGCATCGATGCAGGCTATAACAGAAAATACCTAAAGATTTATCGGTTAACCTAAAAAGTCAAAGATTAACAATAAAGTCAAAGAGTCGTAAGCTTAAAGATTCGTTTCCAATTCCAGGAGGACGAGGAGAACATTTTGGAAATCGTTTTTGGACTATCCGAGCAAGATAGCCGAGGTTTACAAAGGCAATAAATCCAAGAAAAGTTCAAGAGTCGATCAAAAAAGAACTTCTGGACTTTATTTCTTTTTTTTTTTTTTTTTTTGATTTCTGAGTGATAGGTTGATTCATGGATAGCCTCCTTGGATATCCATCGAATCAACCATCGTTTATCACCTTCTTGGATAGCCGCCAATAGTCTATAGAGTATCAGATGCTCTATAGAGGCCTATAGCTGATTCTTGGATCGTCAATTCGGAGAAAAGGCTTTCAAATCGAAAAAAAAAAAGGCTTACGATGAAATTTGTATAATGGAGCCAAATAGTTGAGCAAGCTAGCGAAGACCTCGTCAGCCAATTGACGATTCAACTCGATCGTTCGACTCACGATGAAATCGGCTATCTAGAATTTGATGAGGAGTGATGGGGGATGATGTGTGTGTGTGTGTGCGTCTGTGTGTGTTTCCAAACACTTAAGTACAAAGTACAAGGCTCAAAGTACAACGTACAACGTACAAAGTAAAACGCACAAGTACAAAGCCCAAAGTACAGCGTACAACGTACAAAGCCCAAAGTACAAAGTACAAAGTACAAGGCTCAAAGTACAAGGCTCGAAGTATAACGTACAAAGTACAAGGCTCAAATTACAACGTACAAAGTAAAACGCACAAGTACAAAGGACAAAGTACAACGTACAAAGTATAAGGCTGAAAGTACAAAGTACAAGGCTCAAAGTACAAGGCTCAAAGTACAAGGCTCAAAGTACAAAGCTCAAAGTACAAAGCTCAAAGTACAAAGTACGAAGCCCAAAGTACAAAGCCCAAAGCCCAAATTACAAAGTACAAAGTACAAAGTTCAAAGCCCAAAGCGCAAAGCACAACGTACAACGTACAAGGTACAAAGCCCAAAGCACAACGTACAAAGCCCAAAGTACAAAGTACAAAGTACAAGGCTCAAAGTACAAAGTACAAGGCTCAAAGCTCAAAGCCCAAAGCACAACGTACAAAGCCCAAAGCACAAAGCACAACGTACAAAGTACAAAGTACAATATACAAAGTACAATATACAAAGCCCAAAGCCCAAAGCACAAAGCACAACATACAAAGCCCAAAACTCACAGGCAATATCCGATCGATGACACTGCCATAATAGATCGGGAAATGGTGTTCGGGAATGACTTCAGGTATTTGCATTGACATTCCCTTAAAGTTTTGTGATTTGAGACTTTAGAAAAGAAATAAGCTTTAGAAATAAGCCTTCGAAAGAAACTTTTCCCAAAAAAAAAAACCTGAAAAGTCGCTTGCGCCGATTGCAACATCTCGACATAGGTGAGCTCGGGGAAACGCTGAAAATTCACTCTGACTAAATTGCTAACCGATCAACTGAGTTATCGTCGCTTTCTAGGGTACTGTGGCTCTTAGATCGATCATAAAGCTGATGATCGATCGTACAATTGATGACTAAAGCTGGATCTTAGTGCCTGATCCAGCTATGAGTCTCCTCCAAGCTATGAGTCTCCTCCAAGCTTTGAGTCTCCTCCAAGAGTTACCAGCTCGGCTCAGCTAAGCTCAGCTCAGCTAAGCTCAGCTCAGCTCAGCTAAGCTAAGCTCAGCTCAGCTAAGCTCAGCTCAGCTCAGCTAATCTCAGAAAGTGGGGCACAAAGTGGGGCGGAAAGTGGGCGCAGGGTGGGGGAAAGTGGGGCGTTAACTGGGGCCCGGAATTGGGGCGTTAACCGGGGCCCGGAATTGGGGCGGTCAGTGAGGCGGATAAGTGGAACGGATAAGTGGAGCGAACAGTAAGGCGGTAAGTGGACAGTAAGTGGGACAGTAAGGCGGTTCAAGCTCAAGCCTGTAGCCTAGCCTAGCCTATCCTAGCCTATCCTAGCCTATCCTAGCCTAGCCTAGCCTAGCCTATCCCAGACTTGGACCTAGAAGCTTAGCTAAAACAAAATGGCAACTGGTCGCTCACCTTGTGAAACTCGGCAAGTTTCTGCGCGTAATCGGCTCCACACGGTTGATGAGATGGTGGCATGTTATGGGTGTAGTAGCGGACACGTTCTTGGAATTGAGATCTGGAATCGTTAGGGATTGTATCCAGAAAACGGTACCAATAAAAAACCACTAAGTATCAGGGTTTTTTTAGCAGATTAACTCTGTAAAAACTCTGTAAAAGTCTAAGTCTGAGTCTGAGACTTTTCTAAAAGATGCCCATCGGAAAGAGCTAAAGCAAGCTAGTGTAAAGGGTTACTGTAAAGGGCTATTGTAGAGGGTTACTGTAAAGGGCTATTGCAGAGGGTTACTGTAAAGGGTTACTGTAAAGGGCTACTGTAAATGGTTCCTGTAAAGGGTTCCTGTAAAGGACTACTGTAAAGGGTTACTGTAAAGGGCTACTGTAAAGGGTTACAATAAATATAACTAAGCGAATTGTAAGCTACGGTAACGAGGACAAGTTCTAACTCGCAGACTACAGTATTTTTCAAAAACCTTCAAAACTAACCTTGATAAAAGATGACAGATAATGTAAATCCCCCATTTCGAGGCCTCATCAGTGGGCGGATGAACGGCCAGCGATAGAAGAAGACGATCGAGAGTGATGAAGTGGTAATTCCAAATCATGCTCTCAAGTGCACGCACTGTCTGAAATGTATTCTTGTATTCATTACAGTACTTTTAAAGACTACAGTACTCTCTAACAGACTACAGTAACCTCTAACAGTCTACAGTACCTTCTCAGGCTAAGACTTGCGAGTACTGTAACTGTTCTAGGCGTCTGCAAGCCAGAAAGCCGTCTGCAAGCCAGAAAAATAGGTTCTGTTCGGAATTCAGGCTAGATTCTAAGTCTGAATGCTCGGGCTGAATTCTAGTGAGCCTGGCGCCTAGTGAGCCTGGTGAGCCTAGCTTCTAGTCACCCTGTCGAACCAGTAGCTAGAATTTCTGTGTTCTTGGGAGAATTGCTAGAGCTTTGTCCATTTTAACTCATGTTTCCTATAGAAATCGACACGGAGAATCGATTGGTGGTGGTTAGAAGTTTCCTGGAGAAGGCTAAGGGTCTAAATAAGTACCTAAAGGTTACTGTAGTAGGCTAGATTTTGAGTCAGAGAATTAGGTTGACCAGGCAAGGCTAGGGTCTGGCATTAGATGTGAGGCTGGCTTTTTTTGGAAGTCGTAAGGAGTCTCGTAAGTCTCGTAAGGAGCAAGTGTATCCATTGCCAGACAATCCGGGGCACTGTTTCCTTTGAAATCCCAATGCTAGCTGGTGCTCAAAGCTAGTTCTCAAGGCCAGCTGGTGCTCAAATCTAGTTCTCAATGCTAGCCGGCTCTCAATGCTAGTTCTCAATGCTAGCCGGTTCATTTACCCACATTCGTCAAGTAGTCTTGTTTCCTTTCATCAGGCGCTTCTTGCAGTTGATAGATGAGATAATCAGCTAACGCATTCGAGCAATTCACCAGTTCGATGGTCGACATTTCGGAGAGGATCCTAAAGGATTTTAAATCATTAGATAAGGTAGATAATTTAGAATAAATTAGTTATCAGCTAGTTTAGATTTCCAATCACTTCCCAACCACTTCCCAATCACTTCCCAATCACTTCCCAAACAATTACCAAACAAAACTTACATATAAAATGAAGGTAAACGATTCACAGGTTCATTCGTGTGTAAAGCACTAAAAACTTCTTTTTTTTAGGCAACTAGATTCAAAAGGTTGATGAGAAGAAAAGCTAAAAAATTGATAGAATTTAACAATTTGAAACTAGTTACTAGATTTATTATTGATTTTGAAAACGAAAAAAACTTACGTAAACGCTACGCAAAGCAGCGTCGCTTGTGGTGGACTGGTGGTTTGCTAAAAAAAGCAATGTTTTTGAGATGATTTTTGGATATTATCTGATTAAAAGTCGCTTTAATTAGCTTAGATAACAATTCAAGCACTCTTGGACTCTGAAATACTCTAAGATACTCTAAGATTTAGGGGGTGGGCCTAGAGTTACTGTGAAAAGACTCTCAGACGTTCTCTCAGACTCTCAGACGTTCTCTTAGACTCTCAGACGTTCTCCTAGACTCTCAGACGTTCTCCTAGACTCTCAGACGTTCTCTTAGACTCTCAGACGTTCTCCTAGACTCTCAGACGTTCTCCTAGACTCCCAGACGTTCTCGCAGACTCCCAGACGTTCTCGCAGACTCTCAGACTCTCATCAGAATGTCCTTGTACTTGTCAAAAGTGTATCTTGATTTGTTTTCATAGTTGTGTCCCCTAGTTGTGCCATTTTATGATAGCTTTAGAGATTTATAATTGAGCTAGAGTTAAACTGGCGCTAGAACAAAGCTTTCCAGAACAAAGCCTTCCAGAACAAAGCTTTCCAGAAAAAGCTTGCCAGAAGAAAGCCTTCCAGAAAAAGCTTGCCAGAAGAAAGCCTTCCAGACAAAGCTTTCCAGAACAAAGCTTGCGCCACGCTTGACTTTGACACTGAGCCTGAGCCTGAGCCTGAGCCTGAGCCTGAAGCCTGAGCCCTATCCCTTGCTCTACCTCTGGCTCTACCTCTACCTCTAGTTTAGCTAAAATCAGTCTCATCAATCGATAAGAAAACATCTGAGGATGAATTTCACAAGATTTACGTAAACAAAAAGGCAATATAAACAAAAAGACTTGAATTGACTGAAGAGAGCGCTATTTGGTAAATGGTCAAATCAAAAACTCATTGATAACTTTGTTTTTTTAAACTAATTTTTCAACTAATTCATCATTCAGAAAGCTCAATTTGATTATTAATTTCTTGTTTTTTGTTTTTTGTTTTTTTTTTTTAACAGATTATCGCTTATTTTGCTATTTTCTTGGTAATTTCCTAAATTGAGCGTAAAACAAAGAACACTTTTCGTAGGAACTGTTGAATAAATGTCAATTTTACATGTTCAGCATTTGTAGATAGACTATTTGAAAGTTATTAAAGCTTCTTTAAACTTTAAACTCACTGGATTATGCTTATTGCGAAAGTATTGAACAATTGTATCAAGATCCAATCCGCGAATCGTCATACAATCTTGATTGACAGCACTGTTCAAATTGTGCAGATCCTGGAAAGGGAAATGTACTTGTGGCCAGGGGCCAGGGATCAAGGCCGGAGCTGGCTCAGCCTGAGTCCAGGGTCATCTAGAACGAAACCAAGGTCAAACCTGGGAGTTAGACAGCTAGCTTGAAGAGCCTGCTCAGCTCAGCTCAGCACAAAGCCAGCTCAAAGCTAGACCCGATTAGACAGACCTGGCCTTGACCCTAGTTCAGCCTAGACCTAGATCTAGACCTAGATCTAGAACAAGATCAAGGCTAAGACTAGAACAGGGCAGACAAAGTCGGCCTAGTCTTGTCCTGGCCCAGCCAGAGTCGACCAATTGTAAGACCAATTGTAAGAGTCAGCTCAGGGTTCTATCCTAACCAAGACTACTCCAGGGTCGACTCTGGCGTACTGCTGCTGAATCAATTCGTAGATTGTAGTCTACCCCAGCAAAGCCTGAGCCAAATCAGGTCAAATCTTTGGCTGTGCTAAAACCTCACCTTGTTGTAGTCGTCGAATCGTTGCAGGTCGATCGAGGTGTTAATCTGAAAAGGGTAGATTGAAAAGGATAGCTTGAAAAGCTCAGCTCAGCTTTACTGTAACAAGTTTACGTCACTGTACTATAGACAGAGCAATTGGGCCTGCCACTTGTTAGAATTAACAAGGGAAAGACAACAAAAACCTGTTTACCTTTATAACTTTTTTCTGGCTAGACAGATTTTGATGAAACTTTGGCTTTTTCTTAGCTGGTTATCATTTAAAAATTGGGATTGATCAGATTTTCCGACAATCGATTTTAACGTTACCCGTGGATCACCGGTTACAGGACTGGCTCTTTTTCTGATTTCTAGATAAAGGAAACTTTTTGATCCTTTGGTTATACCTTTGTTGGATGTCAGCTTCGAATTTGGTGTGATCAAATTTTTGATAACGCTAATTTTCGAGAAGGCATTTTTAGTCGGTTACAGGACTGGCTCTTTTTCTCATTTCTAGATAAAGAAAATCTTTTGATCTTTTGGCTATACCTTAGTTGGATGTCAGCTTAGAAATTGCTTTGATCAAATTTTTTTTAAAGCTAATTTTCGAGAAGGCATTTTTAGTCGATTACAGGACTGCTTACTTTTCTCGTTCCTTGAAGGAGCAAAGCTTTTGATCTTTTGGCTTTTTCTTAGTTGAATATCATGTAAGAATTGGAATCGATCAGATTTTTCATTTCTTTGTTTTTCTTTTTTTCGGAATAACCTGGAACCGGTTCACGGTTATAAATAAATTTTTTTAAATCAAAATTATAAAATTTTTTTCGATGATGGAGGGCTTCCCATTTCAAAGTAAACCAAGCCCTTGGAATTCCGCAAACCATTGCCTTTCCCAGTAAATGGCTCCTTACAAAAGGCTCCTTATAAAAGCAATTCAGCTCCGAATTCTCTCATTTTCACGAAAACTTCAAAACTCGTATAACTTTTTATAGAAAGCCATTTTGCAAAAACGGAAAGCCGATTCGAAATCAGCGTGAAATTCTGCGTCGAATGGGGTTTATGGCTTATTTCATTCAACCAAATCCTACTGTTGCGTTTTATGATTTTTAACTCTACCTCATTGATCAATGGATGAAAAGAGAGAATTTGCGATTTCGGCATCGGATACGCGATGAGGAGATGCTCGACAACCTCGGGATGGACCTCACCACTGGTACTAGCGATGCCTAAAGGAAAGTTAGCTACAGTAATCCGATATCCGCCAGTTTATGGCTTAGTAATCCGACAGGTCTAGTGACACATGGGGCTGTGACAGTCAACGCCAGTAAGCCTGAGCTCTGAGGTCTACTGTAGCTGACAGTGGAGCTGACAGTGGAGCTGACAGCTGGAGCTGCTTCAGCTACAGTATCCTGAGACTAGTACCCCAGCCACAGCGCCCTACAGAACTTACCACAAATCTTGAGCATTCGAAACCAATTCACAGCGAACATCCGCACCACTTCGGGGCTAAAAAAGGAAACATTTCTAAACAATCGACAATCCACCGTACCTCACTGGCGGCACTTTATCGCCTGTTGCAGGAGTTGTGTAGCTTTTTGAGGCGCAGAAAACCTTCCAGATGTGCCCCCTTTGCTTCATCAAATCTAAACTTTTTTCGATGAATTTCAGAGCCGAGTGTTGCTAGACACGAAAAGGAAAAACGAACTCGAGCAGTAGATGATCGCCTCGGGCCATGGGATCCACCACATCGTGCGCAACATCAAATGCTCGACAGCAAAGTAGAGAGCGTTCGTCATTGGAGGGATTTGGGTCATCGGCTAGAAAGAGAACGGATACACTAGACGATTTTTACGAGCATAAAGCCCAGTCGAATTTCTATCCTGTATCATCAAAATTATCATAGTAATGCCTATTCTCGATGTCACACTATATTTAGAATCTCAATTTAGAGTACTCTAGCAATGTTTTAGCAAGGCACTCTAACCCCGGTACTTTGAGCTCAAGTAAACGCGCGTTCTCTGGCATACCGCCTCAAAGTTTTCAGCTTAATGCTTATTCTGGATGTCACACTATACTTAGAATCTCGATTTACAGCACTTTAGCAATCAGGATTAGTTAACCAATTCAATTGTGATGAGAGCTAAGCAAACTGATTGGACAATGGAACCGCCGCAGGGTTACCAGTGGTGTGCCAGAGGGCTTTTGGTAGGCATAAAGTCGACGAGCCGCGTTCTTTGTGCTTCGTAAACGCGCACGCGATGTTGCACACACACTGTGCAAGTGCACCAGAGAAAATGCGTTCACAAAAAAAAAAAAACTCACCGCATTCCTCAACACTGTCAAGCAGGTGATCGTCAGATTATACCGAATTTGACACGTGATCGGCATCTGATTGAGCCGATAGCTGAGCAGCTCACAGCAGATATTCGTCAGATCACGAGCTGTCTAAAGTCGATTTTTGTATCGTTTAGCTTTTTAAGAGAAAACCCACCTGTGGATCCATTGGAGGTTGAGATTGTTGAACCTAAAATGGAAATTTTTCACTCGCCTTTCTATTGCCACTGTTTTTTGTTGAGTACTGTAACGCTTTAGCTACATTAATCTTTGAGCTAAGCAGGGTTACTGTAGCCAGGTTACTGTAGAGAACTGAAGCTTTAACTAGATTACTGTAACCACTGGAGTTTTTTCGTCAAGCTATCGTCTAGTACAGTAACCGGAGATCGACTGTGGCTACAGTAGTCCGTCTCAAGCAACCATATGACCGACTTGTGGCGTTTGGAAAGCCGTCGAGAGTAGTTGAGGCAGGATTTTTATGTAGAAATATGAAGGAGCTCGCTCGAAATCAATGATCTGACAGAGCATCGCGATTGTTTCTGAAAAAAGACAAAACTCTTAGTTGTCAAATAAAATCTGGTTGATTATCTGATAACGTGAAAGATCTCTCGGATCCTTTTTTGCCTTTAAAATTTATAGGATTGAGATTCGGTGAGCGAGCCGAGCAGTCGACTGACAATGGAAAGATGATCGGGATCCTGTGGGATTTTCCGATGATATTGGGGGTTAGTGAATTGAAAACTGCCGGCTATTGTCATGGAGGACTGGAGATGTGACAGTTTGAGCACTTTCTTCAAAAGAAACCCTTTATGGTTGTAATGGAAAAGTTGTAGAGAATCAAAAATTAAGCTTTTCTCCCAATTTCCAAAAAGATACACTTAACTTAACAAAAAAAAAACTTAGTAGTTCCGCTTAAAATTTGTGTGTTCTGTGTGCGGCCGCGTAATCGCTCGTCGTCTGGCGCAGGGTTTTTACATAACTCCCTTCCCTCTCGCCTTGCCAAAACAATCTGGCCGGCTCCGAATCCTCAAATTGGACATTCACTTCAAAAATTAAGCTTATCTCCAAATTTTCAGTGCGATTTAAAAGCTGGTTTTCAAGAGATGCCAAATTTACGAATTTTCACAAAACTTGCATTTTAAGCGAAACTACTAAGTGTATCTTTTTGGAAATTTCGCTTATAAGCCGAATTTTTGATTCTCTACAACTTTTCCATTGACACCAAAATGGGTTTCTTTTGAAGAAAGTGCTCAAACTGTCACATCTCCAGTCCTCCATTTTTGAGTGATCTCCAGTCCTCCCACTTGTCTCACACACAAACCAAAATCCTACCACGAAAGAGGAATCCACAAATTGCCTGTAAAATGAGCCACAAGTCGTCAATAATAATGGAAATTATAATGAAAATTATAATGAAAATTATTTGGAATGTTTTATGATGGTTTTATGTTGAATTCAATTTAGTCCAAAGTTGAATTCAAAGTCCAAAGTTGAATTCAAAGTTCAAAGTTGAATTCAAAGTTCAAAATTGAATTCAATTTAGTTCAAAGTCCCGCAGTTTTCAATTCGCCAACCCCAATCTATAGACCATTTGACGCAGAATTTTACGCTGATTCCAATGATGTAAAAAAAAAATTAGCTGCCGAATGGCGCGCAATCATCGCCAAACAGGCATAAAAGCCTCTTCTTTTAAGACGATTTTCTTCAACGCAAACCGGTTTATCGGTAGCCGAGCCAATAATCGAATTTGCAAAAGAGATCTAACCTCAAACTTTAAAAAAAAAAACGAGCAGCGCCGCAGAGGCCTTTTTTGTTTTCAATTTTCAAAGATTCAGAAACTAAAGAAAATTTGCTACATTTTTAGATATGAGTTGAATAGGTTTTAATAAACTCGGCATCATCTACTACAAGGCAAAAATCTCGTGCCAAATTTCGACGGCCTAAGACACTAAGACGCTAAGGCCTAAGACGGTCTACCTAAGACATAATCAGCACCCAAAAAACCCTATTCAAGTCAGTAACGGCTATCAAGTTCCGGCTAGACTAAGACACGATCCTGGATCAGGATTAAGCCTAGACTTCGTCTAGGCCCCAGTCTGGCTAGATCAAGTCAGGCTAGATCAAGCAGGCTAGATCAAGCCAGGTTAGATCAAGCCAGGTTAGATCAAGCCAAGCTAGATCAAGCCAGGTTAGATCAAGCCAGGTTAGATCAAGCCAGGTTAGATCAAACCAGGTTAGATCAAGCCAAGCTAGATCAAGCCAAGCTAGATCAAACCAGGTTAGATCAAGCCAGGTTAGATCAAGCCAGGCTAGATCAGGCCAGACTAAACTTGATTCTAGACATGACCAGTACTTGATTCACTCACCCAAAAGCGCTGGACTCGGTAAACGATCCGGAACCCCGGACGTCAGCATGCGCACGTACTCGGTAAACATCAAACTCTTCGCGCGGATCGTGAGAGAGTCGAGGAACTGAAGGTTGGCTTTATTTCAAGTCACTTTTAACCTTTACTTTCTCAGCTTTAAAATTAGTATCTTTTTTTTTGCCAGAATCGACAATTTATATCGAAAATAAAGGGAAATTTAAGGCAAAAGAAAATACCAAAAAAAATTTGCGTATACGTTTCATGCGTTTCAAGATTTTGTTTCAAACATTTAAGAATTCAAAGATCGTTTTCGTCTCAAGTCTTGCGCGGATCATTTGATCATTCATTTCTTTATTGTTGTTTTTTTTTGTTGTTGTTTTTTTGTTATTTATGCATTATGTTATGTATTTTTCTTAATTTTATTAAAAAAAATTCTTTATTTTAAAAACAATAGCGTCATCAAAATCAACTAACGATTTGTGAAAAAACGTTAGATCGAAAAATGATTGCAGAAATTGCAGAAAAAAAATGGTGAGGTGATTCAATGCGGGGAAATTGATTGGAATCATCCTTTTGCGTCATTGCACTTTTACGATGATTCAACGATATTCAACGATTCAACAAAGACATTTCTGCTTCTTGACGTCGAATAGGCTAAAAGCCAAAGCTCATTCCACGAAGAAAACGTCGAATTGATCGAATTGAATTGTGAACAACATCTATAGAAAATCAAAGTCAACAAAGTCAAAGGTGAGAGTCGAACCAAAAATCGATGACGATTTGGCAATCGATGACGACAAGACAAAGACTATTTGGCAGATGGAAATCCAAAAATCGATTGTCAACTTCTCAATAAAGCAGCCAGCTTTAAAGCCAGAGCACAAATAGGCTTTGCCAAGGTGCACACACATGAATGACGCTTTTTCACTGATAAGTGTTGTTTATCTGTTTTTTTTCATTTTTCATTTATTTGTTTTCAACATATATTTTTGTTTTTATTGAATCTTCAGCGATGAGAAAAAGTTCACATGGATCTGTCGATGGATCGATGAAACTGACGGTTTTTCGCCATTATTGGAGGGATCTTAGACATCAACCGATCATTTTTTTGGCACATGAAACTAAGGAGGCAGCAATGTTATGATATGAACTGCGTTTACCGCTCAAGGAGCTAGAAACGATGCTTTCTTTATTGATTAATGGAAAATCTTGACCTTGGAAAGGATGACAAGGACGTCAACTACGACTCAGACGCGTCGATTGATTGAAACACTATTTAGATCTTCGACGACTGTTTGATGGCCTTGCAACACAAGATCCTGAGACTCCATACGGCTTCCAAAGAGGACAACACAACGATTGATGTCAGCTGTCTCACCAAGTCGTTCATGCTCTCCAGGGGAATTCACTCAAAAGAGAAGTTCACCAAGCTAAACCCGGTTAGATCAGTTTTTCACGCTGATTTCGAATCTGCACTCAAATCTACTCCATAGGGTCTCCGAAGCCGTAAAAACGCAGTTAGAGACCGTCAAGTGTGGGACCTTGTGGTATACTGGTAGTGCGCAGTGCTCTCACTATTTTCAATAGCTGGTTCAGATCAGGCTACAATCACTTTTGTTTTGCTAACAGCTTGCTACCGCCCGTTTTAAGTCAAGGTAGAGTGTTGACCATTTTTTTTTTTCGTAATTTTCCCTGCATGAAATCAACATCGTTTTTTCGGCTTCAGAGGCTCGATGGGGTAAATTTGATTGCAGATTCGGAATCAGCTTGTAAAACTGAGCTAGATCTAGATGATCTAGATGGTCTAGATAATCCAGATCTCGTTTTGTAATCCAGTGGTAGCTTGGTGAACCCTCTCTTGTCAGTCAACTGTCAACTCAGTTCAAGAAGATCGATCACCAGGTCACAATTCTATCGAAAATCTTTAGGGAATCATCGTCTGAAACGTCCGAGACGAGAATGAGACGTCTACAAGCACAATCAACAATATTCCGACGTTTCTGCCTGCCCTAAATGATTTTGAAGATGGGCAATTCAGGCCTGGAAAAGTCTCAACTCTTTTGCTATCTAAAGATCTCGAACGCTAAAATGTAGTCGCCTCAATGAAAACTCGCATTTAGCAAGTCATTTTAACCGTAATGAAAATCTGATCGATTAATTTGTTTACGTTATTGTTGTTATTTTAAGTTAAAATAGTTTTTTTTTTTTTGAAAATCAAAACTTCCAGTGAATTCGCGAGACTTTGAAACGATCTTGAATTCTTAAATAATTGAAATAAAATTTTTGACAGCATACACTAATCCTCTTTAGGTGTTTTTTTCGGGGTCTTAAAATATGCTCTTTCCCATGGAAAAGTCTTTCTAGTTGATAGCTCTTTTCCTTCTTCTTAAACACCATTTTTAAGCGGTCACCGGTAAACGGTCATGCTTGAAGCGGATTTTAGTGACGCCTAGAGCTCAAAATAAATCCCTGACTAATCCTAAGATTTGTTGATTTTGTTTAATTGAAAATCTAATGTGACATCCAGATTGATGGTTGAATGAAAAGTCGAACCTCAATCGTACACGGTTCCAGCTTGTTTACCGCCAATCGTCCATAGCTCAACGCGAACAGGGTTTCGGGATGCGATTGTTGTTGATTCACTGTGTCAACCTGAATAATGATTACAATAATAATCTGGATAATTTGGTTGAAATGAAATGAAATCGATAATCGATAATCCCAGCTGAAGGTATTCTCTTGTAAAGATTTACCTTTTGTTGTAACTCTCTGTGCACGTTCTGATACGGTCCAGGTTCCTTTTCACCACGAGCTAAAATTACAAAATCACAAAGAAAAGCTAAAACTATAGAATTATACAAAATGTAGTGCGCCAGAAGCTCTGTGCGTCTACAAATTTCTGTATATTTTTGAAAGTTAGAGTTAGCCCAAGCCCAGCCCTAAGCCCAGCCCCAGCCCTAAGCCCAGCCCCAACCCCAAGTCCAGCCCCCAATAATTTTCTAATCAAATGCCCAACTCACAAGCATTCGCACAAACTGCCAACATTGCATCGTCCTTCAAAGCGTCCGATTCACCGTGACGTTTAATGTAAGTCATTTGCTCGAGTAGGGTCTCGTGTTGTGGAGGAGTGAAACCCTGAAAATATCATTTTATTTAAAAAGCAGCCGAAAAGCATTCGAAAAGCACAGCAAAAGCAAAATGGCATTTCGTTTAGCATAGCTTTTTTATTAGACAAAAAGAAACCGACATCTTTGAGATTTTTTTAAGCCATTTTTTAGTGACTCAAATGTGAATCAAAAACAGACAGACGGACGGACCGACAAACAGACGGACGTAGGACAGACAGACAGACAAGACAGACAGACAGACAGACAGACGAACAGACAGACAGACGAACAGACAAACAGACAGACTACAGTAATGCCAAGCACTTCCGTATTTCGAAGTTTGCAGTATGCTCACGGTTTGTGTACTGCAACTACTTTACTTGCTCAGCTTGATATGCAGAAAATGCTGGTTTATTTACCCAACTTTCTCTACTCAAGATTTTCCACTTTAAACACTAGATTTTAAAAGCAAAAAAAAAACGCACCTAAATACTAATAAATAATATGCATAAATCCCAATAAAAAAAAAAAAAAATTCAAAAAAAAAAAAATTCAAAAAAAGACCTCTCTGCCCTCCAAATAGATCCACAAACAAGCGGGCGCAAGAAAGCGAACCATTTTCGAGGGATGATCCGATGAGGCCAAAATGTTCTCTTTTACCGCACCATAACAAGCCTGTAATCAAATCGTCAAAATCCGTCGGTACCGATAATCGGGGTTTCAAAATTTCTCATCTCTTTACCTCATGCAACTCTCTGAATTCATCAATCCATGTCTTGATTTCATCGATCCATGTCTTGTAGGTAGGTAAAATGCCGACAAGTTGCAACAAAAGCCATATCAATTCATCGCGACCCTTTCTAAAAAAAAAAAAAAAAAACAGAAAAAATTCTTCTTTTACTCAAAATTTTGTCATTATTGCCTTGTTTGTTTGTTTTTTTATTTTTTTTTTCTCATCTCTACAAAAACCTTTAAAGCTTTAAAAGCAAAAGCTTTAAAAAAAAAAAAAAAAACCAATTTTCCATTGAATATCTTTTTTCTAATCGTTAATGGTTATTTTTCATCTTTAAAAGATACTCAGCTAATGATCGGATTATTGTAGGCTAAAAAAAAATCCATCAAAATAACCAACCTATAGCCAGATTTGCGAATCGCTTCCGTGAGAATGGTCAAAAATTTCGGAATGCTTCTAAAGAGAAAATTTGTTCGAATTTTATCGTCAAAACTTCGCGAGATTTCGCTTTTCATTCTCAATTTTCACAAAACTCACATTTGCTGATTGAAGAATTCGGTGATGAAAATCGAGCATATGTTTTCCCATTGATATCGGGGAATCTCAGCGTCTGGTGGCAGAGTCTGAAACGGATTCTTGTAGCTGAGGAGTCACTGAAGCTGAAGCTTTTCGAGTATCCTTGGCCACTACAGTCCTCTACAAATTACAGTAAGCCTAGTGCTGGAGCTGAAGCTGAAGCTTTTCGAGTATCCTTGGCCACTACAGTCCTCTACAAATTACAGTAAGCCTGGTACTGAAGCTAAAAAAGTGACTCGGTTTTGGTGGCTTTTTCGGAAAACTGCCTTTTAAAAGCACGTGTGGCTTTAAAATGGGAAATTTCGGGCCAGCATCACGCTGCCCCATGGCGCAATGGGTTGCGCGCTCGCCTGCCAGCCATTTCTCTAAGGAAGTTCCCGTTGGTTCGAGTCCCCCAGCCGGCAAAGATGTTCTTTTTTTGCTTAAAACCTCTTTTTGTTTGATGTGGGCACACTCTAAAGCACATAAAGTTGCCATGATTTGCTCTAAAGCAATTCTAGTTGCCATGATTTGCTCTAAACTCTAAAAGTATCGGTTTACCGGTAGTCGTTTAGATAAAGTAAACAATTCCATATTCCATATCCACTTTCACACATTCACAACAATCTCACCGACCATTTGGCCGTACTAATACGATCGATTTTTTTGATGTCAACATCACTTTTAAGGCTTTCTTCTTTGTTTCGCCGAAAGTTCTCGATACCTTTTGTACTAGTTTTGAAGGGGAGATTTGCGGTTATCAAATGCCTTTCAGAGTTTAGCTTATCTCTGAATTTTCATCAATTTTATCAATAAAATAGGTGACAACTACGCGACTGTACGCCTCAAAATATACCCGCTTTCGCAATAACCAAAAAAAAATTCCCTTAACTAACCTCAACTTCGGCTAATGTTTCCAGCACTAAGTAGGCGATGATTGCTGTCAAATCGGTGCGTGATGTCTGCGGGCGAAGGCATTGCTAAAAAAGGTATAAAATTTCGAGTTTTAACAAAAAAAAAAAAAAAAAAAACTAAAGTCATTTAGTGAAGTGAGAATCGAGTAGCCTGTTTTCTAGGTAGTTTATGATTTTTTAAAGATAATAAATTGAATTCTGATCATTTCCGATAGTTCGACTTTCTCCACATCCACATCCGATATAGTTCGACTCTCTTTTTAAACTCACCATCAAGTAATCCTTGTTGCCACGGGGTTGCTTTCGAATCGCGTAAATCGTGTAGGATTGTGGCTCGGAGAGCTCGATTCGATAGGGGAGGACAGCTCTGAAAAATTTGAGGATATTGTAAGTCGTACTGTACACTTAGAATACGCTAATAGTTACAGGTAATAAGCAGTAAACCCACCGTAACGCAATGTGATTATCGTTTCCGTTGATTTTCCACGCAGTTGCACTCACTGAGAACATCGGATGACCGGGCAACGGAAAGAGGAAAGATCTAAAGAAGAGGTTTTGATTGAGCTACGGTAACCTGGCTACGGTAAGCTGGCTACGGTAAGCTGGCTACGGTAAGCTGGCTACGGTAACCTGGCTACCGTAAGCTGGCTACCGTAACCTGGCTACCGTAAGCTGGCTACCGTAAGCTGGTTATCGTAAGCTGGCTACCGTAACCTGGCTCAGGCTCAGAGTGCTTTAGACCTTTTGAAATATAGCTAAGTTTATTAAAAAAAATTTCGAAAGAATTGATGGGTTGATTTTTGTGAAATCATTGTGCAAACTTTTTCCACAAACTTTCTTGTCAACCTAATAGATCAACAGTTGTAAATTAAAGTCCTTCTAAAGGTTCATCTATTTAGTATACCGTATTTTCTCCAATACTAGTGCACCCCGGCCGAGCCAAGGAGTTGGTGCCGAGTTGGTCTTTTACAGTTTCCAAGCTTTTGCACAGAAGCTCAACCCTCTAGTCCCCCCATAAGATCTCATCGTCAACTACGTCAGCTACATTTTCCGACCCCCACATCGATAGGTTTTGTTCTGATAAGCGATTCTCGAGATTTCGACCAATTTAGGCGAACGCTCAGGGTGCACACTACTATTAGAGAAACAACGGTATTGTAACATATTCCTCACCTTCCCGTGATCTGCGTCAATTCGGCAACCGGTCGATAGCTGTTCTCGAAGTAGGTGGCCGCGCTGGCGAGTCGCTGAAAGAATTTCGAAAGTTTTACCTTTTCATTACCACCTCCTTTTCAAGCCACCAAACTAAATTCCAGAGTTTTATCAGAAATCTCACAATAATTAGCGATACTGTAAATATCTCGATTTTCACTATGCCAAAAATTGTTAAAAAATTGTCAAAACTTGTGCAAAACATGGTTCTTTTGAAAAACATCGTTCCCATGTTGACCAACTGGTTACCACATTTGGCTAAGATGTCACAGGGCCAGGGTACGATCTCAGTTATCGAAAATGAGACTTACAGTTTCCTTGAAACCCTTTTTTGCATAAGTTTTGCCATGAAATGTTAATTTTAAGGCTAAAATGCCAGAATGCTAAAATGCTAAAATGCTAGAAAATGCTAGAATGCTAGAATGCTAAAAAATCACTCACGGGAAACATGAAAACTTTCGTCGCATCCTTTTGCAACTCTGTAACAACGAAGAGCGACGGGATGAGATTCGATTTTCGATCCATGATGTAAAGCATCAACTGTAAAACGAATCACATTTTGTGTACTTTGTGCATCAAACTCATAAAACACACTTTATCTGGTGCATATGCTAGCTTAACAACTTAACAAACCTCTTCGATGGGTAGCATCGATTTTCGTTGAGCCGCCGACAAAACCATTGGCAGTTTCGAGAACGATTTGACGATTCGACTGAACAACGATCGGACTCCTTTGTAATCGATGCGGCGAAGGTTTTCCTGGAAAAGTTATAAAAATCTCAAATGTCAAAATCGATAAGTACTGTAGCTATGTCACGCATTAAAACTGAAACACTTCTCGAGTATTTTCTAAAAGTTGCCTTTCCTCGAAAAACTCCCGTAATCAAGATACCAAAATAAGCTTTAGCGCCTCAATGGCTTGAACTTAAAGACGCCAAGAATATGACAGTTTTTTCTTGAAGGGTACCGTATAGGAAACAAGACTATAGTAGCCTGCCTTGACTAGTATAGTAGCCTGACTAGTATAGTAATCTACTTGACTAGTTTACTAGCCTACTTATCTCGTATAGTAACCTACTTGCCTAGTTTAGTAGCCTACTTGACTAGTTTAGTAGCCTGACTAGTATAGTAACCTACTTGTCTTACTGTACCAAAAAAAGTCTCCTAATTTAGTTAGCTTTGTGCTTAGAAAGGTAATAAAATTCGTAAACTAGGTTACCTTTATGTATCGAAACTTTTCCCCATCAAGCTTTGTCTTAAGCGTGAAATCGGCGGTCAACGCGAGTCCCTCGAGGCACATACTGTAAATTGAAAGAATTTACGATTAGTTATCAAGTTTTAAGAAAAGTTCTAAAGTGTTCAGACTACGCGTAACTGAGTACAATAATCCTTCGAATCCTATACACTAGGCAGCTATCGTTTATCGTAATGAAGTCTTCTTTCATGAATGAGCTTCTAGCTTTACTGTAGCTATGTGAAAACTCGAAAATCGAATACTGCAACTATGCCACTAAAATTGGGTCTAGAAAAAGGCTACAGCTATCGTAGCTGTAGAAAAGCTGTAAAATCGACGACTTTATATTTAATGGAAAGGGCTACTGCAGGTTGGTAGGTCATAAAAAAATCTAAAAATACCCACTTTGGACTGATATCTCCTCGCTGGCAAGCTGTCTTGAAGATTTTGTCGATCAACATCTGAAAAAAAAAAAATCCATTTTTGAAAAAAGCATTTGAATCAAATCCCAACCATTTAAATCGTTAAACAAAAACTTTTTTTTTCAAAAATCAAAATCGACTTTTTTTTCCTCAATAAATTTACGATACCTCGGTCTCCATTTTCCGTGCCGATTTCTCCTGTTGCACGATTTGAATCATCTCATTGACGGCCGAGTATTTCTCCTCCTGGAATCAATTCTTGTTTTCAACTCCTGTATTAGACGTTTCCTAAAATTCCTAAAAAGCTACCGCATCTTGTATGGCTTTCGTATCTGAGTGCTTTAAGTGCCTTTTCGAAAATGGGTTAACCTAGAGAATAACTAACTAGATAACTAACTAACTAAATAACTAACTAAATAACTAAATAACTAAATAACTAACTAACTAAATAACTAACTAACTAACTAAATAAATAACTAACTAACTAACTAACTAAATAACTAACTAACTAACTAACTAAATAACTAAATAACTAACTAACTAACTAAATAACTAAATAACTAACTAACTAACTAAATAACTACCAAACTAACTAACTAACTAAATAACTAACTAAATAACTAACTAACTAAATAACTAACTAAATAACTAACTAAATAACTAACTAAATAACTAACTAACTAAATAACTAACTAAATAACTAACTAACTAACTAACTAAATAACTACCAAACTAACTAACTAACTAACTAACTATAAGTGGTACTTTAACCAATACAGTAGTAAAGCCATAACCGATTAATATTGTAACACAGCTCATTCTAAAGGCTAGCACAGGCTACCGTAATCCGGGAGTGCTATAGGATGCTGTAGGAGTCTAAAGAGTCCCCAAAGTTGTACTGTGCCGTCTAAAATAGCTTAAAGATACTCAGGTATTGTAAACTCTATCAATAGCTCAATTCTATAACTCAATTCACTCACTTTCGCCATTTTCCCGAGAATCTCACAAACGGTGTTTATCAGATACTCATCATTCTCCGGTCGATCGCTGCTCAAATCCCAAAAGAGCATCTTCAAATCGGAATGACCCTGAAAATTGTTGGATTCAAGCTAAAACACTCAGGCAATTTTGATCTAACTTTGTCATAGCTATCAAATTTACTGACAAATCACTCAATTTCTCTGAAAATTTAACTAATTCAAAACTTTTATTTATCTATTCGATTTTCTTTAAATCACAAAAAGGCTCTAAAAGTCTCAACCTTTCGTTTACAAGAGCTGTAAACTCATCAATTTCTTTTCTTAAACTCACAAAATGGTGTGCAATCAGTGCTCTTATCCGATTCATCGGCTCTCTGATGCTGTCTTGCGCCTTCTCGCGTTGCTGATAAATCTGTTCAAATGCATTTTTTCACAAAAACAATCAACTTACATCAGATTTTAGTCTATTTGCCATTGTAAACGAATAAAAAAATCCTATTATTTGCAAAATTTTTCTTCAAAAAACGCCACGAAATCCTTGCGCAAGCAAAAAGCTAATGAAAAATCAGATTCTTTTAAAGATAATAGTTGCTTTGATTCAGCAACTAAAACCGTTTTTGAAGAAATTCCGTTAATAATTTAGAATTCGGTACTATTGACTTTGGGGGATCCACTTTTTTTTTCGCCAAAATCCCTTTTCCCGGGGTAATTTAGTACGCTGAGCACGAATATGACATTTTTAGAGTAGATTTCTAATAAAAAAAAAAACGTAATTTTTAGAATTTAAAAAATTTTCAGCATTTTATCGACGGGTTCTTTTCCAAATTCTTGACACCATATAAATTCCTGATGGAAATCTGTATAGCGGTCATTTAATCGGCAGTTGAGGCCATGGCATCGCTTAATTATTTTGATGTAATTAACTTTTGATGCAATAACACTATAGTGCAATAAACAACCATCAAAATCCTCGTCGGGTTCTAGTAATTTCTCAGAGAGCTCCAATAGTTTCATTTCGCTCAACACTTGTATTGCCTGTGCTGCCATTTTGTCGAAAAGAATGATACAGCGGTATGTTTTTCAGTTAACTGAGTTAGTTTACCTGTCAATTCTTGAAAAGTAAACCAAAAATTGCATGAAAACCCGTAAATTTAATATTTAAAAGAGGAAATTTGCAGTTAAAATGCTCAAAATTCTAAAAATTGCGTTTTATTAAAAATCTACTCTGTCAGCTCCGAGCCAAACTGATATTTTAGTTACCATTGTTATTATTGAATGATTTAACTTAACCCAAATTCTAGTCCACATCCGTTTATACCTAGGAACGTCTAACTCTAAAAATGTCATCTTCGTGCTCAGCGTACTCCATTGCCCCAGGAAAAGTGTTTTTGGCGAAAAAAAGTAGCCCTCCCAAAGCCAATAGTACCAATAAGTCCCTTAATACGTTTTCAGTCTTTTACATAAAAAAAACTGTAGATTTTTGGCAAAATTTCCCTCTTTGGCAAAGTAGGGAAGGATTTTAAAGCGATATTTTACATTTAAGCTAAAAATTGGTTTAACTTTTAAATTTCCCAAGTATTTTTCATTCTAATATGGAAACTTTCTCAAAAACATTTCAACTTTAGCTTTTCATCTCTAATTTAGCTTTTCATCTTAACTTTAGCTTTTCATTTCAACTTTAGCTTCTCATCTCAACTTTAGCTTTTCATCTCTAATTTAGCTTCTCATCTTTCTAAAAAGCGTGAACACTATCAAATAGTTTCGATTTCAAAATTTTAAATATCATTTCATCATTTTTCCAACCTCCTACCTTGCCGAAAAGGGGAATTTTCTCAAAAACCACACTCACTTGCGCATTTTGCTGCTCGGCTTCGGTGGTGGTTGCCATTTCTTCTTCTTCCCTCGTTCAATTCATCGATTTGCTCAATCTAAATTTATTGTTTTATTTCAATCACATATCAAAACGATAAAATACGGAAATGAAACGCGTGAAATGGTTGAGAAATTTCGCGAAAAACAACAACAATAAATTAAAGAATTACGTAAAAAAAAGAATGAGAAATAACGACGCAAATGCGTGACATAAATATAAGATAGGGGTTTTTGAAAAAATTTGACGGAAAAGTTGACAAATTTTAGTATTTGAAGCTTTTTGGGTTTTTAAAATAAGCAATTTTGACTAAAAAAAGTGACTAAAAGTTGGCATCCACCAAGTTTTTCACTAAACTTTCCAAAAAACAAGCGTCATTTTTGGCTAAAAGATCGATTGCTATCTTTTAGGCCAAAATGGGCCAAAATAGGCCAAAATGGAAGGAATTTCGTAGAAACCTAAAAGGATTTCGTGATCAAAACATCAAAAAACTTATCATTTACCAACTTTTTCACCAAATCTCCCAACAAATATAGGTTATTTTTGCTTAAAAACGCCTTGCCAAGAATTTTCCGTCAAATTTCTCCCAAACGCATCGATAACAAAAGAGATCACGAGAAAAACAAGATAAACTCTAAGCTTAAGCAAGCAAATTTATGCATCATCTGGCGGGATCCATAGGTTTAACTTGGTGCACGCGGTAGCCATGATGAAGAACCGCGGATTGAAGGCGACTTGTTGAATCAAACCGGTGTGATCCGTTTGTATGTCCGCGTTCTTCTGCCCGCTTTCCACGTTCCACGCATTGACGATCCCGTTCGAACTGCCGCAGAGCACGAATTGCGAATCCGGGGGTGAATGCGGCCTCCAATGGTTGCCGACGAGCATTCACGTGCCCGCGGAGCACGTGTTTTTGTGTACCAGAGAACGCGTCGATCACTCGCATCACCTCTCCATCCGTTGTAATCAAAATGTGCTTTCCATCCGGCGAGAATTTCATCCCGGTCCAATCGCAGTTCGGCTCTTGCTCCAGTTGCCATGTCATAAAGGGCCCTTTGTCGAAGGAGCGCAAATCGTACAGCTTCACACTTTGACTGTTCACACCGGCTCCGAAAATCAGCCCATCTGGATCGAAAGCCGCCACGGCGCGACTGGTGACTTGCATGACTCCTTGGCAATTCGGCGACTTCAAATCCCAGAGTCGAATCGTTTTATCCTCGCTGCCACTGAGGAACATATCGTCTTGCGGTGACATGCAAAGCGTCAACACTTTTTTCGTGTGTCCCGGGAAATATCGAATGTACTTGTTGTCGTGAAGCGATAAATAGCGAATCGTGTCATCAACCTTTGTCGAGCAATGGATGCCGGTGTTGTGATTGTGCGTGAAACGGATTAGATCAACCCCGTATTTTTTTGAGTTCACCGCCCTCGTTTTCGTGCCCAAATTGCAATTGTACATGACGATCGAGTCGTCATCGCTCGACGTGATCATCGTTTGGCCGTCGGCGGTGAAATCGATCGAGTTGATGCGCTGCTCGTTTTCGCTGAATGATTTCACCATCACCATTCGGGAGACCAAATCCGCTGTCAGTTTCACCGTGCCGGCTGTTGCTGGAGTCGCATTTTGCACAGGCGCCGCCATCGCTGGACCTAGAAATGGAAAAAGTTAGCGTTTTTTAGAAAAAAAGCGATAAGAAAACAAGAAAACATTGAGAAATTGAAGAAATCATGTGTAAAATGATAAAAATAAAGTTCGGGAAGGGGATCTGATTTGGTTAGATCGAAGATTTAGGATCGCTAATTGCTCGAATTTGCTCAGATCCTATTTTTCGATCGTTTTACCAATGTTATTTCATTTTTCTAGCCTAATCAACCATGCTGAATCTATTGGTGATGTTTTTAGAAAGCGTAAACATTGCATAAACAGTGACCGTTTTGTTTTGACCAACGTTTGTCAATGTTTTGTTGAGCTAGCTGTTAACTATTGCATTTTTATGTGCAATGCCGTTGTGCTGTTGCGCTGTTGCAATGCCGCAACGCTAGAAAAAAGGCTAGGGTTGAAATCTAAAGTAAAAAACCTTTCCGCAACGCTAGAAAAAAAGGCTAGGGTTGAAATCTAAAGTAAAAACCTTTCCGCAACGCTAGGAAAAGAAACTAGGGTTGAAATCTAAAGCAAAAACCTTTCCGCAACGCTAGGAAAAGAGGCTAGGGTTGAAATCTAAAGCAAAAACCTTTCCAAAACACTCTAAAAATATCACCAATAGATTAAACGTCTTCGATTATTTGAAAATGCAAAAGCGGACTAGAAAAAACACTCGTAAACAAGCGTAAAATAGGTTCTGGCCGGGTCAGACCTCCCCACGAATTTTATTAGTGTCAAACTTTTACAAAAACCGTTAAGAAAACAAGAAAACATTGAGAAATTGAAGAAAACATGTGTAATTTCGTTTTAAAACCTTACAAAATGCAATGTGATAAATTTTTTGGCCAAAAATCTTCTAGCTTAATCTATAGAAATCAGGAACCTATAGAAAACCTATAGAAAAACCTATAGAAAAACCTATAGAGAAACCTATAGATAAACCTATAGAGAAACCTATAGAAGAATCTATAGCAAAAACCTATACAAATTTCGAAAAAGCACAGAATTTGTTAAGAAAATCGACTCATTTCTATATTTACATGTTCTTAAATCTCTTTGGTTCTTAAATTCGGGAAAACTTAAAAGAAAAACATTAAGATTAAGATTTAAAAGATAAAAATTAAGATTTGAAGGGGGTAGGACCAATGCGACCTTTTTTTGCGCACCTGGACATTTGCGCACCTTTTTTTTTGCTGGAAAAGGCCTTAGAGCTTCGAAAATATTTCCATATAAGGGAATCGTATGCGTAGATTCCGAATTTCGACAAATCAGACCTCGCTGACACGTCAAATTTGGGCTAAAAGGCAAAAACTGCGGAAAAGCGTTAAGTTGCGTAGTTTTTGCCTTTTAGCCCAAATTTGACGTGTCAGCGATGTTTGATTTGTCGAAATTCGGAATCTACGCATACGATTCCCTTCTAGGAAAACATTTTCGAAGCTCTACGACCTTTCCTAAGGCCTTTTCCAGCAAAAAAAAGGTGCGCAAATGTCCAGGTGCGCAAAAAAAAGGTCGCATTTGTCCCACCCCCGATTTGAAAGATAAAAATTAGATTTAAAAGGCTAAAATTAGATTTAAAAGGCTAAAATTAGATTTAAAAGGCTAAAATTAGATTTAAAAGGCTAAAATTAGATTTAAAAGACTAAAATTAAGATTTGCTCATCGAAAAACCGTAGAAACTTGCGAAAATGGCAAAAAAAGCCGTCAGATTTTAAATAAAAAATTTTAACTTCAAATTTTATACAATTTCAATCAAAAAAAAATCGATATCGTTTTCATTTTTCATCATAAATCAAGGAAATGTCACGATTTCAAGCGAAAAAAGCTCAAAATTTGCTGTCAAAATCGTTTTAACCCTCGAAAAGGACAATTTTTGATGAAAAATAGGAAAAAGTTTAGGAAATCGAACGATTTTAAGAACGATTTAAGGATAAAATTGAAGCATAAAATGGAAAAATTGGGGAAATTTGAGGGAAATGTTGATGAATGAGTAAAATTGAGGTTTTGCGCAGAAGAAAATTCAGAAAGCGACCAAAAGAAAATTCAGAAAGTCTCCAAAAATCGGGAGTGGGACAAGTGCGACCTTTTTGTTTGCGCACCCGGACACTTGCGCACCTTTTTTCCCGCACTTAGCCCATTAGCGCACCTTTTTTTCGCGTTTTAAAGCTAATATTAAGCTCTAAAAGCTCTAAAAGCTAATATTAACCAATTTCTTTGGTTAATAACCAATTTCTATTCCAAAAGTTGTTTTTCTAGGTAATTTGAGGGCGTAGAATCGAAATTTTGACATATCAGAGCTTGTGGAACCAATTTGAAAGACAAATTTGAAAGACAAAGCAGCTAGGTCAAATTACAGAAAATTGTTGATTTTTCTCTTTGTATAACTCGGTCCGTTCGCTTTCACAAGCTCTGATATGTCAAAATTTCGATTCTACGCCCTAAAATTACCTAGAAAAACAACTTTTGGAATAGAAATTGGTTATTAACCAAAGAAATTGGTTAATATTAGCCTTTTAGAGCTTTTAGAGCTTTTAGAGCTTTTAGAGCTTAATATTAGCTTTAAACCCGCGAAAAAAGGTGCGCTAATGGGCTAGGTGCGGCAAAAAAAGTGCGCAAACCGTATTGGAACTGTATTGGAACCGTATTAGATCAAAATAGGAACCGTATTGGAACTGCAAAAAAAGGTCGTATTTGTCCCACTCCCCATTTTGCTTTCTTTTGCTGAAATTTTATCGTTTTCTTGTTCTTTTTTTTTCAATTTTAAACTGTTAAAACGAAATATTTCTTGAAATTTTTCCTTTTTAGGCATGCTGGGTGGGAAAAAAAAGCACTCAACAAGGGATCTGACGGCCAAAAATTCGGTGAGCTTTGTTAGAATTTGAGCGATAAGTGCTGAAAATGGTGTTTTTTTTTACTTGCAAAATAGTCAGCTTTTAGGCAAATCGAGTCACCGCGTGTATTTTCGCTTAAAAATAGCGTAGTCTTGCTACAGATTCGCAGCTTTTAGGTTCTGAGCGGGAAATTAGCGCGTTTTGACTCAAAAACGATAAAATTCTACCCCAAAAACGTGCTATTTTTGAGCAAATTGCGTCTCTAGCGCGTGTTTTAGCTTGTTTTAGCTTGAAAACAGCAAAATCTTGCTTAATTAAGTGCGGGAAAAAAAGGTGCGCAAATGTCCGGGTGCGCAAATGTCTGGGTGCGCAAAAAAAAGGTGCGCAAATGTCCCGCTCCCGATGAATGAGTAAAATTGAGGTTTTGCGCAAAAAAAAATTCAGAAACTCGCCAAAAACCTCGAAAATTACTCAAAACAAACAAATTTATAAGGAAATTTAAAAGCTTCAAAAGATATTCAGCTGAGTTGACTGAATATCTTTTAAGTTGAACTTAATGTCCAAAAAGCTGCAAAAAGATATTCAATCAACCCAGCTGAATATCATTAAAATCCGGCTTTAATCCCAGACATCTATTCAAATCTCGGTAACTTTGATTCAAAAGATATTCAATTAAAGAATTGAGTATTCAAAATTAAATCTGAAATTCTTTGAATTTGTCGAATTTCTTTTCGATTGAATATCTTTTGAAATAGAAAATAAAAACCTTTTTTAAACATTCGAATCGGCTAAATTGGAGCTCACAGCTTGCGAAAAGTTTGCAAAAAGCTTGCAAAGAAAGAAGAAAAAAAGATTTCCCCACCTACGCGCGGCTCCGCTTTTTGCCGATCACAATCGGCGCGTTTTTGTCTTTTCAGAATTTTAGTGTGTGTTCCAATTCCTTCAAAAATCTTATCAGTTTCAAATTCTTTCAAGGAAAAATCCAATTTCTCGCCTCGATCAATGCTCAAATGAATCAATACGCGCAAAATCAATCGCGACCGCTATCGATTCTGCAATTCACGATCGCAGATGTGCTATTCGAGAATCGGTATGTTTAGATTTGATATTAGGTTTTGAGAAGCTTGAGAAGCTTGAGAAGCTTGAGGAGCTTGAGGAGCTTGAGAAGCTTGAGAAGGTTGAGAAGGTTGAGAAGATTGAGAAGGTTGAGAAGATTGAGAAGATTGAGAAGATTGAGAAAATTGAGATTTCTTTAGAATTCTCACATTTGATTTACGCTTGGAGTCACCGATCAGCCAAATTGGATCAAGTTTTCATAAAGTTTGTGCTATTTTTTTAAAAGCTGTACTTTGTGCTGTGCTTGTGCTGTACTTGTGCTGTTCTTTGTGCTGTGCTTGTGCCCCAGGAGAAGCTGCTGTGCTTGTGCCCCAGAAGAACCTGCTGTGCTTGTCCCCTGCTTGTTCCCTGCTTGTGCCTTGCTTGTCCCCTGCTTGTGCCTTGCTTGTCCCCTGCTTGTGCCTTGCTTGTTCCCTGCTTGTCCCCTGCTTGTGCCCTGCTTATCCCCTGCTTGTGCCCTGCTTGTACCCTGTTTGTACCCTGTTTGTGCCCTGCTTGTACCCTGCTTGTCCCCTGCTTGTGCCCTGTTGTCCCCTTCTTGTCCCCTGCTTGTCCCCTGCTTGTACCCCAGGAAAACCTACCGTAAACCATTCTGTCTGTCTTTTCTTAAAGCTTTTAAACGAATTAGCTTACGGTATCAACGAAATTTTCGTCTCATTCGATCAAGAATCATTTGGCATACTGTAACTTTTAAGCTTTCACTCGAATTACTCGAACTTTGAGTTAAACTCCTGTCCCAAAAGTCTGACCAAAAATTCCATGAACAACAAATTTTGTTTAGAGCACTTTCTGGCTTTCCTCTCCCGCCGATACCGAAGCATTTTTCGTCTCGGAAATCGGTGGCGACCTTGAGCATCACATTCGACAATTGTGCCAACCGGATCCGAATCGGTGAGTGAAATTTGGAGGAATTGGGTTGGAGAAGGCTCAGAACAAACCAGGGACAGGCTTAGGCTAGGTATTAGTTCAAAGTACCATATCCAGAGCTAGATCCAGAGCTAGATCCAGATTCAGACCCAGATCCAAATTCAGATTCGAACCCACATTCAGACCCAGCTCCAGATCCAGATCCAGGTTTGGACCCAGATGTAGGTCCCCCGGAACCTTTGGATTCAGGCCAGAAGTCAGTCCAGTACTTGGCTATGGGCTTGAACTTAGATCTGGTATCTTGTCTAGCCTAGTATCTGGTCCAGATCTGGATCCCGGCCTGGGCCTGGGCTTGAATCTGGATCTGGATCCGGGCCTGGGCCTAGGCTTGACTCGGGATCTGAATCTGGATCTGGATCTGGATCTGGATCTGGGCTAGGTCCAGGGCTAGAGGCCAAGCCTAGATCTAGTATCAGGTCCAGTGTCCGAGAGGTTTAAGGTGGGTTCAGAGTGAGCGCCAGGTCCAGGTTCAAGGCCAGTATTTGTGATAATGTAACTACAGTGTTCCACATAATTCCACGTACCAGAAATGCTTTATTAACAACAAGCGACAATTTCTAATTCAATAATCAGTAGCAGCTCCATTCAGACCCAGATCTAGACCCAGATCCAGCTCCAGCTACAACTCCAGCTCCAGCTCCAGATCCAGATCCAGTTCCGGCTTAGATACTAGACTAGACAAGATACCAGGTCCAGGTTCAAGCCAATAGCCAAGTAATGGACTGACTTCTGGCCTTACCTAGGATTACAGGCTTTTTGACCACTCAACTAGATCCCAGCAATGTCCCGAAGTACAATACCATTCTGAATCCATTAAACCTCAGTAAGATGGGGTACGGCACTTTTCTTTAAGCTGGCTGACCATCTTTTGAATGTGAATTGTGTAAAAAGTACTGTAAGATCTGCTCCTAGGTTACTGTAGTACTGTAGTGTTGTAGATTCTTTACAGTATCCAAAAATCTCCGACTTTTCCAGCCGGATCCATATCGAATGCCCACACGGAGCCATTTTCCTTCACCTCATCGATCCGAATGGAACCGTGGCCATTCCATTGGCCATCCCGTCACCACCAAGACAAATCGATCGACTGAAAATGATGCTGAACATGGAAAAAGTGAGACAGGAACAGCTACAGTACTCTAGCTACAGTACATCTACTGTACTCTAGCTACAGTACAGCTACAGTGCAGCTACAGTGCTCTAGCTACAGTACAGCTACAGTACTCTAGCTACAGTACAGCTACAGTACTCTAGCTACAGTGCAGCTACAGTACTCTAGCTACAGTACAGCTACAGTACTCTAGCTACAGTACAGCTACAGTACTCTAGCTACAGTACATCTACTGTACTCTAGCTACAGTACAGCTACAGTGCAGCTACAGTACTCTAGCTACAGTACAGCTACAGTACTCTAGCTACAGTGCAGCTACAGTACTCTAGCTACAGTACAGCTACAGTACTCTAGCTACAGTACAGCTACAGTACTCTAGCTACAGTGCAGCTACAGTACTCTAGCTACAGTACAGCTACAGTACTCTAGCTACAGTACAGCTACAGTACTCTAGCTACAGTGCAGCTACAGTACTCTAGCTACAGTACAGCTACAGTACTCTAGCTACAGTACAGCTACAGTACTCTAGCTACAGTGCAGCTACAGTACTCTAGCTACAGTGCAGCTACAGTACTCTAGCTACAGTACAGCTACAGTACTCTAGCTACAGTACAGCTACAGTACTCTAGCTACAGTGCAGCTACAGTGCTCTAGCTACAGTACAGCTACAGTACTCTAGCTACAGTACCCCAGCTACAGTAATCCAATTCCAATTCACAGAATAAACACGGTGAAGCAATGCGGCAAATCTTTAAGCTTCAAGCTGATGCCACCACCGCTACACAGAAAAGTGAACAGGTAAAGCGTCACAAAGTTTATTGATAATGATTTTACAGTTAGAACAGCTCTGTGACTCGCAGCTACGGGAAATCAACTGTTTACGGAATATTTTACGAGAACACGCTACGGCTCACGAACATGAGATGCACACGTGAGTCTTGTGTCTGGCCTTGAAGCTGGTTCTAGAGCTGGATCAGAAGCTGGTTCTAGAGCTGGACTAGCTGGTTCTAGAGCTGGACTAGAAGCTGGTTCTAGAGCTGGATGAGAAGCTGGTTCTAGAGCTGGACTAGAAGCTGGTTCTAGAGCTGGATGAGAAGCTGGTTCTAGAGCTGGATGAGAAGCTGGTTCTAGAGCTGGATGAGAAGCTGGTTCTAGAGCTGGATGAGAAGCTGGTTCTAGAGCTGGATGAGAAGCTGGTTCTAGAGCTGGATGAGAAGCTGGTTCTAGAGCTGGATGAGAAGCTGGTTCTAGAGCTGGATGAGAAGCTGGTTCTAGAGCTGGATGAGAAGCTGGTTCTAGAGCTGGATGAGAAGCTGGTTCTAGAGCTGGATGAGAAGCTGGTTCTAGAGCTGGATGAGAAGCTGGTTCTAGAGCTGGACTAGCTGGTTCTAGAGCTGGACTAGAAGCTGGTTCTAGAGCTGGACTAGAAGCTGGTTCTAGAGCTGGATGAGAAGCTGGTTCTAGAGCTGGACTAGAAGCTGGTTCTAGAGCTGGATGAGAAGCTGGTTCTAGAGCTGGATGAGAAGCTGGTTCTAGAGCTGGATGAGAAGCTGGTTCTAGAGCTGGATGAGAAGCTGGTTCTAGAGCTGGATGAGAAGCTGGTTCTAGAGCTGGATGAGAAGCTGGTTCTAGAGCTGGATGAGAAGCTGGTTCTAGAGCTGGATGAGAAGCTGGTTCTAGAGCTGGATGAGAAGCTGGTTCTAGAGCTGGATGAGAAGCTGGTTCTAGAGCTGGACTAGCTGGTTCTAGAGCTGGACTAGAAGCTGGTTCTAGAGCTGGACTAGAAGCTGGTTCTAGAGCTGGATGAGAAGCTGGTTCTAGAGCTGGACTAGAAGCTGGTTCTAGAGCTGGATGAGAAGCTGGTTCTAGAGCTGGATGAGAAGCTGGTTCTAGAGCTGGATGAGAAGCTGGTTCTAGAGCTGGATGAGAAGCTGGTTCTAGAGCTGGATGAGAAGCTGGTTCTAGAGCTGGATGAGAAGCTGGTTCTAGAGCTGGATGAGAAGCTGGTTCTAGAGCTGGATGAGAAGCTGGTTCTAGAGCTGGACTAGCTGGTTCTAGAGCTGGACTAGAAGCTGGTTCTAGAGCTGGACTAGAAGCTGGTTCTAGAGCTGGACTAGAAGCTGATTCTAGAGCATCAGAAGCTGATCTTAGCTGGCAGTCAGCCTTCCCAGGTTGGTAGTCAGCCTTCCTAGGCTGATCGTCAGCCTTTCTAGGCTGGAAAGTCAAGTCTTTCTGGTCCCAGTGCTAATCCTAAAGCTGAATTAGATAATTTAGAGTCTTCCTTTAGAAAAACCCCACTGAAATGCTTAGTGCCAAGCATGCTGAGTCCATCAAAAGTGCAAAACGATGAGCCACAACAAGATTTCAACAATGACCAACCAGGAACTTCGAAAGAGACTAATTTACAAGAAGTGGGCTTTGTAAATCAAATTTTAGATGCTACGCCGAACTCCAGTCACCCAGAAACTGTATTTTTAGCGAACAACGACTCAACTCCTTGCTTTGACCCATTCAATTTCATCGACGACCAGCGCATCAACAGAACAATCGCAGAAAGAGCTGTTGATTGGTGAGCAGAGACAGTAAAAGCCCTTGCCCTGGTTATAGACCAGCTTTGGACCTGGCTCTGGCTTGGCCTGGCTTAGCTCTGGCTTAGCCAGGCCCCTCAAAAGTTCCTGGACCAGATCCTGAACAAGGCCAGCAATTAAATGCTAGTTTTGGATGTCACACTTGATTTGGAAGTGATTGAAATCAAAAAAACGAGACTTTTTCCCCGAGCGGACCCTCGGACTGGCTTACAGAAGGCCACGAACCAGGACCCTCGGACTGGGTTCCTCAGACTTGGAGCCAGGTCCGTAGCTGGTCCATAGCTGGTCCATAGCCAAGGCATAACCAATTCCTACTTTACAAGCCGCCATAATGCAATTAGCTGCAAAATGCTAGAAGTTTAAGTTGAAATCTTTCCGAAACACAATTTTTTGATGGCTAGAGTTCAGGATTGGCGGTTTTTACAAAAATCTATGCTTAGATAGGCAAAATTATTAAGATAACTGTAGGATCTGGATGTCAGGAGAGCCAAAAATTTGAATAGATTAGCTTAATGCTTAGGGAGACTGGGTGGCCAAGTGGTTAGCGCGCTAGGTTTCAAGTCGGAGGGTCCTGGTTCGAGTCCGCTCGAGGCAAACGCAGTTTTTTTCTCCATTTCAATCACTTCCAAACCAAGTGTGACATCCAGAATTAGCAAAAAAGAAGAAATTAAAGCAAAAAGCATAATAAAATTAGCTGCAAAATGCTAGAAATTGCTCCAAAATTTAGGACTGGCGGTTTTTACAAAAATCTATGCTTGGATAAGCAAAATCATTAAGATAATTGTAGGATCTGGAACTCACGGGAGACAAAAATTTGAATAGATTAGCTTAATGCTTAAGTGTCCGAATGGCCGAGTGGTTAGCGCGCTAGGTTCCAAGTCGGAGGATCCAACCTGAGGGTCCTGGTTCGAGTCCGCTAAGGGAAAAAGCATTGTTTTTTCGATTTCAATCACTTCCAAACCAAGTGTGACATCCATAACCTCTTCAAAAGGCAATTCCAGGCATCGCTCAACAAATCATTTGCTCTTTATGCCCTGAGAATTTTCATCTACCCGATTTGAAGGAAATGGAGCAACATTTCTTGCAGACACATATGGATGAGGAAAAGAAGAGTTGTCGGTGAGTGTAGGAGGGTTAAAGCCATCACAATCGGGTCACAAAACTTTTCAGTGCTTGTCCGACCGACTCAAATCCAGCGAATCTCTTCCAACACATTCGACAGCACGCAAATCGGGTTTGTGAATTTAACAGCGATAATTTAACACCAATATCCAGCACTTGGCTTGATTCTGGCTTAGAATTGGTACTGTAAAGTACATAGAGTACAGTTAGAGTACAGTTAGAGTACTTTAAAGTACATAGAGTACAGCTAGAGTACTTTAAAGTACATAGAGTACAGCTAGAGTACTGTAAAGTACATAGAGTACATTCAGCATACTTTTTACAGTCAGAATTAGTACTTTAAAGTGCATAAAGTACAGTTAGAGTCCTTTAAAGTACATAGAGTACAGCTAGAGTACTGTAAAGTACATAGAGTACAGCTAGAGTCCTTTAAAGTGCATAGAGTACAGTTAGAGTCCTTTAAAGTACATAGAGTACAGTTAGAGTACTTTAAAGTACATAGAATCCAGTTAGAGTACTTTTAACAGTCAGAATTAGTACTTTAAAGTACATAGAGTACAGCTAGAGTACTTTTCACAAATCCATCATTTTCCAGATCTACTCCTGTATGAGATGCGGGAAACGTGGCCAAAAACATCTTATCAAAGCGCATCTACGAACGCACACTGGAGAAAAACCGTTTTCCGTGAGTACCTTTAAAGATACGTTAGCATTTCCTGCATCGTACTTTAGCATTTCCTAAGGCTGAAGGGGATTCAATGATCAAAATCCCTATTTTCAGTGTGAAACGTGTGGACGAGGCTTCGCTGATGCGTCCACGCTCCGAAGACATCGAATGATTCATACAGGTAGAGAAGAATTCATTAAGAAGAATGAATCTTCCTTTATTTAATTATCTTTCTATATCTCATCACTGGCTTGGCTGGGTGGCTGGGTGGCCTGGTTCGGCCCTGTACTATCCAAAAATGGGCCTAACTTGGCTGTGATCCGGTCATAGACCCTGGATTGGGTTTAGATTTGAAGCTGACCCTGGATCCTGGATTTGGTTTGACCCTAAAGCTGGATCTGGCTTTGAGGCTAACCTTGGAGCTGGGTTTGGCCTTGAGGCTGGCCCTGCAGCTGAGTCTGGCCCTGGGGCTGGCCCTGGAGCCCTGAAACTTACCCTGGAGCTGGGTCTGACCCTGGACCCTGGATCTGAAGCTGGATCTGGGTCTGAAACTGGCCCTGAAGCTAGATCTGGGTCTGTGACTGGCCCTGAAGCTGGATCTGGGTCTGTGACTGGCCCTGAAGCTAGATCTGGGTCTGTGACTGGCCCTGAAGCTGGATCTGGGTCTGAAACTGACCCTGTGCCTAGACTTGTCCTCTAGAGCTGGCCCTGGCTCTGATTTGTTCAGCAGGTTCAGCTAGGTTTCTGTACTTGACAGGATTGGTTTTTATGACCAGGCTTTTCTGCTAACCGCTCCCTCGGATTCAAAAACGAGATACCAAGGCAGTTTGCCAGATCGTGAACGATTACGTGGCCGCACAGAGACCACCTCGACACTGGTGGGACACTCAGAGCTCTAAATACCCCAGAGCTCTAAATATCCCAGAGGTCTAAATAAATCCCTAGCTAACCCTAGGATTTTTTGAAAGAAAAGTCTACTGTGACATCCAGATTGACGATTGGATGTGAATTGGACCAATTGGACAGAAAGAGCCCCGTTTTTCACAGAGGATTTCTCTTTTTCTTTGTGTGATTCAGCTATTCAGCTGTAAACTTGTACGTAGGGGTTTTCGGGGTCGGTGAATCGATTGGAGGCATTCATTTCATAGAGTTTATCAATGGGAATTGCGTTTAATTGATTTAAACGATGTTTAAACGATTTTTAAACGATCTTTTCACTCCAAATCTCAAGAAAATTGTTTCAGGCGAGAAGAAGCACGAGTGTCCGATTTGTGGCCGATCAATCGCGCGAAAAGACAACGTTAAAGTGCACATAAGAAGTCATAAAGAAACGTAGATAGATCTAAAATTTCGTTTTCGTTTTTGTTTTAACGTTTTTGACTAAACTAGAATAGAAATATTGAAAGTTCACTGATTTTATTTTATTTTATTTTCTTTTCGACTTCTCAACTCTTTCCTTTTCCCGAAATCTTCTGTGATATCCAGCTTGATCAAATTCGTTTCAATAAAGCTTTATTTTCTTTATGATAAAGAAGATTTTAAGCAGCTAACCCTGATTCTGATAAATGATTAGATTTATCTAGATTTTGTTCTGAATTCAACATCTAGCATGGCTTGCTTTATTGATCTGCTTGATTGCTTGCCTTTTAGAGCTGATTTTTGAGTGCTTTAGAATGCAAAAAGCTCAAGAGGAGTCGGCGCGAGTTGAGAGTCTTCTTGATGAGATTGAGTACGGTAATTTGATGAAACTAATTATAGCACAAGAAAAAGACCAAGAAATTTGAGCTCTTATGGAAAAGGGGCGGGGCCAGGAAGGGGCCAGGAAGGCCAGGGGCCATTTTATACGCTCCCTGCCCCTTTACCATTGCGAATCCAACTTGAGCGGATTTGGCTTACGGTAGATTGAGGGGTACGGTAGATCCACTTACTCAATAGTCCCTAAATCTCAGATTTCTCACTATGAAAACTTAGTGTGACAGCCAGTTTGGCCATTTTTGGCTTTAAACAATCGCTTTGCTGCAGAATATCCACAAATTTCAGCCAGCCCCTGACCGGTTCAGTTACCCAATAGGGCCAAAACGCCTAAATCGTGATTTTATCTTTTTGAAAGCCCACTGTGACATCCAGCTTGGCCATTCCGTGCTTTAAAAAAATCACTTTGTTCTTGATATCCACAAATTTCGAGCAGCCCCTGACCGGTTCAGTTACCAATAGGGCCAAAACGCCTAAATCGTGATTTTATCTTTTTGAAAGCCCACTGTGACATCCAGCTTGGCCATTCCGTGCTTTAAAAAAATCACTTTGTTCCAGAATATCCACAAATTTCGAGCAGCCCCTGACCGGTTCAGTTACCAATAGGGCCAAAACGCCTAAATCGTGATTTTATCTTTTGAAAGCCCACTGTGACATCCAGCTTGGCCATTCCGTGCTTTAAAAAAATAACTTTGTTCCAGAATATTCACAGATTTCGGTCAGCCCCGCACCGGTTTAGTTACCCAATAGAGCCAAAACGCCTAAATCGTGATTTTATCTTTTTGAAAAGCTGCTGTGACATCCAGTTTGACCATTCCATTTTTGAAACAATTACTTTCCTCCAGAATATCCACAAATTTCAGCCAGCCCCTGACCGGTTCAGTTACCCAATAGGGCCAAAATAGAGTCGAAAACCCTGTGCTCTTTGCTCATTACATGTCTCCCCATCATAATGCCAACGTTTCACAAATCATATACTTTAGAAACACCCAACAACAAATCGAAGCATGTCTGCTCACCGGGCAAACGACAGAAGCCGATTTGGAGCGGCTGCAAGAAGTGGTACGTTTAGCTGGCTGAGGCTGGGTAGTCAGCCTTCCTAGGTTGGTAGTCAGCCTTCCTAGGCTGGTAGTCAGCCTTCCTAGGCTGGTAGTCAGCCTTCCTAGGCTGGTAGTCAGCCTTCCTAGGCTGGGAAGTCAAGTCTTTCTGGTCCCAGTGCTGGTCTAGTCTTCTAGCCTAGTCATGGCTTTAGACTGGTGATTTCAATGTAGTCTTTCGCGCTAGCTTCCATCTCCCAAAACAATGTAGGATTTGGAAGCTGGTGCTAAAGTTGAAGCAGTTAATATAGAGCTTGATCTGGAGATCTGTCTTGTCTCCAAGATCTCCAAGTGTTTAGACGGATGCTCAAAGAAGATCCCCAGGTCAGATTCGATCAAATAGCACTAGCACAAAAGCCATGGCTAGGCTAGGCCAGTATTAGCCTATTTGGGGCCCTGGTAGGCTATTTGGGGCCAGTATGAGCCCTGGTAGGCCATTTGAGCAGTTTATACAATAGATCAGTTCCCGAGGAGGTTGGATCAGTGATTGGCCTTGTAAGGCCTTCTGTAAGTGATTGGCCTTCTGTAAGGCCTTCTGTAAGTGATCGGCCTTCTGTAAGGCCTTCTGTAAGTGGTTGGCCTTCTGTAAGGCCTTCTGTAAGTGATCGGCCTTCTGATTGGCCTTCTGTAAGTGATTGGCCTTCTGTAAGGCCTTCTGTAAGTGGTTGGCCTTCTGATTGGCCTTCTGATTGGCCTTCTATATAGCCTTTTCAGATGTCCCGCATTGATCACTACATTCCAATCGTGAAGCGGCTAGCTGGAGACGTGGTTTCGATTTGTGAGCGGAGTGATGCTTTGAGGAAACGAGTCATCAATCTAGCAAGCAAAATGAAGATTTGAATAATCTGAAGATTCGAATTTGAAACATAGAAAAACCCTCAACACCTAACGGGTCTAAATAAAGCGATTTTAAGATCCTATTGTAACAAAAGAATAGCTGGATTCTTTTTATTTTTCTTTTTTTCGGATATTTTTTACACAATTTACACAATTTACACAATTTTGATGACTAGATTTCAGGACTGGCGCTTTTTACAAAAATCTATGCTTAGATAAACAAAATTATCTAGATAATTGTAGGATCTGGATGTCAGGAGAGCCAAAAATTTGAATAGATTAGCTTAATACTACAGTGTCCAAGTGGCCGAGTGGTTAGCGCGCTAGGCTCGAAGTCTGAGGGTCCCAGTCCGAGGGTCCTGGTTCGAGTCCGCTCGAGGAAAAAGCATTGTTTTTTCAATTTCAATCGCTTCCAAACCAAATGTGACATCCATAATATAGCAAAAGAGAAGAAATTTAAAGAAAATCCATGCAATTAGCTGTAAAATGCTAGAACTTGCTCCAAAATTCAGGACTGGCGCTTTTTACAAAAATCTATGTTTAGAGAAGCAAAATTATCAAGATAATTGTAGGATCTGGATGTCAGGAGAGCCAAAAATTTGAATAGATTAGCTTAATACTAAAGTGTCCAAATGGTCGAGTGGTTAGCGTGCTAGGTTGCAAGTCGGACGGTCCCAGTCCGAGGGTCCTGGTTCGAGTCCGCTCGGGGAAAAAGTATCGTTTTCTCGATTTCAATCACGTCCAAACTAAGTGTGACATCCATAATCACCAACCATCTGTTCTCCGCTCGGAAAGAGCCATTTAAAGCATCAGTTTTGGCGATGAAAGCCTGGAAAGTCAAGAATTTCGGCAGATTTGATTTATTTTGAATAGATTTGAAAACTCAGAACTCTTTTTTTGCAACACTTTTGTAATTGTCACGCAACAAACCTCATTGTTTTACGGGAAATCGCCCACACCAATTTCCTGTGTTCCAGGCTTTTTTCAGAAAAAAGAACCACTTTTTGAAAAATTTGATTCATTAATTTCCAGATTTGGACCTAAAATTGGACCTGATTGCTTTGGACAAGCTAAAATCTGACTCTGGCTTTGTTCCTGGAGCTGTCCCTGGCTTTGTCCCTGGATCTGTTCCTGGATCTGTCCCTGGCTTTGTCCCTGGAAATGTCCCTGGATTTGTCCCTGGATCTGTCCCTGGCTTTGTCCCTGGCTTTGTCTCTGGATCCGTTTCTGGATCTGTTTCTGGATTTGGATTCGGGTTTAAACCTGGCTGACTAGGCTTGAACCTGGCTGATCTAGCAGGACCAGGTTAGACCCATCAGGCCTTTTTCTCGATGTTCTTTCATGGTTTAATGGTCAAGCTGGAACGCACACAACATTTTTGGATAGATAAAAAGATATTCAGTCGTCAAATGATCCATATGGTACCCGTGGATTGAGAATGGTTGCTTTTCTCTTACAGATCTTAAAGATATTCAATTAATTGCTGATAAACGGCCAAGTTGGAGGTCACTGTAGCTGCCGGAGTGGAAAGAGACCAACGGGATCTTCATTCAATGGTCAAATGCGGTCCGTGGATTGAGAATGACTGCTTCTCTTCAATCAATTTTAAGATATTCAGTTATTTCACTGAAATTTGTTTGATCTGGAACGCACACAATATTTTTAGATAGGTAAAAAGATATTCAGTGATCAAATGAGATTCTCATGAGGACCGTGGATTGAGAATGGTCGCTTTTCTCCCACAAATCTTAAAGATATTCAATTAATTAATGACAAATGGTCAAGCTGGAGGGCACACAACATTTTTAGATAGATAAAAAGATATTCAGTGATCAAATGAGATTCTCATGAGGACCGTGGATTGAGAATGGTCGCTTTTCTCCCACAAATCTTAAAGATATTCAATTAATTAATGACAAATGGTCAAGCTGGAGGGCACACAACATTTTTAGATAGATAAAAAGATATTCAGTGATCAAATGAGATTCTCATGAGGACCGTGGATTGAGAATGGTAGCTTTTCTCCCATCAATTTTAAGATATTCAGTTATTTCACTGAAATTTGTTTGATCTGGAACGCACACTTGGTGTTGGGCTGTTCAATTAGAATAGTTTTGATTTCAATCGATAGAGAAAGACTTGGCGCATCTAATGAGATAAAGAATGTTGAAATTGAGCAACCCAACACCAAGAAATTTCAGCTTAAAGTTCGATTGTCAATGGGAAAATGGGCGTTAAGGTTTTTGCGTTGATTTCTCTTTTACACAATGTTGTAAGGTTGAATCCTCATTCCATTCATTTCATTCATCTCCAACATTTTGTTTTGCCATTCCCACGGCCTTTCTTTTACTCTTTCCTTTTTCTTTCTCATATCCAATGTTCCAAGAGTAATTCTATCCCAATTCTTCCATTTTCGGCCTTTCTTTCTTTCTTTCTTTCTTTCTTTTCTTTCTTCCTCCCACCTACAACTCTTGCAACTTTGACGCAAATTTTGAGGCTCTAAATGATTCTCTAAATGATTTGGAATCTCAAAATATCTCAGTAACAATGACTTTGAAATGAATTCTTCTTTTCAAAATTAAAGGTTTTCTAAACAAGTAGCCCCAGAGTTGGAAACATTGCCATATCCAGGACTAGGGCCAGGTTG